GCATGGAGGTACCTATATGGCTACCATTAACATGTATATATGTTACAGCTCACATAAGTAGCCTGGGGAATGGGAAATGGAGGGCGCATTTCTGGCTTTTCAGGGGGAGGAGGAAGGGGTGCTTATATTATATTAAAAGGGAGTCTATACCATGCTATGTGATTGTAAATAGTGAGTAGGGCACTGGGTGAGACTGACTGAAAAGTTCTACAGGTCTTGGATAATAATTGGGGGAGATACAGAAGTTCGCTTTTTGTGATATTGAGGGATGAGGAGTGTTGTAGGTATATCTTTGGAACAAATGAACGTGTGGAGACGCTGAATAGCGCGTTTTGTAGCATTTATCAACCTCTATCTGAACGCATAATTTTTTGGAAGGATAGATACATGTGTGGCATAGAAATTTGAGTGCGATTTTTCGGTTTTTTAGCACATAAACATTGAAAGGCCCATTGCATAACCAATAATGCATGCAAGTCCATTATTATTGGCTCGTTCTAAAGCTCTAGTAGCATACTAAATTATAGGCTAGTTTTTATGAGGCAGGGATGCATGAGAGGCAGAGCATTAGGTGCGCATTTTTGCATTTTTGTGCATAGAAGCACAGTTTAGGCCATAACATCGCCAAAAATGGTTGTATTCACACGTTCTGGGTGTCTACAGGTAGCTATAAATTCCCTCAAAATTATCGCATCATCGTTCCCATCAATTTCCACCCAGGGGGAAGCCAAACAAGCCCGAAATGCGCCAGCAATGGCTATTTTGATGCCAGATCCCAATTTAGCAGCTTGTGCTAAAAATAAACACGCACCAAGTTAAGGTGACACCTCATACACGCCGTTTCACAACATTCCACATCCCAGATTCTTCTGATTTTTTTATGACATACAGTAGCATACTATCACATTGGCCCTGGGCACCTTTTTCACAAAAAACAGCCCCGGTTGAGGCTGCAGAGCAAACAGGTCACATGACCAGTTCTCTGCAGTGCCCCGGGGTCCTGCTTGGCCTATCCTGCCCCCATTCCGCCCCCTCCTGCACCTCCCACCACCTGCCCACCCTGGAAATGGATGCTTACTAATTTATTTACCCCCTCCTCATCACCCTTGCAGATGCCAGGCACCCAGCAACCCCTCCCTCTTATTAGGAGAGCCTTCCCAAAGCAGAAGGTAGCATATTGCCCTCCAGGGCTTAGATTCATAGTTAGGAAACTGCCTTGTATTTCTATATTTTTCTAGCTTACATGGCTGCAGGGGACTGGTGCTGTCAGTTGCCTTGGACTACCTGGATGAAGAACAGAAGTTCGACATTCAGATCTACAAGGCCTTGAAGCATGTCACGGAGATCGGTGCAGGAATCAACTTCTGGCCATGTACATGGGAGATTATCAAGTCTATTGATTTGGAGGAGACTCTTCTCGAGCTGCTTCCGAACCCCCCCCCCACGACTCGCCTTGTGAGTCCGTTTCTTACTGTTACCTGTTAAGGGAAACATAATTGAGGTATCTCCAAATTCTAGGCATCGGTTTTCACATTCAAAAAGGTGATCAACATGAAGGAGTCCACATTCACATCCAAATGGACGGCATCAAGTCAGCCATTCAAAGACAACTCCTTGAAAAAAGCTCTTCCCTGACCCCTGACCCCTTCCTCAGACCCTGTCTGGTCAGGAATGTTTGCCTATCATGGCCTTATACCAGTGGATCTGCTCCAGGCAGAATTTCCGGGTCACAGAGCCCTGATGACACCAATCATTGTGAGTAGTTGCATCTTGTCAAAAGGAGTTTCTCTAAGGAGAGTCATCCATTGAATATTACTATAGACTGAGTGCAGTCGATCCAGAATATTATTTAGGGGAAGGTCTATTTACAAAGATAAGCACCCTTGCAAATACAGACCTGAGCCTGGACAAAAAAGGACTTGTATTGCCATGCCCACACAATGGCCTGCACTGCACAAGTAAGGAGACGTAGTAGACACTGATGCAGGAAATTTGTGTGGTGAGAAAGAGAGAAGAGAGAGAAAGCGATACATTGAGAAGCTGAGGACAAATGAGACATCAAGTGAGAATTTAGGATAGAACAATAACACAGACATTACAGAGGGATATATGAGGGATTGAACACATCAGCTTTTCAGCGTGGTGGCACCTAAGCAGGAAACCTCGGCCTGAGAGTGCCAAGCAAGGGCAAATACAGTACATGTTCTCATATTGCATAACGTCGGTTCTGGGGTAAAAGTGATGCATTATTAGATTTATGCAGAACGACAATGTGTGACTAATGTGACTACTGTGACTTTGGCTGTGCGCGTGACATCAGTTCGGCTTGAACCAGTTGGTCAGTGTTGTCTGCTTCGCTCCCATTGCCTCCCGCCTCCTAAGATGTATTCTGAAGCGTCTAAGCCCATGGAGAAAGTCAAGAGAGGTCTCCGGATCGTTCTCACTGATGCATGCGCGCTCAAGCTGGGTGCAAAGGTCCATGATCTCGCGGGTTGACAGTCGAGGGTGATCGTCATCCTCTTCATCTTCAGAATCCAGCTCAATGACCTCTCCTCTAGCCACAGCTTGTTCATGACGAACCCTGGCCATGATCTCATCATCATCCTCAAAATGAAACTCCCTTTCTCCGATCTCGTCACCGCCAACCGGGTTCAGCATCTCCTCCAACGTGAGAGGAGCCCCAATGATCCTCCTTCGTGCCTTCAAATCTTGAACGACTTTCATCAAGTCTTCTTCTGCGGATTGGAGTTGGGGAAGAGGTGGACGACCTTTAGTGGGAGTGGAGCTGGAACCGATGTTGTCAGGGCGGTGTTTCGAGATTTCAAAGCCAAGGTGTGTCTGCGAAACCTGATCAATCCCCTTCACGGCCTTCTGTTGATTGTTCTCTGCATCCATGACCACCTTCAGGACAGGCTGCCACTCCTCTTCGACATATCGAACCCCCAGCACATCACGAAGCTTCTCCTCCGCCTGCAGCAGCCTCATTTCGTCAGATGTTGCAAAGAGGAGCACCACATCCCACGCCGCCATGTCCTTCGTCGCCGGAATGCTGGCAGTGACAGCAGCTGGGTTTGCTTGCACGACAGCAGTTGTCAGTGCATCTGTGGGCTGGATTTTGGCATGCCTCCAACAGTTGCTTATCGTCTTTGCATCCACAGCATCCCATGCCTGCTGGACCATCAACATGGCCTTGAGGAGGTTGATTTTGTAGATGTCGGGCTCGTCTGCTTCATCCAGCTCCACCGCTCTCAGGCAGAATGCCTTTCGGTACAAAGCCTTGATGGTACGGATGATTCCTGCATCGCATGGCTGGACATACGACGTCAGGTTTGGCTCAAAGAACTCCAAACGGATGTTACGGGGTTCGTAGTCAATGTAATGAGCCGAGAAATTATCAACTGTAAGACAGATTCGACGCTTCTCCTTCCCAAACTTTATGTCAAGTTTCCGTAGCCACCTTCAAAAGTAAATTAATATTCAACACTTCAAATAGACTTTGATAAACTTACTCGTCGAAGATGACCATGGTCATCCAGGCCTTTCGGTTGTGGTGATAGTCAAAGCCATGTTCGCGAGGCGGATGCGATCCAAAGCAACGAGGCTTTGCGTACCTCCCAATGAACAGGAGGGGAAGTTTCTCGCTTCCATCAGCGTTGCATGCGACGCCTATGGTGATTCGAAACTTGTCCTTCTTCTTTCCGCTCATGGCTTCTGTTGCGAGACCGCGATCAGGTGATGCGCTGACCGGGGTCCAGAGAATGTCAGTTGTCTGAGAATCGACGATGATCTGCAAGGACTCACAAAGCAAAGAAGCTTGTCTCGTCAAAATTAAATCTGTCCCTCGGAGCGAACTTGCCTAAGATGGCCTGCATGCGCTCGCGTGCAACTGCCTCCAGATCCACGGAACCAGCCTCTCCATGCCTTCGATATTCCTTGATGTTGTGAGCTTTCTTGAAACCTGGGACCCATCCATCACCACTCAGCCTCTCATCCTCTGGGACATTGAATTCCTTTTCGTATTTTCCGCGCTTTGCGACAAGCATGGCGCCTGTGACAGTCTCGCGCTTAGCCTCCATATGCTTCACCCACAAAAATAGGGCACGCTCAACATCGGGACGGGTCACGACGCGTACGCGCTTTGTCGACAGTGCGTTCGCGAACGATTTAGAACGGGCTTCGATATCTGCCCTGTTCCTCAACCGTTGGGAGAGCGTTGACTGGTCAAAAACAAGTGCTCCTGTGGCACAGTTCTTGAAATGGGCAACGACTTTGTCCTGGGAGACATTGGGGTGGTCATCAATCCAAGCAAACACCTGGAGCCAGTCGTAAAGTGTGAGGTGGTCGCGTTTCTTCTTTTGGACAGGCTGCGCTGAGGACTTCGGCTGATTCTTGACCTTTTCCTTCTGCGGCTTACGCGGTTTGTAGGGGGCATGCTCGGTTCGGACTTTCCGTTTGCGCTCGTCTGTGTTACGTTCGGCAGGCATGGGAAGACAGAATGTGGGTGGTGGGTTCCCCCGGCGGTTTTGTTGGATGCGCGGTGCTTTTTAGAATATTCTCGAACACGATCGCATAGATATGTAGTGTGGATTAGATGAAAACGACCCTACTGATAATGCATAACTTGGCCCGAGCCTTCATGCATTATGCATTATGCAATTTTCCCCCTGTACGGAGTCAGTTCTAGTCAAAAGTCCATGCACTATTAGAATTATGCAACATGAGGTCATGCATTATGAGAACATGTACTGTAGCTGGAAATAAAAGTGTGCCTCAGCGTGTTGGTTGCACATTTCTCTGTCAAGTACTTTGACCTCGCACATATGGCTGCTCTTGTCCCTCCTGCAAATCAAGCAGGAATCCCCCCTCCACAAAATCCACAAAGTCCTCTGAATTTCAATGACATTATACTTGCCCAGAACTATGTCCATGGTTTGAACTTGACAAGGCGTAAGTGGCTTAACATGTGCTCATCTATTACTGAAGTCTGATGCCAAGTCCCAATGCCAGTCATTCCAGGGCTGGCACTGAACCCAGCCTCAGATCAAGATATCGCCCAAGCCAGGGCTTATGAGGCCGTGGTCATATTTGCGTGCATGCCTAATGCTGCTGCTGCACCACCCTGGCTGGTTGCACTCCAGGCCAACATTCAGGCAATTCAAGCAAACACCCAGAACATGGCCACCAACATCGATCTCCTCTTGCAGTGCTCAGCTGAGAGCCCAATCTTGTTGGAAAACAGCAGCATGGGCAACAAGGAAGCCCTCTATGACCCGAGACAACCTGGATGCCAGGTTCATCTGGCTCCACCACACCCCACCACAAGGGATGAGCTGCTCAGGTTCACATGTGAGTGGTGAACTGCTTACTTATGATTGCCTTCTTGATACCTTTATTTCAGAGAACCAGTGTGCAGCATCGGCTGCACAATTTGGTCTTCCTGTTTTGCCCCTGAACACTCTTGTCCAGGAGAGGAGATGACAGATAGTGATTCACATTGGAGTTTCAATTTGACAGGCATTTAATGTTTAATGGAAGTTTGTATTGTAATTGTACCAATGAACAAAGCATACCAGTGACGTGCCAACACACTTCTATAAGCTAGAATTCTATATCAAATACTGTGTCTAAGTAGTGTGATGGGATCAGTCCTGACTGCCATAATGCAGTCCCCCTAGCCCGAGACAATGTGGAAGGGTTTCCGTGGCTCCCGGGGCTGCTCCATGTGTGTGGGACATGTCAACATAGCCAAACAATGCAGGAAACAGTGCCCAGACACTGTTTGCCCTCATTCTCAGGGCATTTGGCACCATTTTGGGCAGGGAAAAAGCGGATATGGGGTCTCCTCATTATTCTGCACATTCCCTGACCATTTCCCCCATCGACAGGGGGCGAGAATAGGCTGGATTGGGAGGGGGACACATGGATGACACGGCACAGGCACGCATGATGGAAATTCCCCATTTGGAAGGTGGTTCATTTCCAGGTGCTGTTGGCAGTAATCCTGGCATATTTTGCTCATTTCTGGGCCGATTCTCTTGAATAAAAAAAATACCATAAATCGTAGGATAATCGTAGCTTTCTGTAGACCCCTCAAACATGAGATTCTGACCATATTTGGTGGCTGCACAGCCCAATTAATGCCCTGCACCTCGAAAATGCGAAAATGCGGCCTCACTGGGCCCCCTCCCATGCATCCCCTGGCTGGGACAGGTGTTCGTTCATGAACAAGCATGTTATTGAGTCCTATTGGCCAAAGAATATCAGCATTACCTGCAAAACTGCGTGCATAATTGCCTAAACAGTGAAATTTGCTAAAAATAGCCCAAAAGCGCACTGGATTCTCTACCCCTTGCAGGGAGCAGACCCTCCGGACACCTTGGCAGTTTGGTAGGGGACATATAGTGCTTTCAGAAGACATATTTTACATAGCCTCGTGTGCAGTATTCATGGCTGTACACTGAAATCACTGATCTCGCACAAAAACATCAAAATGCGCACCATTACCCCTCCCTCGGTGATTCACTTTGGGCTTCTTGCCCTTTGGGATCATATCCTACTAGCTTACAGTAGTTTCTTCTCCTAATATGCAGTATGATCCACTCATTTGGTACATGGGAGACAAATTCAATCACTCCTCCCCCCCTCACATCTGTCAGTACATTAATCTGGCCAGTATCCCCCTGCTTTGGACAAATAATTATATATGTGACTACTGTAGTTGTCCAGACAACCTCCCATGATACTTCCTACTCTTTTATTTCAGCAAGGAGGTCCCCAATGCCTCTGCAACAGGTGCGCTTTCCTTATTCTGGAAATTTCCAGATTTATTGATGGGGACAATGGCATCACTCTGGCACACTCTGTACTTCATCCATCCTTTTGTTGGAGCTCGGAATATGCTACCATAATATTCCAGAGTATCCTGAAAAAAGTCTGAACAAATTATATGCAGAATTGAATATTCTATGAACAATGTTGTCCTTCTGCCAGCCAATTTGGCAAACACAGACACTCCCCCTTGAATTCAGGTCCATCTACTCCCTCTAAAATCATGGAAAAATGCATTTTGAATAGGGAATATATAATAGTCTTGAAATACTATGGTCCCCAAAAGGTATGGAAGATCTATGAGAGAGGGTAACCAAAGACATGGTTAGGAAACATAGTTAGCTATAGCAAACCTGGTGATCACCACTCATTAATGGTCTTTCCCTGGCGCATTTTTGAGCCTCCTGCTTTCCACATTGACTCTATCATCCTGAAACTTTTTGGGGAATGACATGGCACATCTGTATGAGCTTTCTGTACTGTCTGATTAAATAATTATGTCTCTGATCCTTCTGAAATGGCCAATCAGTGTGAGTTTGCTGTTATCTCAGTCTGAAATGTGTTCTTGGGGGTATCTATATTTGAAAGGCCATTCTTCCTGAGTATGGGGAACACATTTTCTTCAGGATCAGCCAGGAATTGAGCCCAGGAGAGGTGAAACACTAGGAGGAAACCAAGGAAAACAGGAATATGTGTCCTGCAATTGTGGATTTGTATATTTTGAGACATGGGCCCGCAGGTGAGTACTCAACGATATACTAAAGAGTTTCAAATATGTATCAGAGTTCCTGGAAGTGCAGGGAAGGAGAATTTTCAGTGCGCATTTTCGATTTTGGAGGGGGAGGAGAAGGGTGGAATAGAAAAGGCTGTAAGGGAGATATAACCAAAGAAAAGTGACAGTTCAATATGGTTAATGCAGGGGAGCATATATGACCAGTTATCTGAGTGTGAAAGGGGGATTTTGAGGAGGGTAGTGGTGCGCATTTTGATGTTTTTGTGCGAGATCAGTGATTTCAGTGTACAGCCATGAATACTGCACACGAGGCTATGTAAAATATGTCTTCTGAAAGCACTATATGTCCCCTACCAAACTGCCAAGGTGTCCGGAGGGTCTGCTCCCTGCAAGGGGTAGAGAATCCAGTGCGCTTTTGGGCTATTTTTAGCAAATTTCACTGTTTAGGCAATTATGCACGCAGTTTTGCAGGTAATGCTGATATTCTTTGGCCAATAGGACTCAATAACATGCTTGTTCATGAACGAACACCTGTCCCAGCCAGGGGATGCATGGGAGGGGGCCCAGTGAGGCCGCATTTTCGCATTTTCGAGGTGCAGGGCATTAATTGGGCTGTGCAGCCACCAAATATGGTCAGAATCTCATGTTTGAGGGGTCTACAGAAAGCTACGATTATCCTACGATTTATGGTATTTTTTTTATTCAAGAGAATCGGCCCAGAAATGAGCAAAATATGCCAGGATTACTGCCAACAGCACCTGGAAATGAACCACCTTCCAAATGGGGAATTTCCATCATGCGTGCCTGTGCCGTGTCATCCATGTGTCCCCCTCCCAATCCAGCCTATTCTCGCCCCCTGTCGATGGGGGAAATGGTCAGGGAATGTGCAGAATAATGAGGAGACCCCATATCCGCTTTTTCCCTGCCCAAAATGGTGCCAAATGCCCTGAGAATGAGGGCAAACAGTGTCTGGGCACTGTTTCCTGCATTGTTTGGCTATGTTGACATGTCCCACACACATGGAGCAGCCCCGGGAGCCACGGAAACCCTTCCACATTGTCTCGGGCTAGGGGGACTGCATTATGGCAGTCAGGACTGATCCCATCACACTACTTAGACACAGTATTTGATATAGAATTCTAGCTGACATGGCTGGCCAACAAATGTCTATCTACAGCAATATGTTTCCACTTTGAATTCTCAACAACCAATAGATGAGCAACAGAGACATGCAACAGATGAGTGCTTGATTGTTTCATGCGCATATATCTGGTTGAGGATGTTTCCTGGTGCAGGGTACAACATCGAGTGGCATCTGTTCTGGAACTCATCTCTCAGAGTCACAGGCTCTGAGAGTGGCTTCGAGTTGGTCTTCGGTGTCCTTGGCCAGATGTTTGCAGGTGTATGATGGAGGTGAGCAAACTGGGCCACAATGAGTTCTTTGAGAGACTGAACAAGGTGAACAATGCACACATCTGCAGGTCCCTAACTCCATGAATCAACAAAGGCAACAATGTTTGGGAGGCTGTTGACCCAGTTCGCGATGTCGTCAACTTCGTACGGCTCAAAGGGACGGGTACCAGGATACCAGTGCAAGCACCGATTTGTGGGGTCACTTGGCTTCTGTGTGTTGTTCTTTGTGAAGTTGGGCAACTCTGGCTTCCATTTGTAGCCCTATTCCCAAGTCAGTTGTCAAGGAACTTGTATAAATGAGAACGGCACGAGCAAAACACTTGCCCAATTCCTATAGTGAATGTTAGTAAAAACAAAAACAGGGATGGCAATTGTGGGGCAACAAACCTGTTCATGTCCAGCCCAAGGCATTTGATATAGGGGCCCAAGACCTGGCCGTCCCTGTGCCAGTAGCGATCCGTCTCCCAGATGCAGTCATACCCATCAGGGTTGGGCACAGAATGAAACAGAAGTCCTAGCATGAGGCTGAGGGTGCTGATAATGCGCAGAGGCAGGAATCAATGTACAAAGTGCTTGAGAAGAGTCAATAAACATGACGAGCACCAAACCTGCAATGGAGGGCGCCGAGGGCGATGCTCAGGAGCCCTTCCACACTGTTCAAGCACCCAAACACCCACGCAACCACAAGCTCGTATGAAGGAAGCGGCCCAACATCGAAAGGAAAAGGAGCTGGAGGGTACTATATGGGCGCTAACGAGCAGACAACACTGCACACAACGTTTGCAGGGAACTGGTGCATGTGTGAGTGATGCTCATACTCGACGAACATCAGGTGCACTCACCACAAGCCCCGAGCGTATCGAACATGTCTCAGACGTCCTGCACGTCTCTAACTGCCCCTATTGATGTTGGGTGAGTGCTTGGTGCACAAGGTGCTGGCACTCGATTCCTACAAATGTAAGCGAGTTTTCTTTTGTAGACAAAGTACGAGTGGGTTTACCTCTTATTAATGATTTCCTGCCAATGCAAATCCACGTTGTAGTAGGAAACAACAAGAGAGAGCTCGTGCATGCAAGCTCTAGCTCCGAAAGTGAGTGTTTCGCATCATAGACAAGAAGACCATTGACTGACCTCTTCACAGGCCAACTTGCAGTGCTAGAAAAGCGCTGTGTGCTCCAGCGTCGCCTAAACCGAGTCCTGTGCATCGAGAACGACGTTGGAGGGATGTGGGAGGGGGGGCCCTAAAAGAAGGTATGTCAGTCGCCTTCGTCACCCTCGATGCCTTCTTACTCACCTGCTCCCAATTAACCCTTGTTTGCCATGACACCCCAAGCACCATCCAGCGCCGCCCTTGCCATCTATGACCATCGTACGCGTAGGGATTGTCATGGGTAACCCCGGGGTATCCCAGGGCTGACCCGTACCCATACCCCAGCAAACCCGTACCCAGCATGGGGGTATGGGTTTCAGTGGGTAAAGGGTATGGGTTTGGCTGCTTCTGGCAGGTTGATTAATCATTACAGTTTATCAATGCCGGCCACACCTCCTCATGTAGTCACATATAGATAGTCCAGCATCGATAATGTCATTTACATAAAACTACAAATAAATTGTACTGTACCTCCCCGACTACTTGTGATGAATGGCATCCCACCCAATTGGTAAATCTTCCTCTTCACCCTCCTGAATCTCTGGGAGAATAGTGGCGGCTTTTACATCTGCATCGTTAACATAACTGAGGAGGCTCCAGTAACCAAGACAGATGAGAGCACAAGTGGACTGGACAGAAAGACAACTATGGACATGTGAGAGTAGCAAGCGCCCTCTACTGAAGACTCTCTCAACATCCACAGAAGTAGCTTTAACACGATTATGAGTTATCTGAAAAATAAAGGGAGTTGCGACTAAAGGACTCACCTGGAATAGAGAGATAATCAAGAGCCATACGATGGAGGTGTGGATAGGCAGTGCGTCTCTTGTACCACCATGAAAGAGGGTCCGTAACAAACTCAGGGTCGGTGCTGAGATAACGTTCAAGCTCGTCTCGGAGTTCACAAGGGGTGGGAGCTGCCAGAGAAGGCAAGTTGTCAAAGATGTTGAGAGATTGCAAGGTCGTCTGTGCAATCTAAGAATGTTAGTATACAATAGAAGTGGGAATATAACCTAGATTACTTACAGGTGCTCCTGACGTTGACTCGATCCCAGTGTCCATGAACACATAAGTACGATCATACTCATCCCAAACGATACTACGTGCTGCCTCAATCCATTCATCCTGCCAACCTGCATTCTTGAAATAGACGAGCTTGTGGCAAGGGTGGAGAACTGTTGAAAAGATATTTTCAACAATGTTGAGACCAAACTTGATGCAAAGAAATGACATACCCATTGCGATATGGTACACTTCTGAGTGGTTGGTCTTATTGTAGTATCGGTTGAGGGTTCGCTTTCCAATGGCAAGTGCAGCATGAATGGAAGGTGAGAGGTTCTTATTCCAGGTAGCTGTGGCGAGAGTCTCATCGATGTGATCCATAGCAGGTATGACCATGCTGATGCTTGGTGTGCCTCGAGAAAAGAAGAGCGTAGCATCTTTAAAGATCTATCGGACATATTAACAGAAGCTACTCAAGGGACAGTATAAAACTCGCCACCAACACATCCCGCAATTCCTTTGCAATGACCCACTCCTTGTTGTCGAGTTCGAATCACCGCATCTTCATGTCGCAATTGGCAGTGAGAGAGTTGATGGCGGGCTTGTAGTTGACAGCAAAGTTGAGCATGTCGAAAGTGGAGTTCCAGCGTGTTGAGACGTCACGGGGAATCATGCGCGACTTGAGGCCAAGTTCAGTGAGTGTCAAAAACCATTCAGGAAGGACGATTGTGGTTGAGTTCTTGATTGTGAACGCAATTTGACGAAGCTATGAAGTGGCACCACTTGTGAAAAAGAATTAAGTCGGAGACTGAAATTTACTGACCTTAGTCAGCATGACTCTAACAGGAAGAATGCTCACCTCGAGCTCCTCAATCTCCTCAACCGTCATATGTGCATGCTCATCCCTCAACCCCTCTTCGTTATCTTCTTCTATCTCATCCTCAGTCTTGTCCTCAGCCTCCTCTAGATCTTCACCTCTAGATCTTCAGCCAGCACCTCAATCTCCTTTGCGGCCTCGTCAATCGTTGAAGCAGACCCTTTCAGAGGATCAAACTGTCAAAGAACACTCTTGATGACAAGATTCAGAATGTGGAGGAAGCAACGTGTTTGATTTGGTGCACTGGGAAATGCATCCACAAGATTGGCAAGTTCTTCAATCATTGTGTCATTATTTGAGGCATTGTTGCATGTAACAGCGAGGATCTATGACATATCTCAGCATATAAAGTGAGTAATATACAAATTTCTGACTTTATCGTTGATCCCAAATTCCTCCAAGACCTCTGCAAAGGTCGCAGCAAGATTGACACCTGAGTGGGACTTCGCGAGCTCAACAAGGTCGAGGAGTAAGGCGATTGGGACCCCATCATGCTCAAAATGAACTGTAAACGCAACGCATGCCTTGTGATTTGGGGAGGTCCAAGCATCGGTAGCAAAGCTGAGGGTCCCAGGGTGGTCCTTCCAACAATGTGAGTACAATTCAGCTCAAGACAGCAGAAGACAAGTACCTGAAGCATTGTAGAGATACGCTCACGAACATGAACAAAGACATGTTTAACATCATGGGAGACAGTTTCCAGCGAGGGAATGTGATAGTCTGGGCGCCCTGTCTTCATTAGAGACTGAAAACCTCAATCGTTGACGATCTGGAATGGCCGCTTGCTTTCAGCAACCCAACGCACGATTTCAGCACTGAAGATAGGTCAGAACACAGATAATGAAGAAGGTATGTAACACATACTGAGCCTGAGTTGTCGTATGCTGACGGTGACTATAGGTAATTTTGCTCTTTGCCATGCACTCAAATGCTTCAGTGATTGAGCCGTTCAAGTCCTTCATCCCAGCGAGAGCCTTGCGGGCGGCATGAATGTCTCAGGTCTTGTCTGCAGCCGCGACAGCCTCATCACCCCAGCATATTTTTGCATGCTTGCATAAGTTGCTCATTGATTTGGCATCACCAGTGTCGAGGTAGCGTCGAACATGGCGGCCATTACGACCACAGCAGTGCTTAGCAGCACACTCAAAGACATGGATGCGGCACTCGTTGATGTACTCGATGGAGGGTGTGGTCTTGAAGAAGACATAGACTGGTGAGCTCCAGTCCTTCTTCAGTCGCTCTTGCCATAACAGTTAGTCATAGCGAAGTGTTGAAACAAGAAATGCATACCAAGTTCAGCCTCTTCACTCTCCTCGGCTTCCTCAGCTTTGTCTTCATCCTCATCTTCATCGTCACTGTCCTTGTTGACTTCCTCTAGAGTAGGAAGACCTTCGAAGTCGTCCTCGATGATGATGGTGTCATCATCACTGCCGTCCACAGCCTCGAGTATGCAGTTCGGATTTTGTGGTGGAACTGAATGATAACAGTCAGTGCTGTCTTCGATGTCTTCAACACGAGCTGAATAAGACTGGGTGGTGGGTGGCTGCAGAATGAATAAGGATTGTGGGAGGAGTGAACAAATCAGAGCAGACCTTTTGGGCTGTTAAAGCTGTCTTCAAGGCGAGTGTGGTAAGTGCCGGCTTTGCTCTCTTCATGGCCAGAGGATCACCATTATTGAGAACTTTCTCAGTGGCTTTCCGTTTCCAGGTACCAAGAGGCTCCAGATTGATGGGAGCAGGATGGGACATTGCAAGCGACTTCGATGGATGCAAGTTGTGTGGTTTGGATGTCGTCTTAGGTAGTGATTTCTGGTCTTTATATCCTCCAGTGGATGGGTGGCTTAGGTACTGTACAGTTCCACATGTGCGCATGCCAAATGGCGAGCAATATGTGTGTATAATGTCCAGCAGCCTCATATGCTTCCGCTTTGTCCAAATCAGGAAAACCCGCTGACCTGGCTTCCAGGTACAGGTTTGGTGAGGGTACAAATCCACTGACCCGTACCCTGACCCCATGTACCCTACCCGTCAACCTGGTGGGTTTTCAAAACCCGTGCCAATCCCTACGTACGCGACCTAGATGCATGGTAACCTTGTCACAAACATACGCAAAGACACTGGTGTGGGAACCGACTTTATGTGTGGTCAAAAAGGCGTGATAGGGGTGTTAAACTTTATATACACAATTTTTCTGTGTCAATAAAGTTCAAATAAAATCTTCCTTTCCCATGGTCATAATTTTCCGAAAATTGTTACCTTTGAGGTAATTAGTAATGACTAAATTTACCCGTCCTTTTGTTGCTCCGGAAAAGACAATAAAAGCGTGGAATTTGGGACGACAAAAAGGATTGACATAAAGGATTCGGGGATACTATAAAAGGAAAGCCCGAGCCGTTTATATTAATTTTTGTTCACAATTAAAGGCATCAATTACCTAACAATTATAGACGAGCAGAAAGTGCTTATATAAAGGGTTCGGGCTTTCCTTTTATAGTATCCCCGAATCCTTTATGTCAATCCTTTTTGTCGTCCCAAATTCCACGCTTTTATTGTCTTTTCCGGAGCAACAAAAGGACGGGTAAATTTAGTCATTACTAATTACCTCAAAGGTAACAATTTTCGGAAAATTATGACCATGGGAAAGGAAGATTTTATTTGAACTTTATTGACACAGAAAAATTGTGTATATAAAGTTTAACACCCCTATCACGCCTTTTTGACCGCACATAAAGTCGGTTCCCACACCAGTGAGAAGAGAAACTCGCCGCTCACCTACATAAACAAAAATTCCCCCGACTGTGGACACCCCTCATGTCTGATCATTGCCATCCATGCCAAGCTAGTGCTCTCGGACCTCCCGCGCTGTTCTCAAGCCACTTGCTGCCGTCGCAGGAGGCTCTAAAAACACGGTCAGTCATGTTGGTCGTCAATGTGAGCTAGGGCACTCACCACGAATCTGGGTTGTTTAGATACGGCACCTCGGGGTGAGAACTTGGCAAGGTACCCTTCATGAGCGGCTCGTGGAACGTTGATGCGGCTGAATGAGCTTTGTGGTCATAGGTCCTCGGGGAGTTGAGAGGGAGGTGGTTTGAGTGTACCGTGCGTAGAGTGCTGTAAAACACGGTAAGTCCCCGATTTCCTTCGAGACTTGGTCATAAACTTACCTGTGGTGTCCCTCCTATTGAGAAAAAAGGGTGTTGTGGTTGCACTTTGACATCGGTAAAAGGGAAAGATAGCCACACATGGCAAACAGCGAGAAATCTTTCGGGTGCGTCATCATGTTACGACCACGATTTGCTAGTCTTACTCTGCTCCAAGTAGTGCATCAACGAACCGACGAAGTGGGTTATCTCTGGAGCCACTCGAACTCTTCTCAAGCGGATGCATCATCCTCGCGGGAGACGCGGTGCGTGCTAATTCACAAGTGTTATGCAAGTTCTGACTCTCCACCATCTAGGCTCACGCTATGACGCCGCATCAGGGATCTGGTGCCGGCCAAGCAGTCGAAGTTCGTGTGCGGCCTTCATGATACCCATCTTCTGAATTTCTCTGCTAGGATGCATGCGTACTAGCCGTGCTCCTATGCTACAAACTCTGCAACAAATCGAACCTATCGCTCATTGGCAAGGTGTATGACCAGATACGGCGCCCAGTTGCGAACCAGGTCCTCGCAGCGTCTTGCATATCCGGAAAGCTCTGCGGCCTGGTCGCTCCGGGATTCGAGGATGTCGAAGAGGGCAATGCTCATGTGTCCTTCGAGAAACTGACAAAGTTGATCGACGATTTCGGCAAAGGCATGGAATGGGTCTGGAAGGAATCCGCAGAGGATGACAAGAGGCGTGCCATCGAGATGCTGGAGTCTTTGGGAACGGGATAGGGTGTGTAAGTCTTGTTTATACGTTGTTTCGCTGACGCTGAGATGTTCCCTCAGGTCATATGTGTAGAACACAACAAGTCGTCGTGTGGGGCTCTGGTGTATAACAGAATGCAACGTCTTCCTTTCTCATGACAGTGAATTGGACGCCATATGAAAGACGTTGTTCTCTGGATCTAGGCGACTCTTCTGTTGGTCCCCAGTTTGCCTTCACGGTCCGCCGGCAATCACATGAGCCTTACTTTTGTTCTAACGATCTTCTGTCTCTTAATAGCTGAAGGTGAGAAGTCTTTGTCTGTTTATAAATAAGTTAATCATTAACGGCTTTTACTTTACGGCCTGTTCGTCCGACGTCTCTCGTGTTACACAATGGGCGTTCGTTACTTCAAGCGCTCATCATTGATCAACCTCTTAATACAGGCCGCTCTGGTCTGTTCGCAGAGCAGTGGAACTTCGTCATCGACTTCTCCGGCCACCACTCTTTCACCATCTATCACTCAGTCAACGGCGACGAGCGTCATTACAACACCTCCGACGGTACCCACATCCGGCGGAACATTTCCTCCAGTTGGCACCCTCCCGAAAGACTTTTCTCCTGCTGGTTTGGAGCGTCTATGGGATCTGGTAAGCCATACTCCTGCCAGATCTCTTGAAATCGCCACCAATTTTCTCTAAGGTTGGTCCAGTCGAACCACCCCCATTCACAACGACTCGTGCAGCGCAGACTCCAATCGCGGTTCCTTCTTCCCCGCCTGCACTGTACCCGGAATGGTTCTCGCCTAACCCAAGGAACATATTGCCCGATCTCAAGTTGCCTAAGGGATTTGTCTTCGGAGTCGCGACTGCTGCCTACCAGGTCGAAGGCGCTACAAAAAACGAAGGGAAAGGACCGAGTATATGGGACTGGAACAGCCGCCAACCCGGAGGTGTAATCGATAATACAACAGGTGCGTCCATCTTTGCCGCTGTGTACAAGTTTAAAAATTTCCCCTCGCAGGTGATGTCGTTGATTTGCAGTATTACTTGTACAAGCAAGACGTTGCTCGAGTGGCTGCCATTGGCGTCAATGCCCACTCATTCTCGTCAGTATTCTCTTCTTTCTGCGCTTCTACTATTCACGACGAACCATTAGAATCTCTTGGGCGAGAATATTTCCATTTGGGACGGCTGATTCTCCCGTGAATCAAGCTGGTCTAGTTCATTATTCCGACGGTAAGCACATTTACCCTATATCTCATTGTAGCCGAAGCTCACTCGTACTCTATCTTTTTACCAGTGATAGACTCGCATATTCAAGCTGGAGTTGAACCGATAGTGACGTTGTGTAAGTCTTCAGCAAGTCAGCGGCGTACTTCTGCTCAGCTACTCTATCAGTCCACTGGGATACGCCACTGGCTCTCCAAGCCTACTACGGTGGTTTTACCTCGCCTCAAATCGTCGATGACTTTGTAAAGTTGGTAATCGTTCTGATTAGCCAATCTATGTGCTACTTATATCACCCCTTCAGCTATGCTAAGACGGTCTTCAGGGCCTTCAACGGCAGAGTCAAAACATGGTATACCTTCAATGAACCACGCGTCTATTGCGGCTTCATTAGCGGCTACCCATTCAGTATGGACAATTCCTCTGCCCGTCCCACTCTGAATGACGTGCTTTCGCTCCAGATCAAACGCTGACGCCTGATGTAAACTCGTCGACGGCACCGTATCACTGCGTTTACAACCTTTGTACGCCGACCATCCTTCAAATAACACCTGGAAAGAAACAACTAATATCTTCTGCAATGCAGTGCGTGCTCATGCAGGAGCAGTGAAAGGTACTTATTGTTTCGTATCATCGCTGAAAGCCCTCCTCACCTCATTGAAATAGCTTTCCGAACCATGAACATTTCCGGAGAGATTTCGTTTAAGAACGACGATTTCGTGTGAGTGTATTTCTTTGAATGTACCCCACATTCTCCATCTGATCCATTCCAGCGGTCCGCCATGGAGAGCTAATAATGCCGAAGACATTGAAGCGTCAGAGCGCCACACTGCTTTCCGCATTGGGGTGCTCTCCGACCCGGTGTACACCACCGGCGACTGGCCAAAAATCATGACCGACACCCTACCACCAGAGTATCTACCTCGATTTACTGAAGAAGAGAAAAAGGATCTCCTCGGTAAGCGTCTTTTGTCCCCTTACCCATTCCTTCTTAGCAATATACCATGACACAGGCTCGGCCGACTTCTATGCCATCGATTCGTACCGCGCTCAGTACATCAGTGCACCTACGGACGGAATGGAAGCCTGTGTCTCCAACCCCTCTCATCCGCTCTGGCCCGACTGTAACGTTGTTCAGCTAGTTGACACAAATGGGTGGGCGGTTGGGCCTTCTCCCGATCCGCTGAGCCAGGCGTGGCTCCAGGCTACACCGAACCTTCTCAGACCGTATTTGAGGGAGTTGCAACGGCGCTGGCCAACCAACAAGATGGCAAGTCGCGTATTTCTTTGAGCATGTCGTTCGATGCTTATTTGTCTTACAGTACATCACCGAGTTTGGTTTCGTGGAGCCCTTTGAACAGCTTCGAACCGAGCTCTTCCGGATCACTGAGGACGTCACCCGAACTAGTACGTTCGAAGCTGATGACATTTCTTCAGACAGTGGGCGATACTTATTTTTTCTCTAGACTACTTTATGACTTACCTTGGCGAAATTCTGTTGGCTATACATGAGGATAAATTGCCAATCGCCGGCATATTTGCATGGGGTATTTTCAGTCGTTTTCTTCGTACAGCACGATAGTGAATGGTATTTTAGCCATGATCGACAACGCGGAGTGGAATTCTGGAACCAGTGCCAGGTGAGGCATTCTAGTGACTCAGCCGTCTGCCTGTTCACCGTTTGAGTGGAGTATAGGTTCGGGATCCAGCATGTAAACTACACAACCCTCGAAAGAACGTACAAACGTTCCGCGCTGTCCCTATGTGAGTACCTGGACCCTTTATTGTTCGATCATTGGACTGAAGCGCTTTCGTAGCCGAATTTTTCAAGGTACATCTATCGGAGTGAACATTGTCGAGGGACAATCAGATTGGAAGGAAAATCATAAAAGATGGACTAAAGTTTCTATTCCCTGCTCTGTACCTGTTACATACATCGAAAGTGACAACTGAAGCCCTTTATAATGACTACACTTAAGCTGCCGTTTCTGAGAGGTAGCCGACACGGAAGATCGAGAAGGAGTATTCTTCCGCGTCAAGACTAAAAATAGATACTATGTCATCGATTTGCCAAACAAAACAAAAACAGGCGGGAGGGAAAAGGGTCTTAGCGTGTCCCTCTCTCATGAGTTCTTTACTCCCTCCCACGAACCAAGCCGGCATTCCCGTGCCTAAAACCCCGCAAAATCCTGCGACATTCGACGATATCGGCCGAGCGGTACTGTATCTTCGAGCACTTGAGTGGACGCGAAGTAAGCACCATCTTGATGGCCTTATGCAATTACTTGGTGGCTAATGGCGAGTCGCAATACCAGTGGGTCCCCATCCGAACCCTGCGACAGATCGCGAGATAGGCGAGGCTGAGGTGTACAAAACCGCCTTGATCCTCAGTTGCATGTTTGGGAGTCAAACTGCACCACCATGGCTGGCGGGTTTCCGCGATCATATTCAACATGTACAGGCACTCACCAACGCCGGTCCTAGAAACGACACCAATGCCACCCGCAGCACCAATGATGCCCTCCGCACCGATGACGGGCAACAGATCCCTAGCCGTGCAGAGAATGGGGGATCTTCGCAAGGGGCCTCTGGGGTATGAACGTGAGTCGCGCACTGCTTGCTTGATATTCATGCTTATGTATTTCTCTATTCCAGGTTACAGAGTACGGGGTCGGCTGCAGCAGTTGCCTTTAGTCGTACCGGGAAGGAGGGAAGGCATATCAAGAATCGCGTTTGACGGATAGTAGACGAATTTCCGAAATCATATTCTTGGCGGAAGACGTATCATAACCGGAATTTCAACCTGAAAGATTGTGCCATTCAAAAGAGGTCTAGCCACGGTACTACGAGTACAATTCCATCCTGGACAAGGACCAAAGGTAAAGCATAGATGTATAAAATACAGCAACAGGCCTCCGTCTACTGGCGCTGGCGAGTTAGGTAACCGCAAGCATCCCTCGAAGGCAGCATGATAGCATATATGAGGGTAGCTGGGGAGCAGAAAGCGAATACGACAGGGGTCAACTTGCTGGCGAACTAGAATTGACCTGAAGGGACAAAAAAAGGTCTGCGACTATTCATAGGAAACACGAGAATGCTGAGACATACGTTTGGCCTGCTTCGCGATGAATCGCGCGAGATAGTCTACGAGTCGCGTCGTCTCCTCGCCTGTCGGGCGTATCCACTTATCCGGTAATGAAAATCCAAACTGTTTCACAGCCTCAACGGATGAAATGTAACGAAAATTGGGCGACGCACGGTCCCGGTGTCGCGCAAATGAGCAACGTAGGAGTACTTGATTGCCTCACGCGCATACATCCAGTCGAGGATATTTCCCGGTGCGGGATATAGCATTGAGCAGAGGCTGCCAGTCTGGAACTCAGTGCCATGCACGGCTCTCAGAGCCTGCGACGCTCCGAGGGCAGCTTCGATCTGGTCTTCGGCATCCTTGGCCAAGCGTTTGCACGTATATGAGTAGGGCGAGGAGACTGCGCGGCGATGAGTTCTTTGAGAGAATAAAGAGAGATATTCAACGCACGCATCTGGCCATAACTTCTCAGATCGATGAAAGCGACGATGTTCGGGAGGGTGTTGACCCAGTTGGCGATGTTGTTGACTTCATACGACTCGAAGGGGCGCGTACCGGGGTACCAGTGCGAGCAGGGATTCGAGGGTTCGCGTGGCTTCTGTGTGTCGTTCTTCGTCAAATCGGGCGAGTCCGGCTTCCATTTGTAGCCCTATTCCCAAGTCGTTTGTTGAGGAACTTAAAATAAAGCGGCGCTAACGAAATACTTGCCCAATTCCTATGGCCGATGTCAGTGATAACGCAGGGACGGAGATTGTGGGACGACGAACCGGTTCATGTCCAGCCCGAGGCATTTGGTGTAAGGGCCCAACACCTGGCGGTTCTTGTACCAATAGCGATCCGTCTCCCAGGTGTAGTCGTACCCATCAGGGTTGGGCACGGGAACGAAATGGAAATCCTGGCACGAGGCTGAGATGGCTGATAATGCGCAGAGGTAGGAATCGACGTACGAAGTGCTTGAGAAGAGTCGATAAGGAACCTGGTTCTGAGGCGTTGACGGTGAGAGCGTGGGCGAGGTAGAGAGAGGTCGCTGTTGCGATCCACTATGGGTATGTAAGAAGAGAAATGACACAGGAGAATATGACACACCTCGCGAGCATGCTGAGCACCGAGTATGACGAACCCTAGCTTCTCGCCGTCCTGGCCTATGGGCGATTTCTTCTTCCTCCTCGGTTTCTTTTTCTTTTTCTTCTTCCCGTCCTCCTCCTCATCCGCATAGCCACCCGTCGAGATAGTTAACGCAGGTATCTCCCTGCCCTGCGCGCTCTCTCCTAAGCTTATCCTCCGGGCAGTGTTCGGGTATGTGGCGGTTAACTGTCCGAGGAACGCCTCGATCTCGCCCAGCGGGTGATAAGACTCATGAAACGTAGAGTTCTCCAGTGAAGAGACGTCCCACTCGGTGTTGGCCGGTCGTATGCTCGCCTTCGGCGTCGTCGGCAGATAGGTTGTTGTGTGAGGTAGATCCGCGAGCTCCTTTGGCAAAAATGGCTCGTTGGGCGGCGAGTATATGTCCACGAAGGTTCTTGACGCATGCCATACATCAAGATCGTATTCCTGAGGCGATTAGAATCCTGCAGACGTCAAAAAATGCCCTACAAAGTACCTGGGCAGCCTGCAGCACTTGCGGTACCGCAGCTTCGATGTTGAACCTTCTTAGAACACCATTCCGGGGCTCTTGTGTTAGCACTTGCTGATCCGCACAGGCGAGGGTGACGAATGTGAAGAGAAGAGATAGATACGTCCTTGACATTGCCGACGATGTCGTCGCAGCCGTTGTCGCCTTGTGGTCCGAGCGCAAAGGTGGTCGTGTGCTTCCTGAGAAGTTCATTCTCACGGTGAACGGGATCCGGGAAGCCGGTCCGTCCTTGCCCATGCTCATTGATACGTATGTAAATCCTTCGCTTCACCCGGTAGATACTCTACCATATGGCATGCAATTGTGAGACTTTCAAAATATTCTCGTTGATTGATCTTCGGGCAAAATACTATGTTCCTTTGAATCAGGAGGAAAAGCTTGGGAAAAGACGTTACTCCGCCCCTCCGGGATCTTGCCGGGCTCGCCGAGTAGGCATACCCATTTTATCGCTGCATAGGCGCTTAATTTTAGCTGATAACCCATACTTATGTATGGAAACGTCTGCGTCTGTCTGCCTTGCACTTGCACCTTCCTCCGCAGTACGGTAAGTACGTGATGAGCGATGGCTTGGCGCCTAAGCACAGCGGGCCGGCTCTTCCTGAAAGCTCGACAGAGAACATGCAAGAATTAGGAATAACAAAGGCGCACAAAGGCTATGCCATACAAGTTTGCAGGAGCCCGTTATCAAGGGCTTGACGGTGTTTCTGTCATTACCCCCTGTCTTCATAGTTGTAGCCAAGTTAGGCTTCTCCATGTGGTGGGCCTTGGAAAGGCCAAGGCGTTTGAAATCAATCTCATTACAGCTTTTTCACCTACAACGACGACGACAACGACGGGGACGCTGACGAACGTTGAACGTTAACTATGAAGGCCTCTCTTTTCCTCTCTGTGGCCGCTTTCATTGGTGTGTCCAACTTCTTTACACTCTTCGCCGCAAGCGTGATAATCTGATATCGTGTTCGTCGTATACAGCCGGTACCAATGCAGCTGTAGCCACCCTCTACGAGATCTCTGTCCCACCCAACCCCAACATCCCCACTCCGACCATATTCAAGGTCATTCAGTCAGGCACGACGGACGTGTCCGCGATCGGCACTGGGACGGACGGGAAGACGACCTATGTCCAGAAGAACATCATGAGCCTATACGTCGTCGAGTACCCGCTGCCGACCAATACAGCGCAGACGACGACTGCGACGGTGGTTACGGCGCCTGAGACGCTTGCAGGTAAGTCTTCGATCGACGTCGCGTCGAGGAAATTTGCTGACTTTGCATGGATGTAGTAACTTTCGCGGAAGATGGGGACGGCTATCACGCAACGCGCTCCCCGTCTCTCCTGCCCACGGCTAGTGCGACGCCTGGTGGGCTAGCATTCCAGCCAGGCCTCGACGAACAATGCACGTTTAACCATAATAACGGCACGGGCTCCTGCGTGCGCGTCGCCATTAATATCGACGAGAATTCGCGGACTGTTCGATCCACGACGACGTATACTGGATCTCTGCGAGCGTGGACGACTCTGGGGGCTGAAAGCACTGGGGCGTCGTCTACTGGGGACGCATCATCAACGACGAACGCGGCTGTTAGCAGCCTTGGTGGGAGTCAGGCAGGCTGGCTTAGGGTTTCTCTTGCGGTTGTGCTTGCTTTCACAAGTGGTCTTGGCCTTCTGTGGTAAATTCTTGCCTGTCGTTCGTGCGGCAGTGCGTCCCACCCCCCTCTTGTTAGTCGTCTTTCGGGCCCTTAAATCGTGCCTATTACATCTACATTCATTTATCTACCCTGTCTCTACATTTGCGTTAAATTATTACTTTGACCGTTGCTTTCACCAGGTCTCTTCCTCTCATGGTGCTTCTCCCTTCCCCAGAGGCTAAGTCTGTCCACAAAGATCTTCTCCGTTGACTGCCACCCATTAAACTTCCCTTTCTTCATTTCTTCCAGCCGCAGACGGAAGAAACGTGTGTGGAAGTCGAGCACGCCAAACCAAGTGTACTGGGACTGAAGGTGGGCCAAATGGGCTATGTAGGTGAATGCTGCATCGCCGACGAGCCGAAGGTCCGTCAAATCGTAGTTGGGATCCAGCTCGATACAGTGCTGGAGGACGTTGAAATACACTGTCAGTGATTTCATGAGTGTTTGGTAGTCTGGATACACCCTAAGAAGGCTCTCTTCGCCATCCAGTTCCAGTGCTTCGTCGCGCTCGGGATGAGTAACGTCCAAGAGGTAGAGGTACGAGGGGTAGAATGTATGTTCAGCAATTTGGAAGACGAGGCCCAGCGGCACAGCCGGAAAGTGCTCAGCTACCCGTTGAACGACGCACGCGTTGGCTACACCCACGGCCGCATCGTCTTGGACAGCCCTGCTGTGTTCCTGTGGGGTATGCTCCCCCTCACGCTCAGTCGGAGGCGCGTGCGTAGGTGTTGTCGGAGAAGCAGGGGCTAGAGGGCGGCCCCATTTGTTTTGTGGGAGGAACCGACAGTCAGAAGGAGATGAGTGCTCTTCTCGACGACTCTCCTGATGAATATGGGGTGGGCTGGAGCCAGGAAGCTCTTGAAATTCCCGGTAAATAGCAGTGGGCGACTGCGACTCCTGGTTGGTACTTATTGGTGACGGGAAAGGAACCCATTCGGGCTCGACTACGGCGGTCGGAGGCTCAGGACCCGCGTCATCGTGCATTGGGGAAGAGGGGTCCACGTAGAAGTCGTCTTCTTGTGGAGTTTGAGGGCGCATCGAAGGGCTGAAGAACTCCCCGTCTGAGTCACCCTCGTCGAGCGTCTCGGAGAGCTCGCGCTTGTGGCATGGAAATTCGGCAGGACCAGAGGCGTTCAGACGGGGGTCACACGAGCTTCTGTCATCCGCAATCGCAGATTCGGATCGGTGAGAGGGGGACTGGTTTGGATAGGACATCAGAGTTGCTCGACGAGAAATTGAGGATGAGTGGCGTTCAGGTCTCAGACGTCGAAAAGATCAGAAAGGAAGGTATAAGAGCTTCGAGTCCTGGAGGAGGTTTATATAGAACCCAAAGTGCCACTAGCAATGAGGCACAAAGAGATCTTCGTTGCGACCACTCATAAAGGTGGATAAAGCACTCCTTTGCCGCGCAGGTGCCACCAGTTGGGCGTAACGTGTATCATTGCCCACATTCGCATAGAAATTAGAGGAGCAGCATCATGCCCTTAGGGATGCCACGTTTAACAAAGATCTAGGAACAAGCTGAAGACAGAGAAGGGAGTGACTTCAAGGAAACGGTTGAATGTAGCCCCTATTTATACGCTTATGTCAGCCAAGTTCAACCAAGCAACGGCGACGTCAAGCCTTGACCACCACCTTGACCCACGATTTGAAACCCAGGTTTCCGTTCTGTCCCTACCATCTCTGAAGGATACTCAAGAGCTTCAGAGAAACGGAAACCAGTGGTGGATCGGCCTGATGCATGTCTCTCTCATGGCACCAGAGGAAAGCGCGACTGGCTTCGTTGCTCAAAAGTTCCGGAGACGAAGATGCGGACGGTATAGCCCTGGATCGGCTCATGCACGGACAAAGTGTAATTGGAAAGACTTGTGAGTGATTCTCTAAGTGAACGGATGTCCAGTGCCCTCATACAAAATTGTTCTGAAATTTCTTCAGCGAAAACTACCGAGATCGACGGTTTACGATTCAAAGATAAAGATTTAGCTGTTGTAGGAACATTGGAATATGGACAATTCGGTGTCGTACGTCTTCCTTCTCATCTGGTGTCTGCAGAGCTCATCGGTACCCTTGTTGTCAAGATCGACGTCGTGTCATGTCGGTTGAACAACCGCGTTTATGTCCGCAAGAGCATCGAGAAGAAATTTGCGCTCAGGACGCGTGATGTATGCCTACTTCCCATCTCTTCCCCATGTTGTGCTAAATTTTGCGTAGCAATGCTCTCCTCAATTCGAGCGCGACCTATTGCTTCAAGCTCTAAAGACGGATTCCCCATGGGCGCCACATCTCCTCTGTGCTTTCCAAACTCCAACACACCTCAATCTCGTCATGGACTACGCGGAAGGAGGAACTCTATGGGATGTCCTGGAATCAAGCCCTCATGATGGTCGTGTGCTGGAATCGGACCTGAAGTGGTGGGCTCCTCAGGTCGTTAGCGCGATTCATTGGTGTCATTCGCAGGGATTTGCGCATCGGTACGTTGCTCTGATACCGCTCGGACCTTGACGTGGGCCTCATTGTTGTTCAGCGACATCAAACCACACAACTTCGTCCTTACGCCAGACGCTCATGTTCTGCTCATCGATTTTGGATCAACAGCTCCTCTCCTTCCTCCTCGAGCTGATGGCACCCAATTCCTTCCCAAGAAGCATTGCCTCGTCCCCTGTGGCACCTGCGACTACATATCACCTGAGATCTTGCTGGCGCATGAAGAGGCGTTGGTGGCGCTCGAGATGGACGATGAAGATGTGCCTGGACCTGCGAGACCAGTGCAAACGGAGGGCTATGGGGTGGAGACGGATTGGTGGAGTCTTGGCGCGATGCTGTATGAGATGGCGTACGGGGTTGCGCCCTTTTTCGCCAACGACATTCGGACGACATACCTACGGATCATGAATCATGAGGTAAAGTTCTTTGGCTGTCAACGGCATGTCGCTCATTGTTTTTGGGCAGAAGAGCCTTCGGTTTGATCAGACAATCACGATATCCCATGAATTTCAACATTTTCTTCGTCGGTAAGTGATCATGTCTTTTTTTTCGCGCGAACCATGCTGATGCTTGTCGCTACAGATTACTGACCAATGCAGAAAGACGGCTGGGACGTCGAAATGTCATGGAAATCACGGACCATCCGGTTTTCGTAGATGTGGATTGGACAACGCTGCCGAACCGTGCGTAAAAAGCTTTTCCAGGCTCAGGCCGAATGCTGACTCTCAGCAGAAACGGCACCACCCCACCTTCATTTACCTCAATTCACCTATACCGAACCTAAAGGCTCGGCTGATCAAGCACCTCCTGTACCCGTGCAGCGCCAACAGGAATATGACGACTCGGCTTCGCTATCACAAGGCTTCGCGTTTTCCGTATTCTTCCAACAGTCATCCTCCGTCTCGCCTGGTCTGTCCATCCTCAAGCCTAGTCCAGGACCTGATCTGCAATCCTCGCGATCATGGAAGGACAACTCAAACTCAGCCTCCAGTTTCATTGGGTTTTCATGGGGTCCGCCTATCGATGCCTTTCCGGAGGAGGAGGAAGAGCCAGCCACCAGCCCCGGTGTCCACACCACACCCCGACCATTTCTACGAACACCTTTGCAAGCCTCCCAGCGGACGCCTCTTCCAGACAGCCGCTTCAATACACTCACCGTTCCCTTGACCTGGGGCCCTGGTGCTTTCTCGACGCCTGGTCCGCTACATGCTTACAACACCCCTATGAAACCTTACGCGATGTCTCCTCATGCAACCCTTCCTCGCACCAGCACGGTTCGCAGGACAGCACCACGCCGGAACGTCTCGGACAGACAGGCGATGAAGCAGCTCGTCGATTGCATCGGGATGAGTGCGAGGAAGAAGGTGCTGGAGAGCGGAAGGAAGCCGAAAATCCTTGGTGTATTTGGGACCCGAAGCAGTGCGAGTGGGACGACAGGGCATAACACCAAATCGACCACGACAAAGCAGCTCCGTTTCGACCGAAATACGGCGCCCATCCCAGGGCCCGACTACAGCGTGGCGAGCTCGACACGATCACGATCACGCTCGATGCTGCTGCCCCAGCCGCCAAATTTCAACCCCCTCCCACCCAATAAGACCCACGACCCGAACGACACCTCTGATATATATTACTACTCCAACAATTCGATACGACCTTCCGCTCAGAACCCCGACTTCTACACCTCTGGCTCTGAATCCGGCTCTGAGGGTGGCGGACCGCCCAGCCCCAGTCCGAGCCCCCGTCCGGGGTCGGCCATGTCGACGACGATGATGTCGCGACGCAGCGCAACGCCGACGGTCAGTGGGTATTTGAGTGGGCCTGGATCAGGACGCATGCGTTCGGGCTCAGGCTCGCTGTTGGTGCCGCTGGCAGACAGGAGCACGACGGTCACGATGACCAACACGACGTCGGCGCTGCTGAGCATCCCATCTGCTGGTCCGGCAAACTTGGAGTTCAGGCTGTGTCAGCCGCCTGCGATCTCTTCGCTAATGGAGAAAGTGCCGCCGCCGCCGTCGACAGCTATGAAGAGGAATCTTTCGAGTCGGTCGTTCGTGTTGGGCAAAGATTCTGATAAACATAGCAGGACAACGGCACGTTCTCTCGCTCCTCGCGTTGTAGAAGACGATGAAACCTGTCCGCGAAGCCAGTCCTCGCAGAATCACGGCAGTCTTGTGAACCCAGGTGCCGAGTTCAACATGACGCTCTCTCCCTCGGACATTTTGCTCAATGAGCTAGAAAAAAGACACGCTGCCATGATGCGGTCGATTGAGATGTTGGAGGAGCGGATAGATGATGTATCTGCACTCATCGGCAGATAACGAATCCTTTTGGTTGAGTTCCCATTTGTTTTATCTGTACCTCATGACCTGTATCTAATTGTTGTAGCTTCAAATATCTTACGAGCCTGCCAGGCACTAGCCGCTCAAATGTTCAACATTCAACGTCAACGCTCAACGTTCAACTTTCAACGTTGAAGTCTAACAGTCAATGATTACAGCCGACAATTTCATGGAGGCTTGCCTGCGCTTCTGACCTTATAAACAAACGCCAAGGACATCTAATTATACCACAGGGCGTGATGCGCTCCAGTTTCGATCCGCACTGGCCGGCAAGGTGGTTGCCGGCGACGGACCTAACCAAATGCCGTATCTTTCCCAGCTTCAACGTTCCACCTTGACACCGCTTGACACTTCAATTTATCAGCCAAGCAAGTGGAAGGACGGTATATATCTCCTACGTGACCACCTCACAGAACTTGGATCGCCCACTCTTCCTTCACTCGAGCTTTATCAGCCCACAAATCAAGAAATGACGTCGGATGAATCAGATAAGGCCAGCGTCTGGCTGATCACAGGCAGAGACCCTCTTGTTGCTCTCAACAGCTCAGCCATTGAACTTGGACGATTTTAGGAACATCTTCTGGATTTGGCAAGCGACTTGTGATATCAGTGCTCGCGAGAGGGGATCGCGTCATTGCCTCCGCGCGATCTCAGGAGAAGCTGGACCAGATGATCGCCACGCTAAAGCCTGAGGTTCGAAAACGCGTACGGACGGTCGTTTTCGACATCACAGAGGGCGAGGAAAACATCAAGCCCAAGATCGCTTCAGCGGCTGCGTACTGGGGTCGTATTGATGTCTTGGTGAACAATGCCGGTTAGTACGACATTGCCTGCTCAGGACCGACATGACTGACAATTTATATGAAGGGTACGGTCTTCCTAGCCTTATGGAAGAAGGAGGGTTGGTTAATTTTCTTTTATTCGCTCAACGGCCGTTAATGAGGGCACTAGGAGCAAATTGTTGCGCCGCCAGTTCGAGACCAATGTGTTCGGTGTCCTGGACGTGACGACTGCCACCCTACCTTATTTGAGAGCGAACAGGTCTGGCTGCGTTGTTGTAATCGGCAGCAGATCAACCTGGAGAGCTGAATTACCTGTGTGTGTTATTCATTTGCAAAGGATTAGATTACTGACCGCCGTTGCTCGTTCAGGGTCTCGGTAAGACTCGTAGCCTCGCATAGGTGCAAATAAACTCACCGAATTTCCAGGGCATTACGCAGCCTCCAAAGCTGCGATACACGGTGAGTATTACCAAGCCCTTCTTCATATGTTAATGCTTGACCACGGGATATGTTCAGCCGTCACTGAAAATCTTATGAGCGAACTCGCCCCCTTGAACGTCAAAGTTCTCTTGGTGCAGCCAGGGGCTTTCCGGACCGAAGGAATCTACGGCGAAGCCTTCTTCACTGGGAACCCAATACCAGACCATGACGAACTCCGTACCAAAAGTATCGCCCGCTTCGCCGCTATCGCAGGGTCAGAGCGCGGGGATCCCGACAAAGCAGTCGAGGCCATCGTGGACATCGTTCGCGGCGAAGGCGTTGCTCAAGGGCGTCCGTGGCCAAACTACTTGTGGCTCGGTGATGATGCTGAGGCGGATGTGAGGAACAAGTGCAGGAAGGTGTTGACGGAGTTGGACGCGTGGAAAGACGTGACGAGGGGTGTCAACTTCGACGGTGTCTAATGAGCCCGACGGCGGCTTCCGTGCGTTTATTTCCTTGTTGTCGGAGGACGAAGAAGTGGCTGATGCTCAAAGCTTTCTAGATTCAACTATCCGAATCCCACATCTTCGCGTTCAATACGCATTATGTATACACTACGCCATCGTATAATTCATCCGTCTCATGTCATTCGACTTTAGGTTGAAAGATCTCCGGCTGAGACAGTTGAATGAAACGGACCGGGGAAAAATCCTGGTTGAAGACTTGAATCGAGTCATTCCATTGTTACGTATCATACTTGGCTTGGCTGGGTATTTAAAACTTCCTCAACTTCAGCAGCACACGTAGCCACCCAGTTCGCCAGGCTTTCCTTCGTCCATCCCCCCTTGCCCACATCCCGGTCATGATCAACGAGCGTCTCAAGAGAGAGTCGGGCCAGCTGTCTGGAACGCTGTAAAGGGGATGATGAGGGGGGGTCATCTGGAGCAGGTCGCTTCCGCGTGCTCCGCGTGCGTTGCACTCGACCTGCAGGGGTTTGGATGCTTGCCCCATCGAAGTCTGGGTCCATATCTTGGTCGTCATCATCACTGGGGGCAGGTTTGTAGGATTCGGCATCCTCATCTTCAGATGGAACACCGCGTGTCCATGCTTCATAAATGACATAGATGTCGGCAAGCGCTGGTGTGTGGCGTAGTGCATTCACCAGAGCGGCAGTCGACATCTTTTTCAATTTACGACCAAATTCCAGAATGGCAAACTTCGGGTGAATATGAGAACGAAGCGGTGGCATCTCGTTGAAAGGGTAGACATAGTTGGTGAAGCTGTTGGGCGTTGGGGGGTTGTCGGTGGATTGGCGGCTGATGCCAACGTTTTGCATATCACGCAGGGGAATCAACCGATATTCGTAAATTCCATCCTACACATATATTACGGTAGCATGAGAGAGTGCTCAAGCAGAGTGTAATCCATGACTACGCACCGGGACTGTCGGAAAGGCCTTTCGATCTGCAAGACGTATAGCAGCGGGTGCATCGATAAGACTGTGTGCGTATATATCGACAATGTCGGGGGGAGGTAGTAGGGCCCACTGATGTTGATCGTGAAGCCAGTGTAGAGACGATCCAGCTGGTGAGGTGTCATTCTTGGAATCCGCAGAGCGAAAGACACATCTCACCTCGGAAGATGTTGCGTCTCGTGTCTAGGTTCAAACTACCTCGTCTCAGATTCCAGTACCATTCCACGCTATCCATCTGCAATCATAAAATCGTAAGGAAGGGTAGGATGGTTTGGAAGAGGTCTTACAAAATCTTCTTCTTTCCACGAGACTCTGCGAGGTACGAGATGGCAGTAATTGACCGCACGTTCTGGTGGGCAGTTTTCGACAAGACAGCGCGCATGATTGGGATCAACGGAATCAACACGGAATTTGGCAGCTTTTGAAAGTCCTGTGTCGACTAGAATGCGCGACTCGGGAGTACTCTCAGCCTGGCTCGTTGTGGTGGACATAAAGAAGGCTTGATATTACATAAGGCTAGCATTGACTGTTGTATTTGAGAATTACATAAGAACTCCTACAGATTCCAACTCGTGACCGTGTGACCTCCGCGGTCCCTGCATTGGGAGCATGTCGGGTGAGTGTCTAAAGCCTCATCTACCTCAGCTAAGGAAGCTTCCTGACTGCAACGATTCACTTCCAGAGGTCGAAACAGATTCTCATGGAATTCGATCTTCTTCCCTTCGCAAGATTCTCGAAAAATGGCCGAAGGGCATGCCTCAGTCCTTGAACTGGGACGGTTTGGGGAACATCTTCTGGATTTAGCAAGCGACTTCCGATATCGGTGCTCGCAGGAACGGACGGCTGTTTTCGACATCACAGAGGGCGAGGAAATGATTAGGCCCAAGATCGCCACAGCGGCCGCGCACGGGGGAGGCATTGATGTCCCAGTAAACAACGCAGGCAACCTGAAGGCAGTCATTTGTTTCCCAAGATCGACCTTACTGACCAGCACGGTCTTCCTACACTTATGGAAGCAGTAGGGTCAGCCCGTTCCTCTGTATCCGCTCAACGGCCACTAACTCGTGGGTTAGGAAGAAATTATTCCGCAGCCAGTTCGAGACCAATGTATTGGTGTCGTGGACGTGACTACTGCGACCTTGCCTTACTTGAAGGCGAACAGTTCTGGCTGTGTTGTTGTTATCAGCAGTAGATCGGCGTGGAGAAATGAACTACCTGTGCGCATAGTTTGCTTACAAACAGGTTCCTGATTGATTTTCATTTCTCTTTCAGGGACTTAGCGAGACTTCTACGCTCTTATCAAAGTAATGATAGCTCGGTGGACTTCCAGGACATTACGCAGCTTCGAAAGCTGCGATGCACGGTGAGTGTTGCCGAACTCCTCCATATTTCCTGGCGCCTGACCTCAGACATGTTTAGCTGTGACGGTAAACTTGATGGGTCAACTCGGGCCCTTCAATACCAATTCTCCTTCCGTACGGAAGGGATTTGTGGTGAAGCCTACTTCGCAGGGAACCCAATTCGAGGCCACGACGAGCTCCGTACGAAAAGTATCGTGCGCTTCGCTGCTGTCGCAGGGTCAGAGCGCGGGGATCCCGACAAAATGGCTGAAGCCATCGTTGATGTCGAACGATAGCCTCTCAGTTACTATCCCTCTTCCACGTTTCTTCGTCCGCAGGACTGATGAGGCATTGTAGGAATCAACCATCAAACGCCTCCCTGACGAGTTCTACAACCACTTCCTGTCCGATGTGGCCAAAAACCGCATGCCGAGTCCAAGTGAGTCCCACAATTCCCTTTAACGGCAATTTAGCTCCCTAAACGTTAACCTCCCTATTTGTAGTTCGCAGCCTCCTTCCCCTCGAGAGGACACCAGGGGTCATCTCCCTCCTCGCGGGGAAGCCCAACGCGTCGATGTTCCCGTTCACCTCGCTGAGCTTCGCTACCCGCTCGCCCACCTCCCCCTATCAGGAGACGACGATCATGCTTGAGGATGCCGAGCTCCAAGTGGCCTTGCAGTATTCTGAGACGGACGGCCTGAAGCCCCTCGTGGACTGGCTTTACGGCCTGCAAGAGCTGAACCACGGTCGTAAGATTGGCGAAGGCTGGCGCATTACACCCGGATGCGGGAGTCAGGATTTAATCTATAAGGTCTGGATCTTACTTCTTTCATGGGTGATGGTGGTCGGGCTCATCGCCTCCATTTTCCCCCTTCTATATTATCGCGCTCAGGCGGTTCAATGTATGGTCAACTCAGGCGATGCGGTTCTCGTCGAGTCTCCCGTCTATGGGTGCGTCATTTTCGCATGCCCGCGAAGCATTTAAATGATGACCTATTTGTAAAATGCTAGTGGCGTTATCCCTATGTTTGCGTCACTTCATTGCGAGCAGATCGGTGGGTGCTCGGAGGTTTGATGCCTAAGAAAAAATTCTCTGACCGCATCAATTTGTTCTTCCGTTATCATCAGAGGTCGAGACAGACGCCCATGGAATCTGCTCCTCTTCCCTTCGTAAGATTCTCGAAGAATGGCCGAAGGGCAAGCCCAAGCCGAAGGTTTTGTATACTGTTCCTGTAAGCAGCCTCTTATCATCTTCGATATTTCGGGAGCTAAAAAGCAACTTCAGTATGGTTGCAATCCGACGGGCATGACAGCCACGACAGACAGGCGCAAAGAAGTTCTTGAGCTCTCCAGGGAGCACAACTTCATCATCCTGGAAGGTGGGCTATAACCCTCTTTTTCCCCCGTAATACTGAATTTATGGCGAAGACGATCCCTATTTCTACGTGTATTACGGGGAGTCTCCTCGCTACCCTTCTTATTTCCAGCTCGAGCTGAAGGAGCCCGAGGTCGGGCGAGTAGTCCGGTTTGACAGTGTGTCGAAGATTCTTTCAGCTGGTATCCGCATCGGCTTCGCCTCAGGACCTACTGTGATTTTGAACGCGATCGATCAATTGGTGCGTTCGCTCGTGCCAGTGGTAGAAATCCCTGTTGATTTGTCTAACAATCTGGTACCACTGTGATACAATACTAGACATCAACTTCGAATCTCCAAGTGCCGTCCCTAACCCAGGTCATGATTTACCGACTGCTTAGCTCCTGGGGATATGACGGCTTCGCCGCACACGTCAAGCGCGTTGCGGAATTATACAAAGCGAAGCGCGATGTATTCGAGCGTGGGATGCGCAAGCACCTGACAGGGCTTGCGGAATGGGACTCTCCCGAAGCCGGGATGTTTTTCTGGTATACATTCCGTCTCCTTAACATCAATAACCTTGCGACTATTTTTACAGGTTTAAGTTGCTTCTTACGGATGAGGCTGGTCTTTCGCACCAGGGCGACTCCGAGGATGTGATTCGGACCCGTGCTTTTGAGAACGGTATCCTCGCTGTGCCAGGAACTGCCTTCATCCCCAACGGAGGCAAGACTCCATACGTGCGGGCATCGTTTAGCTTGATTGGAGAAGACGAAATAGATACGGCCCTCCAAAGAATCCGTGATGCGATCTTGCAGGAGAGAGCGGCGAGGAAGGCTGCGGTTGTTTAGAAGGTTGGATTCGAAATGTCTAAGGATCAAAGAAAGCCTTAAAAAGCTGTATTTATACTTAGCACTCAGTAGGAGATGTATATAAATCTTCAGCAGGCCGTATACTGTTTCTCACAAGTGGCGTATGATATTTATTCTGTTCTATGCGAATTTTCCTTCGGCGATGGAAAAGGCAGAGTGCTTCCGTTACCCTTAAGGTTAAGCGCTGGCAATTAGAGAGATAAGATAAGATGTCGTCTCGAGTACCAAAGTGGCCAGCCTCGCTTTCATCACGCTTTCATCACGCTTTCATCATCTCAAAATGACAGAACCGATCGCGGAACCCACATACGCGACCTATGTGGGCGGCGAAGTGCAACATGAATCCGACCATATCGACAGTACCCACAACTCGACCCAGTTCTCTAATCACGCTCAGGTCCCAGACCTATCGGATGTCGGTGACAATCCCAAGTGGATGTGAGCCCGATGTCGATCTGTAGTTCGACGACGGAACTGTTTGCGTTCGTGCCGAGAACACGGTTTTCAGCGCTTATCGCGGCATTTTGGAGGTGTTTTCCGTGGGAGGTGGCCTGAGGGCAAGATGGTGGTATAATAGAGGACTTGATGCTCCTCCGCCTTGCAGAACCCGCCACCCATGTACGGATGATGCTCAAACTCTGTATGACACCAGGCGCGTCTTTTCTTCTGTGAAAGAGGCTCTAAGCGATTGACCGACCGCGCCTCCTTTATCAGTTACATCGAGACTCGGAGGCCTCCTTCCGATGTGAACTTGGACGTTCTGTTTGCGCCCATGCGAATGGGGTTCAACTACAAGATCGAGATGCTCTATCAGTGTGCTCTTGGCCACCTTGTCACTGGGTTTCCCGGCACGTTGCAAAAATGGGACAAGCGTAATTCTCAGCGAACCTTCCGGCTTCATGGGAGCGCAGGAGAGGACCTGAAGATCTTGTACTACCTCATTCACTGTGATGCTTGGTGGATACTCCCCGCGACAGCTTATCATTTCCTCACATTCGACCGTCTCAAAAACATTCTTGCGGCTCCGATTTGGGCATATTTCAAGAAGGAGCACCAGGACAAGTTGCTTTTGGGCTATGTCGAACAGCTCACAGCTCACAGGAGAATATCCCAATTTATTCCTGGTATTCCTGTGAGGGGATGCAGCAACTATTGGGGGTGTACAAAGGTGGCAAAGAAGTGGTTTGCCTCAATGGCGAGGGAGCGCCAGAATGACCCACTTGCGATGCCCTCGAATTATCGTGAAAGCATCAAGCAAATTTACCCCGAATGCCGACACCAATGTCGAAAGAGACACGAGGCTGCACGCGAGGCGTTTTGGGAACGATTACCGGGCCTTTTGTTTGATGGGATAGGGCGAGACACACTGAGGGAGAAGAAACATGCAGCGAAATAGGCGGTGGTGGTCATGAATTCTCGACTACAATCAAAATTACTTGGAGTTACAGTATTACGACGACCAAGTCTACGGGCAGTTTCTGAATGCCGTGCAAAACTGTTAAACATTTGGGGATCCTTGGTTAGCAATTTCGGAATGTAGTGCTCAAGTCAACGTTAGGGCATGGGAAAATTATCGGCAATTTCCGAATCACGTGTCTCTATCCACTGCCACGACCGATTAACATTCGGATCCAAGTCTCAAGAAATATCGGCCTAGTATCTGGTCAAGATGAAAGCATAAGGGTTTGTGAGTGCTGGCGTTTTATTTACTCGACAAGGGGAAGCTAATAACTCACAACGATAGGGTCATGCCTTCAGAATTTGTGGGCCATTTTACACGGCCTCTCACCGTGAATGCGTCACGGCCAAGCTCGCCACTCAGAGACCGCACATCTCTACAAGCTACTGATGCCCATGACGGTCGAAAGACAGATCTTCATGCGCTGCTCGTGAAACTCAGCCGGGACGGGTCCACTAGGCACGATGTGCGCGACAGCATCGAGGTTCTTCGGAAGATATCTACAGGTGTCTTTCAATCGCAAGACGTAAACGGAGTGGACTCGGAGGAGGCAGCCCTAGAAGCAGCCGTTGTTGGAAAGCTGACTGTGGCTCTCTATGCCGATGCGCTCGACGTGTATCTCCGACAGGCTACGCAGGTGGAGGCGGAGTCAGAGTGGTGGTCAGATGTCGAAAACTCTAGGATTTCACTGGGACTATATCTTGTGCAAAGTGCGTTGTTTTGCGGTTGGCTCATTTACTGAATTGCTTACAACGTGAGGCAGCTCTACCATCTCGCCTTATACGCGTATTCAAGACTATCGTTGAAACTCTGCGGCAACGTCAGCTCCCTGTCACTTTTTCTTCACTATCCCCATCGTCGATTCGTGCCCTCTTTCTGTCTCCGTCCCATTTCACCCTCAAACCAGGACTCCTAACAACTGCATTCTTTCCTCACCTTCGACACCAACCATCACTTTCGCTCGCGGTCCTCTTTCCTGCTTCAACTTCGCAGTCATTGTCGCGTGAGGACTTGAGCAAGTCTTTCATCCTAAAGCCGGTGACGAGAGCATATAGACGGTTTACGCATTCAGTGACTCTGTTTGCTCGATTTTTGGACCTTCCATTGGAGTTGACGAGACAAGAATGTCGACACCATCGTAAAATGCTAGAGAAGTTGCGTGACGAGCGTGCAGAAGTGCTCGGCCAGTTGGCTCAGCTCCGCACGCCACTGGTAGGCCTGACTTCATCCTCATGGAATCTTTCGAAGAAGGAATACACGTCATTCTTGGACACCCTCAATCGTAACGTGTCGACGGCGGAAAAGGCGAACTCGAACTCTCCGCCAAGTTCACCTCTAACTCTTCTTGCCATCATCTCCGAAACCCTCCCGACTCTCGACGCTACACATACCCAGCTCCTCAAAACTCAACACCTCCTGCGACCGTCGACACTCACGCGGATCTGGCCTTCTCTCCTTGTCCTGCCGCCGTTATCTCTCTACGTGTACAACACCCAGACCTCGTGGGTACCAGCCATCATAGAGATGGTGAAGGATGGAAAGGAGACGGTGCACGGCTTCGTTCAAGGCTGGCTCGTCGACCCCCTTCTCGACGTCATCCAGACTGTCCGAGCGGGTGGACGTCGCGAGATGCTCGTACACGAAGAGGGTGTCCTCGCAGATCTCGAGGTAAATTTTATTTTCGTTCTTTTATCGAGCCTGGTATGCTCATATCTAATCACAACAGAGTTTGGAACGGATGACGGTCTCGCTTGCCCGTGACACTCTCAATTACTCTGCCGATCAGCTCGAGGCGCTCGCGGAGAAGGTCCGCATGGGCGACCTGACACCCGTCATGCAGGTATACGAGGAGGATATCCGCACGCCCTTGCGCTCCGCGTTGACGGGCACACTGCTTCGAAATGCCTTTATCCAAGTCCAGAAAGCCAAAGTGCGTAATTTCTCTCTTCAGTCGCCGAGGTAGACTGACGGCCTTGGCCAGGTGGATATCGATCAAGCCCTGTCAGGCATCGACCGGCTCCTGAAGTCCCAAGAGCTGACGTTCGCCTTTGTCGGAGTTGCACCTGCCCTCGCAATCGTATGGACGCTTCTTGACCTCGTGGGCCGTGTTTGGAGCGGTGGTAGAGGACGGGGAAAGTATGGCGGAAGGAGACGACGAAGAGGCGTTTGGGAGGGCATGAGGTCGGTCCTTCGCTTCCTCCTCCCCCATATCTCATCTTACATCCCTTTCCAGGCGAATAGAGCGACTTCTGATCCAACAGCCCTCCGGACCGTCACCATCTGCTTCCGACCAGGACGGTGCCCCGCTCTCCGCACTCTCGACGGGCCTTCTCTTCCTCTCCCTAACTAGATTGCGTTCGTACGCTTTACGGTACCTTCCCCCGAATGTCCGGGCGCCGTTCTTGGAAGACCTGAGCGACTTGGAGGATACGAGTCTGGGAAGGGACGCGAAGCTTCGTGTTGTGGATCGGATGTGGAGATGTTGGGGTACTGGCGGGGAGGGTGTTTTCCGCTTCTAGGTGTAGGTAGGATCGAGGATATTATTTCGAGGACGACAGAGTTCTTGCTCAGATGAGGGACGATATTAATCAACTACATAAATTGCATGAACGCCAATTATAATCTATGACTCGGGAATTAGTATATAACGCCCTTTGTTCTCTTCCGCCTACCCTCTAGAATTGTACTAGGTGATCTGGAATTCGATCGACGTTGGCACTTTTAATCTGATAATTGGGTTCCGTTTGGCGGACTGTATTCTGTCGAATGCAGTTGTCCCTCACTTGCACAATTGAAGCGTAAAGTATCCAAGCCGCCTCCCTCTTCTAGTTGAGGACGCCTTTGGTGGATATTCGGCTGGGTTTTCATCGTGCTGAGTGCATCCTTCTTCCGAGCGACGCGTGAGATAATGAGGAATGGCGACAAGACCTCAAGAACAGAGTCAAAATAAGCCCAAGAAGAGTAAAATTAAAGCGACAACTCACAGAAGCATGTGCCAGCAGTTGGATAGGGATCGCTGACGTATCTGTGTCCAGTAAAAAGAGGACGATGAAGGCAACGTCGACGACAAAGATGAGCGCGCATGATTCGACACAAATGGCAATCGTCCTCGAGTAGGGGGAACCGTATTCTGTGCCGAGAATCTTCCGCGTGTTCCTTTGATGGTAATAGAGCCGGACAGTGACCAACGCTGCGAGCGCCAGGTTCACAAAGGAGGTAAGGGAGACCAGCAAGAGAGTGATAAAAAATGGGTTGGTGGGGATATCGAATAAAAGGAACAGAGTGCCGAAATAGGTCGCCGGAAGCATGACCCCTGCGACTAAATGCATGGCTTTAGTTGAGCCACGGACAATTGTGGTAAGGTTTTGAACTCACAGAGGAGCAGACATGACAGAAATCCGAACGAAATATAAAGGGCTATTCGCTATGCGCGGGGAACACCTTGATAGAGCATGATGCAGCGATACATCTAAGATATTTCAAAAATGCCTTCTACATTTGAAACAGGAATCTCACTCACCATGAAGCCATCCGCACCCCACAATGCCAGTGGAAAGAGCAGGACTTCCAGGCCATTAAAAGGTCCGAAGGCCCCGAACTGATAGAATAAACCATTAACCTGGAAGGTCGACTTCATCGTCACCACGACTCCCAGGATGAAGGACACCGTGCTGACAGCGGTCATAGCCACGATGTAGATCAAGGTAAAATTCCTGACCCGTGTCTTGTTCTTCCAGACCACACGAAAGCAGTCGAGCGATGTCACGATGACAATCCCATATGCAACTCCCGCGATTATGGTACCCAGCATATGAAGTTCGAGAAGAGCTTTCTCTCCAAAGCCCAAGTCGCCGGGAGAATCGTCGCTAGTGCTCATCGTAGTACGCTTGAGGCTGGTGAGATGGTGGTTGACCGTGGTTGAAAGCAGGGTACGTCCCATTGAGGCGGGACTTATACACCGCCCAGCAGAGCGCAAATCCTGACAAGGCTCAGCGCTCAGGCATGATTTGGTGGCCGGAACGTTTTACATAAAGCCCGAGGCGTTAGGCAGGTAAGAGTCCAGATGATAGAGTGGCGCTTATTCTCCACTGGACAACACATCATTCGGCTATCTGGACCGAGGCTTCTCACATGTAAGAAGGGGTTAATTTCGAAGCAGTACTAGCCTTTCTAAATCTGTCTTATTACAGTTCAACGTGTCAGAGCGGAGGGGAGGTGGTCCTAACTCATCTGAACGTCGTCAGGATAACCGAGCGGAGTCTAAAGAAGCACCGCCATACAACGAGATTGTGTTGTTGGTACCGTTGGCGATAGCGAGCAGGTCTGTTTCTCGAACGCAAGACGCCGGATACAGTGATGGGGTCCCTCCTGAGTGACGGAACGCGAAGTCACACTAGCATTATTTGTGGGTACTATGCATTTACTTCCGAATTACGCACAAAGGCACCTTGTGATGTCCTCCGAAAACATAAATTTACAGGAGAAGAAGAAAATATGTAGTTTTATGAGAACACTAGAGGTTTGCTTGTGCTCCGCGTGGAGATCGTGTCTTTAAATTTCAGAAAATAATATCTGAATTTAACTGAATTTCACTCGAGGTCTCGCTCCTCCGTCGCCAAATTTCACTGCTCTTCTCCCCAGACGAGGGACCTGCCTTATGAAGAGCAGCTGACTTTTGGTAAGCTCTCCAACGGGGTCGAGCTATATACAGATTTCAGCAGGGAGGAACGAAAGGAGGAAGATGACACGGGGTTGCAGGCAATAATGCAATAGCCTTTGTGGTGGTCAAATATCTCGTGAGGGGGACGAGATCCGAAGGGAAATGGGAGAGAGAAAAGTCTCAGGCCAGAATAGGCGTAGTATTGTACTACGTCACGGTAGCTAGAAAATGATAACAAAAGGATGGATGCAAAAAAGAACAGAGCTCTGGGCGAGGCATAACGAGCTACATGGGAGTGAGCACGAAGAGACAGGAAGTACGGTGATATTAAAATATAAGGGCGATGAAGAGCAAAGAGGAGGGCATGAAAATTAAATCTAATCTAATCCAAACGTGTCGATGCGTCGCTCGCTCTCATAGACCCTAATTGATATTTATCCCCTCCGCAGTGTGAGTTGCTCGGCCGAGTCTGAGCGTTTAACTAGCACCTATGGACTGCCTCGCCTGCTTTAAATACGCTCTGAGGATTATAATCCATAAAATACTCTGAGGACACTTTAACTGGGAGCTACTTAGGCGCCCACTTTCAGGAAATCCTACGAGGGCCATGATAGTGGGATTATTGGGAAGCCAGAGGCAGACATGGACAGTATCCAGGTCATCGCATTTAAGTGAAATCCCAGCTAATGTGCTAAGACTCCCGGGCATCTCGCATAATTCCTTTCACTTCGTTGTTGCTCGGTAGGAGGAGGAGGAACTATTGTTCATTTATCACACACGGCCTTGATGCTCGTTTCTTTCAATCCCTACTATCTCTTGGGCAGTGCACGGCCAAGGAAAAGGTAACATGTACAGGGCTCGAGGGGAAGTCAAGCCACCCGCTCTGTTGTCGGGGTGTCCGACAAGGTGGGTGAAGTTCGGGCCTGCCAGTGTTGGATTATGGACGGCAAGCCTGAGCCGACTCCATCCCGTTTTGGCGCCCGCACCTCTAGCGCCGCCATCTCGCCACAAGTGTGTGCTTTAACTTACTCTTTTGTTTACTCTCCGTATTGCATCGCCTTCCATTTTGTACCTGTGCTATTCTTTATCGCACTTTTTTTCATTTTATCTCTGGGATATTCAATCTTGATTTCCTCCTGTTCCACTTACTTCTTTCGAGTACTCTGCGGACAATGTAGCTACTCTACATATAATTTGAAGTTTCGGACTTGTGTCATTTCCCTCGACCGCTTGCTTCCCAAACGACTGAGGTGAGTTATTTACCTACTGTTGAATCACTCGTGTACTTATTTATGCACGTCGTCACCGAGCTCTTCGTGTTAGGGCTCCTACAGAGCTCAACACCTACTAGGTCTGCACACCCTCTCGAGCCTGAGTTAACCGCTATGGCGCACCTTCGGGATTCTCCTCATTTTGGCCAACAGTCACGCATACATTGGAAGCGGTGCCAGGAACCCCTGGCACCGCTCTGAGAACCACGACCTCCTTCCAAATACAGACCTGCTCGCTATCGCCAACGGTAGTTGGGTAAGCAGAAGGAGTTTACGCCACACGCCGAGTTACCTTTTCTAGTCTTATGGTGCGTGAATATGACGTAATCTTCAAGACCGGAGTTATCTGCTCGCGATGCGTACGGCGGTGAATGACTGTGGCCATGTAGCCCCTTCGATGTGATCCGGGATGGAAGGTGCAAAAGCTTCTTCCGCGTAACTTCAAAGCTGTTGACGCCTGAAACAGGGCTGATAACAACGGCATTGTTCCCTAATCGATACCAACCATCACTCTCCATCGCGGTCCTCTTTCCTGCTTCAAATTGTCGTATGAGGACTGGGGCGATTCTTCCATCCAAAGGTCGGTGACGGGAGAATGTAGAAGGTTTACGCATTCAGTGACTCTGTTTGCTCGATTTTTGGACCTTCCATCGAAGTTGACAAGACAAGAATGTCGACACCACCGTAAAATGTTGGAAAAGCTGCGCGACAAGTGTGCGGAAATGCTCGGCCAGCTAGCTCACCTCCGCGCGCCATTGACGGACCTTACTTCCTCTTTGTGGAATCTCTCAAAGAGTGAGCACACGTCATTCCTAGACACCCTCGGCCGTAGCATGTCGACAGTGGAAATCGGCCACTCTGCGCAACATTTCCTATGAGCGTCGACGCTAACGCGCATCTGACCTTCAGACTTCTCTTCCTGCCCTGCCGCCTTTATCTTAATCAATGAAATACTTGAATTATAATCGATAACTCGGGAATTAGTCTAAAATTAAGGGCCTTGCGTCCTCTTCCGCTTACTGTCCCATATGCATTTATTCTCCGCCTCCGGGCCTGGGACACCTCTCTGATTGTGCGAATGACACAGGGTGCTCTGTGAAATTCGATCGGCGGTAGGACTTTTAATCTGATAATTGGGTTCCGTTCGGGGGAATGTATTCTGTCGAATGCTCTTTTCCCTCACTTGCGTGGCTAAAAATGAAGCGCAAGGTCTCCAACCTGCCTCCCTCTTCTAGTTGAAGTTGCCTTTCGTGGATGTTCAGCTGGGTTCTCATCGTGCTAAGCACATCTGTCCTCCGAGCGACGCGTGAGATAATGAGGAACGGCGACAATATCTAAAGAGCAGAGTCGAAATGCGCCCCAAGTACAATAAACCCGACAACTCACAGAGGCCTGTACAAGCAGTTGTCCAGGGATTACTGATGTATCTGAGTTCAGTAAAAAGAGGACGATGAAAGCAAGGTCGACGACAATGATGAGCGCGCATGATTCGATGCAAATGGCAATCGTCCTCGAATAGGGGGAGCCGTATTCTGTTCCGAGAATCTTCCGCGTATTCCTTTGATGGTAATGGAGTCGGACGGTGACCAACGCTGCGAGCGCTAGGTTCACAAAGGAGGTGAGGGAGACCAGCAAGAGAGTGATAAAAAATGGGTTGGCGAGGATGTCGACTAAAAAGAACTTAGTAGGGCTGAAAGAGACAACAGGAAACATGATCCCTGAGACTAAATTCCTGGGTTTAGTTGTGCCAAGGAAAATGGGAGTAAGACTTTAAATTTACCAAGCAACAGACAGGACAAAAGTCCGAGCAGACTGTGAAGGATTATTCGCCATGCGCGAGGGACACCTTGATAGAGCATGATACAGCGATACATCTAAGATATTTGAAAACGCCGTCTACATGTGAATAGGAATCTCACTCACCATGAAGCCATCCGCACCCCACAATGCTAGTGGGAAGAGAAGAGCGTCCAGACCAAAAATTCCGAACATATCGAACCACGAAGTGTTAAACCGGAAGATTGAATTCACGAACGTTACGACTCCCAGCATGAATGACACCGAGCTGACGGCGGTCATAGCCACGATGTAGATTAGGGTAAAAGTTCTGATCCGTGTCTCGTTCCTCCATACCATACGAAAGCAGTCAAGTGATATCACAATGACGACCCCATATGCAACACCAGCGATTAAGGCGCCCAGCATATGAAGTTCGTAAAGAGCTTTCACTTCAAAGTTCCAGTCGCTGGTAGAATCGTCGCTAGTGCTCATCGTGGTACGCTTGCGGTCTATGAGGTGGTGGTTGAAAGCAGAGTACATCTCATTGACGGAAGGCTTATATAGGACTGAAAATCCTGATAGAACGCAAGGATGAGTTTGTCCTTTTGCCCTCAGTACGTTTTAGGTCCGAGGAGCTAAAGCCTCGATGTGGCGGGTGGTCCACGTGGTGTACAGTCCACTGGGTCCCTACTTATGTAAACGACTCGTTTTGGGCATATCCGCCTTTGCCAATGTCTTAGCGCCGGAAAAGACGGCGCGGCAAGAGAAGCGATCAACTACAAATTCGCTGGAAACTTGTGCAGGCCTTTCTCGATCCGTCTGACTGTAGTTGACCGTGTTTCAGCGGAGGGAAAGTGGTCCGAACTCATCTGAACGCATCAAGATCGCGGCACAAAATCTAGAAAAGCAGCGCCATAAGGTATCACCCGTGCTTAGAATACAATGTTGTCAAATTACGTATGGATAAGGCGATAAGATTCTAGTCGAGAATCGTTGATCAGCTCTTGCTGTGTCCGTACAGCCATTCAAGAGAAGCTCAGAATTTCATATTAATATGCTTCACATCCTTGAGGATTGAACATCTCATTTACTGTTAGTCATATACCTGCATTTATATTCATAGCCGTGGTCGGGCGCTAATCTATAAATCTGTGCCTTTTTCCCCAGAATAAAAATCCAAGAGCCACTCGCAGTTGGACCGGACTCGCTCTAGTTATAAATGTATTTCAATTTCTGGTAGCCTATAATTAATGGGATCTGGAAGGAGCCTCCGCCACACACCGCGGCCGAGTTGCCTTTTCTAGCATTGCGGAGCAGCGTGAATATGACGTAATCATCTTGCCGGAGTTATCTACTCGCAGTGCATACGGCGGCGAAGGACTCTGGCCGTGCGGCCACTTCGGAAGGTGCAGAAGCTGATTTCATGCAATGCCAAATCTGTTAGCAACCTGTGGTAGTCTCTGAATAGGACGCACGGTGCTGTCTTCCGTCGACTTCATCCCGAGGCCGTGGTTGTTATGGCACTAATCCCCGACTAAACGAGGAAGAGGCTCGTACATGCATCAAATAAAATATGCCTCTTCCCGAGGTCGCTTTACGAGCCCAGGTTTCTTGATTCTTCGAGTACATAATATGCAATGCTGGCCTCTCTGTCAGATGGTATACAAGCACCGATTGACGAGTATTGAGCCATAGAGATAAATATAAGGAAGTTTGAATTGAAGCATACCGGATAAACCTGCGCATCTTGGATATCAGCTATCGCATCCATAGCGGGGTCTTGCTGTAACTCAGATTTGATCCTAAGGTATTTACCTCATATCTCCGACTGTTTCACGTGTGTTTCATCGAGGGCTTCCGGAAGAACTGGAATCTACTTTACGCATAACTCCTCGGCCAGCTGTGTAAAATTCAAGTAAAATTAGCCTGCTGTAGCGCCAATCCGTTTCGTATCAAAACGAAGGGTCTCGAGTTCGACGAACGGCCTGGTGGTGGTAGCATACGACGACGACAACCGGAACATTGGCGACGAAGCATACACGACGCTGTGCTGCGTTGGTGGGGATCTTCCTTTAAATTTAAATTTCTTTGAATTTCGCCTAGAGCAGGTGAGGAACACTTGTTGCGGCCCGGGAACCGTACTCACGATAACGCGTGAAGTTTGTCACGAACTCGAACTACATTGCTTTGCTCCTTGTATGCTCCTACAGGCTACCATTCAATGAGACTGGAAAGCAAGATGGGCCGCTTCCACAGACTCGACAGCCTTTATTTCGACCCAGTTGGACGCCGCGACCTTCCAAGATGCACAACGACGGGGTGTACACACCGATCGACCCATTCAAGCCCCCGCTGTCCTACGGCGTCCACAATATCTTCTCCTCTGGCCGTTATGACCCCACCATAGGCGATATTCCTATTTCTCCACCAGATCGCGTTCAGGCACCTGGAGCTAGGCGAGCCAGTGGTTGGCGGCGAGTGCAGTGGGAAAGTCAACCGCGACAAGAAACGAAAGCTCGGCCTACTGCTGGTTGGGGTGTGTCTGGAGGGGGTGGAGGGGGTGGAGGGGGAGATGTATCGGGAGAAGAAGAAGAAGAAGAGTGGGGAAGTGGGCCGTCGAGGAAGCACCCTAGGTCCGGCAATTAGGATCTGGAGTCTGATGCATGCGACGGTGAGTAAGACGGGCTCGAAGTTGAATGATTCAAGGAGTTAGATACTCACGAAAATATTCAGATGGTGCGGTAATTGGAGCATCTGCCAGTCGAATACCTCCAACGAAGGAGATCGGCAATGCAGGCAGTGATAAGGTGCAGCCGAATCTCGCCTCAAACCAGGCTCTGCTGCTTCTGCAACCCCAGAAGTCGACTACTCAAGATACACATGGCTCACAGACTCTGTCAAACACTCTCCCTTCAAGTCTCAAGGAGACGTTGAAAGCATCGACCACGACCCGCATACAACGGATGCCACTGACAGCACCGTGAAATACGCCACCGCCTTCATCCTTGACGCCGTGTCCCGCCAAATCAACACGTATCTTCTTCTCAGCGTCCCTCACTTCTATTTCTCCCGCGTAACGCGCATATTTGAGGAGGCATATATGTCGATGCATCAAACGGGGGGATATTTCACCTTTGAGCTGCAGAGCACAGGGCTAGCGTTCATCGACTCCTTGATGCGCGAGGGGGAGACTCAACATTATTTTTGTCCTGCTGCTTGGGTAGGTTCATTCTTTCCTTTCACCTTTTCTCATCGAATCTCGTCATCTCCAGGGCTATCTTGAAGATCTTTCAAATCGAGAGCGCAGCCGGCGACCTGCTCACGCGACATTCGGCGCTCCTATCAGTGGTGTGCGCGCTCATGAGTCTGGTCTACGAGTACATGTACATCGTCTGCTTTAGGACCATGCGCAAGACATACAAGGCAGCAACCCTCCCAAAAATTCGTCCCAACCACTCAGTACCTCGTCCTCCCCGTTAAGAGTCGCAAAAGTCAAGAATGAGGATATATTCTGGAACGTCTGGGTATTCCTCGCGATGCCTGCGACGTGGCTAGCATGTATATGCCCATTCCCTCCCACCCAACTCATTACCCCTCTTACACCCCTTCCTCGCGTACCCGGGTCTGTGCTAGCCTTCATTTTCTGCATTCTATCTCATATGGCGAACCGGCACCCTCGAAGACTCAGCAGCCGTCCGCGGTCCTCCAACACGTGTACAGGCACTCATTCCCCAACTCGTTGTCTCCGCTGTGTCTTGCGTAGGAGCAGTGTACTTTATGTTCATTATGGGGACGTTGAGGCGGTATGGACGTGGCAGAGGCGAGTCGATGAGTGGTTGAATGACGGCGAAGCGGCGAAGCAGATGATAAAAGGAAACAAAGCTCAGTAGACGGCGAGGGAATAAGGGACCGAGCCGGGCGTTTCTCTTACTGTCGTTGGTGCACGTGAAGTACTATTTGCGTCCTGGCGGTCGCCACGCTCGACATAAGCCCGAGAGGAGGGAGAACGAGTGTGTCCTTCGTCCGTGCGATCTCGGACCCTGGCGGGCTACCTGTAACGTCGACCAATGATGGTATGGCCTTGGCGGAGCTCGTACCCAATTTCTTGGGCCATGTCTGGAGCAGTGGAGGGATATGGATGGTGTATGGTAGGAGGATGATACGAAGCCTAGAAAGGTGGTTTCAAGCCCGCGAGAATTTTGTTGATGGTTATTTGAACTCAATAACCACAGAATTCCGAGATCGCTCAGCGCGCCACACGGCGAATTCCCTTTTTGGTCTTCTCGCTAAATTTGACTCCTCCAAGAAGAAGAAAGATACTCAATGGTATGCGCGAAGGCGAGGGTCACAGGGCTGGTGGGCACTCAATTCTTCCATACACGATTCGGAACAAATGGAATCTGTTTACAGGGACTTTCTTTCGTTTCCTGAACCGTTTCCGAACCGGTATAAGTTTAATCAGCGACGCTGAGGTGGATGAAAGAGCTCGAGGGCTGCAGATTTTAAGGTAAAATCTCAAGATAAATGTCCCATAAAATCGAGAGATATTCATTCATATACTTAGATCTAGGCTTTCCTGACTTGACTGACTTCGGTTACACAGGCACTACAATCTTGGAGCAGGTTCTCTATTAGCGATTCAAGGCCGCCAATTTCTGTTCTTGAAATGCCAAGAAACTCGGATAACTCCCTGTTCAAGAGGAGCTAACTTCTTGAAAAGCGCCGGGGACATATCTGCCTCCCAGTCAGCGCGCTGAGCACGAAACTTAGCAAGGAAAAAAGCGCACCGATGTCGTCGTCGCTGCACGAGTGGCAGCTGTCTCTGGTGAGGCCGTACGCACTTTTCCCGTTGGCTGTGTTGATAATCTCCATATACTATGGGGAGATACAAATTCGAAGACGAGTAGAATAGAACACCGTGAGTCAATTATCCGACAAACGACAGAGAAAAGCCGTACCTGATCGCAGTTGCTACCCCTGTTGCGATCGTACAGCCTCTTTCCAATAGCAACGACGAAGTCATTGTCGTTGTTCCATTTGCCGCAGTTACCGAGGCCTGGAGAATCGGTTAATGAGATTTAGAGCGGCCCGATTATGTTGAGAGCATTAACCAGGATAGAACCAAGTTCCCTTCGAAGAATATTGGAGTGAGTATGCAAAGAGTGCAGGAGAAAAAGAGGACTTACCCTTCCAACGTGATCGATACGTTTATCTATGTCGACCAACTCATCCTCTTGGGTGGTGGCTGACGGGAGAGGGGATGCGAGGGTCAACATAACGGACGTGAACACGGCGAAGAATACAGCGACGCGTTGCATCTCGGACTGGGAGGGCGTTATGTTAAGAGCAGTCGGGGAGGAGCCCAACTACAGCTTTGGATGATTGAGCTCTGCGAACTTTTATATCTTTCAGAGGGCCATAGTCGTGAACGAATCAAAGTAGTGTCCTCATTTAAGTCGGAGAGCGCTGAAAGCCGAAGCACGGCGCTCATGCAGCGACTTCGGAGGATGACCGAGTTATTCGGGGAATCTATGGGTCTGATTCGCTCCGGTAATGAGAGATGTGGGTGTGAAAGAACGGTCTTTAGCGTCACAAACCTGCTTCCGTGAGTCGCAAAGACTCCGAGAACATTATACCGGCCTTGTCAAAGAATCTAGAAAGTTGAAACGAATTTTGCTCGGTATCCTTCAAAAAAGGTACCCTCCGTATTTGATCACGATAAATGTCAGGAGACGTAGAAGAGGAAATGTGAGCTCACGATGATCCTTGACTCTGAGTAGCGAGTGGACGATAATTACTGTCTCCACTATATTATGAGAAATAAATATCTATGAGCTCTGGAAATAAGCATGACGAATCCAACGTTTAAAATAAATTAGATGGAAGGAATTTGTACTGACAACTCTTGGAACTTAATCGCGTCCATCCTGTATCGACTTCTGAACAGAGGAACTGGGAATCGCTTTCTCCATCTTTGGAAGCGATAAAAAGGCTTCTACATTACCAAGGACTTGTTTTTCGTCAGCACGAAGGACATCCCACGTATTCTCGTCCCTAAGCATCATTGTCGGTAGTACCTTCCAAAAGGCTTTTCTTCCTTCTTCATGCAGTTTCCGACATCGATTGAAGCACGGAACACAGACCCCCTGGAGGAACTTCCCTTGCCTTCCTGCACGGGATAATCTTTCCAGGGGGGTATTGCACCGCCATTCGAGCGATTCCAGATACCACTTCCGCGCGATTTCCCGACAGGCTCCTTTCGACTGGCATCCTTCAGCTGAGATATGTCCCAAAAAACTATACGCCCGACGCCCGGCGCTCGTCTGCATCTCGTGAATGGCTATGACGGATTCACGCTGGTGTTCTGTCAACTTCTTTTTGTAGATGTCGTTTTTCACGATGTCGATAAGTGAATGGGTGCAGCATGAATGTAGCAACGCTGGAAGCAGCCACCAGATGCGGGCGTTTGCCGCATGCACGACAATTTGGAGGAGGGTAGATAGGAAATCTTCGTCTGAACGTGGCACAATCACCGTGGCAGCTGAGGGATTGTCCCATTTCTCCAGAGTGGTCGGAAACAGAGACGACAGGTGTTTAAGCGCCAGCTCGAATAGAAGGCCTATCTTGTAGGCGAATCCAAGGTAAAGCATGGATACAGCAGTCTTGAGCTCTACATTGGCTAGCGGATTCTGAATGAAGCTGCGCATAGCTGCTGAGCGTTTGAACCCGCTTCGAGGTTGTAGAGACGTACTTTAGATTATATATCGCGAGAAGCATCAGCTTTACGTCGCCGTCTTTCTCGAAAAGCGTAAGAGGGAGAGGATCTTGGTTTTCTCGGGAAGGGTGGTTGGTGTTCTTGTACAAGATATCCCTGAAAAACAGCGAGCGCCCAGCGAGAATGCTTCGATGGACACGAAAGATCGTGGTCTCTGCCCTCACATGTATGTTCCCATCGTCATGCCAGAGGTCGCTATCCTTCTGGTAGTCGTCGGTATTGAAGTTCTCGTGATTGTAATTGGGGTCCATGGTAAAGCGGAATGAAGGGAAGGAGAAAGGGATACAAGGCGCACCTCCGAAGCCTCGAGGCAGTTGTCCAGCCCTAGATTAGATAAGATCACTTGCACTGCCCGCACGGTACTATATTTGAGCCTTTCGTTTGGGGTAAATAAAGGACATTTGCGTAATTTTATCTGGACGAGCTCGCCTTCATGATGCACGCCAGTCGCGCAATCGACATAGGCGCAAGCATGCAGCGTGCCTCAAGAATTGTCAATTCCAGCACTGTACATTGGCATACATCTTTGCCCAGAAATATCAAAAAGAGTGGGGTTTAATAAACACTCAACCGCCCGAAGTTCATGACCAGAAAAACCTTGACCCTCATCCTATCCATCTTCTCTACCGTTCGCCATTCCGAACTTCGACTCTACCATGCTGGCGTTGTCAACCATGCGAGAAATTCGTGTTTCAACGGCAGCCCTCCAGTCGCCATCTTCGTCGTTGGAGCGTATAATCGGAAAAGAACACAAATGTTCTCCCTCTCGTCCATACGTTGTAACGGGAAAACTCTGGAGCGACCGCCGTAGTTCTTTGTCCAAACCGCTCAGCTCTACAAGCCCCGGATAATCTTTTCTCAGATATATATCCTCCCCATTGATCACGTCCGGATATTGCTGTAGGTCGGGAGAGTATGGTCTGTTGAATCCGTCCCCCATCCAGGTGGATGGTGGAAGCGCAGGGTCTCCAGTCGACCTGAAGCGACGTCAGGGTTCCCTCGAGACTTTAGAGTGTGCAATACATCTGTCCCTCGGGCGACGCGGGCGATGAGCAGAAATGGCGATACGACCTAACATAAAGAATTTAAATCGATCAAGGAGAGGTGATAAGAACAAGCACTCACGGAAATATGTGCTAGAAGCTGCTCGGGAATCATCGAGGCGTTTGCTTGTTGGAAGGCAAGGACGATGAAGATGAGGTCGAAGATGACGATCAAGGCGCATGATTCGACGCAAATAGCGATCGTCCTCGAGTAGGGGGAGCCGTACTCGCTTCCAAGGACCTTCCTGGCGCTCCTTTGATGTTGGTAGAGTCGCAGGGTGACCAACGTTGCGAGTGTCGTGTTCACGAGAGTGGTGAGGGCGACAAGGACGAGAAAAATCATCCTTGGGTCGTTAAGGATGAAGGGAATGCTTGAGAATATGCAGAAGGGAAGCAAGATCCCTACGGCTGGATTAACACTCTTAGTTTTGGTAAACGAAGATCAAGGTATGTTTTGCTTACCGAACAGAACAAATGCCATAACGCCGAGAAGACAGCGGAGGGCGATTCGGGACGCGCGAGAGACGCCTTCATAGAGTATCATACAGCGGTACATCTACGATCTTTCAGAACCACTTTCCGGATATGAAAGAGAAAGTTCGCTCACCATGAGACCGTCTGCACCCCACAACGCCACTGGATAGAGCAAAATTTCCAGCCGAAATGGACCAACCGCAATCGGAACGTTAGTTTGAAAGATCATTTTCGTCGTCACTACGACTCCCAGAATGAATGACGCAGTGCTGACGAGGGTCATAATCACGATGTAGACCAGCATAAATTCTCGAAGGCGCGCTGCCTTCCTCATAACCAGCCGAAAGCTGTCAAGAGCGATGATGATGACGATCCCGTATGCTACCCCGGAGATGATGGTACCGAGCATATGAAGCTCGACACCGATATCTGGTCCAGGCACAAGAAAGGTGCGAGAATTGGTGCCAGTGGCCATTGTGGTCCTGCGAACATCGACGACGACGTGGTGGTTGAAAAGCAAGGTTCGGTGCTAAGCGAGCGCCGAACATCACATCCCAGAAGGTCATCAACCCCGAAAGGAACCCCGACTAAGACGGGGAATCACACAGGATTTCGGGTGGCCGCAGTGCCTCAGTGATTGTGAACGCCAAATAGTGTAAAGTCAAGTCTTTCGAATCAAGGATTGTGGAACGAGAGGAGGTGACTCAAGTGAGTGTAAGTGAAGGTTCCACATGCGACGGTTCCAAGGCGGTTCGTGATACCGCAAGAGGCAGTAGAATTAGTCTTATCCTATCCTGTTATTGTGAGAGCAGTGGTTTAAGGTTTCGGGGACACTTCGTCTTCGTCTTCATATAGAAAAAGGGAATCAAGTAGTACTATGGACTTGTCGCAAATCCTATGTCCAAATTTTTCAGAAAGTGAATCAATAATAAGGCTTTCTACGTGAGAGCACGCTTCGGCGTACCGCTTATGCGAATCTGTCTACGACATAAAGTAAATTTTATACAACTAAGTATGCTCAAAAAACCAACTCTTCCACAGTACGAACGTGCCTCAGAGGTAAGAGTTGGGTCGGAGTGTGTGGCGTAAACTTCCCAAATTGGCAAATGGGAGTCTAAAGTTGCGATTTACCGAGAGGCGAGGGAGAAAGGGGCCTGTTTGATATCCACACATCTTGCATCGGCCATAGCTACCCAGAAATAATTCAAGGATATAATTCAGGATGTCCCCAAAACATGGCGTCATGCGGTCACTTTGATAATCCCATAGCGCCACTCAAGGAATCCTTATCCAACGCGCCTTCCGGACTTCTTCCGATCTCGCATACCTCATGATATAAAGCCATGGCGATCAAGAAAAGATCAACTCTCTGCTCTCTGCTCGTGCCATGACTATCATATTCTACGACATTCCATCAACTGCACCAGGGAGCGCCTGGTCCCCAAATACCTGGAAAGTTAGGTGAGTTAAATTGCGTCTAGCTGCGTAACTTCATTCATAAACACTGCACAGATATTGCTTGAACTACAAGGGAATACCTTACAAAACCGAGTGGGTCGAATACCCCGACATCAAAAAGCACTGCCAAGAACGTGGGATTGAGCCCACTTTTACTGGGCCAGGAGCGCCCGAGGGAGGCCTGTACACGCTCCCTGCGATACACGATCCATCCACGGGCATCTACCTCGCCGACTCCCAGGCCATCGCCGAGTACCTCGAGAAGACCTATCCAGATACCCCACCCGTGTTTCCAGATAACACCGCCGCCCTTCAGATAGGCTTCGCGCGAGGGTTCCATCGCACAGCGCTCGAGGCGCTGCCGGAGTTCATCCAGCCCGCTATACTCGGACGCCTTAACCCAGCTAGCCAGGAGTTCTTCCGACGCACGAGAGAAGAAGATTTTGGGATGAAACTGGAGGACGTCTTGCCGCAGGGCGAGAAGCGGATCGAGCGTTGGGCGAAGGTGAAGTCGGATTTTGGCCAGGTCGCGGATTGGTACGATAGGAATGGAGGGAAAGATCCGTTCTTATTGGGAGAGAAGCTGTCGTGGGGAGATATGGTCGTTGCGGGCTTCACGGTCTGGCTAAAGATTATATGGGGGGAAGATAGCACCGAGTGGAAGGAGATCGAGACGTGGCATAATAGGCGGTGGAAGACCCTCCTCGGTGCTTTGGAGAAATACAGTGCAATCCACTAAGACCATTTGAGAAGGATATACTCTATTCTTGCTTCCAGATATCAGAGTCGTGGAATATCATTAATTGTACACTAACCACACAAGGGAGAAGATCATTAAGCGTGATTTTGACATGGGCGGCATGAGCGTCATTTAGTTCAGGTTCATGTCAGGTTTCTCCGATACAGCGAGATGCCCCGTCCCCATGTTGTTGAGTTCGTCTTCTTTAGCATCAAGGTCGCTTACGGACCACCAGAAGATTATCCCTGCGAGGCCAGCGAGGACGCCCATGACGCCATAGTTCCACACGAGTAGAGGGTCTGCAGAAAGGGCTGGAGAATAAAATAAATGACAACGAACACGGACGAGACGTCAAAGAGGGACGTACAGACAAAAGCTTCGCCAATGGCTGAGGCAACAGCAGACATGAAGAGGAAGACGGACATGACGAGCGAGCGCATGTTCTTCGGTGCTTTCGTGAACGCATATTCGAGACCGGTGATAGACGCGAAGATCTCAGAGATGGCGAGGAGGACGTAGGAGCCTGTCTGGATCCAGACATTGAGCGGGGAGGCGTTGACGCCGGTGCAGTCAGAGGCGTGATAACCGCAGGGACTTGTCTTGTAGACGTAATGTTGGACAGCTTTTAAGGGAGGAGATGAGAAAACCAACGTAGAAGAATCGACAAAGCAACTCACCGGCAGCCCAAGCCATCGCAGCAGCACCAGTCATGAATCCAGCGGTAATCTTCTTGAGAGCGCTGAAATTGATTCCTACTCGACGAAGTGCGGGATATATCTACGGGAATTTGATTAGGAATTCGGCCGTCACAATGAAGTCGACGAACTTACGAGAATATCGCAGATGGGGATGAGGATGATGAGAGCGAAGGGGTCCAAGTTCGACAAAATATCATTAGGAATACCGTGCGTGGACATGGTGGCCGCCTGAGAGGTCAAGTTGTTATTCAGCTGGTTGTAGGTGAGCCCTGAAAATGCCGTCAGAACTTCTAGGTTCGACCCCAAGGGGGGGGGTTATACGCACAGTAGATGGGGAACCAGCAGAACACACCGCACGCCTTAATCCCACGCTGAACCTCATCGACCCACTGGTCGTCGAACGTCATCCACTTGGGACGCGTCGCATCGCTCTGCTTGCTCGGCTTCGCATTCTCCCAGAACCCAGGTGCCTTAAAGTTCTTGTATGTCCTGACGGGATTTAAGCTCCATTTTCCTCTGGCGGCAAAACGGAAAAGGCGTAAGGCGGTGGCTAGGACGGAACCCGTGGGTGGTGAGTGAACATATCGGTTGCGCCCAATCCACAGGACGAGAGGACACAGGAGGAAAACAATGGTGGGGAGGGTGTAGGCGAGGTAGAAGCCGACATACTTCCGAGGTTGTTAGTTCTGTTGGGATGTAGGTAAAACTGGGAAGGCACACCTTCTCGGAATAGGTCATTGTTATCTGTCCTACAAGGGCTCCAATGTTGATGAAAAGGTAGAAATACTATATAAATATAAAAAATTCATCAGCTGTTGGCGAAACAAAAATGTTCTGCGTACCATGTAGACTCGGGAGACCGTCAGTGCTGGGTCTACGATTACTCGTTCTCCGCTGTTCGTTGTGACGACAAATAGTTTGGTACGCTTGTATTGCTCAGCGACCAGAGGTGAGATGTTGGCCTTGAACAGGCCTGTTCCAAAGCCCATGACAATGAGCGCGACCGCAAACGGTCCAATCGCGCTCGACTTCTCAATAACGCCAGGAACCGCCGCCACAATCAAGATAATATGCCCAACGAGTGCAATGAACACAGCGACACAAATCGTCTTGAACCGTCCCCAGTAGGTATCGGCAATGTAGGCACCGAGCAAGGGGGTCACGTAACACCTGCCGCACGATGAGTTCCCCCGATGCACAATGTGGCGAAATGCTATAAATAGCGCACCAGAATTGATAGAATGTCGTAAGCCCGGTGGAGGCCCGCTGACCCATCCCTAGAGCACCTGCCTGGCCGTCGTGGCCTCCAGCGCCCGTGTGGGAGCCTGCGGGAAGAGGTTGTTGGATGAAGTTGGTCTACAGCGTGGAGAGGTTGGTTAGCTTTTCCATGGTTGGTGATGGTGTGGGATGGAACTCACGAAAACGACACTTGAGCCGTAGAACGAGAAACGTTCCGCGAGCTCAACGATGGCGATAACTGGGCGAGGAAATCGATGGTGTGATCAGGATGCTGGAATAGGCAGGTACTGAGAAACTCACGATAGGCATTCCAGGGAATGGTATCGGGCACACGACGCAGAGTAGCTCTCTCCTCCTCAGTAGGGAAAACAAGCCCATCGTGGATACCATCCAGCTCATGGTCCAGCTCCGAATGTTTCTCGGTCGAGATGCTATCGTGTTTCTTGATTTCTGCAGCAGCCATGAGGGCATCTGCGTCTCCTTGTAGACCAGCCATAGCACAAGAGGTGGGCAGGAATGCAGGACTTCGTAGACTGGGAGCGGGGAAAAGTCGCTGGGGCGAAGGGGCCCTGAGATGGCGGGTCGAAAGAAGCCTCGTCGGGTGGCCTAGGAAGCAGCCTCGCATTTTTATCTGCCGGATAGAGTTCAGCCATCCGGGGACGAACAGAAGTGCACATGGCAAGCGGTGGTGTTATTTTTAGCCTCGGTTTGCGTCCGCGCCGCATCGTGGTAGAGAAAACTGGCCGGGACGTTCGATCGAGGTCGGGGCAGCGCAGGTACCGAGAAGCACGATTCGCGATCCCCTCGTCCTAATCATCGACTGGAGAGAGCTGGGGCGAAAACATCACCACGACCGTTGACCGTAAGGCCTTTGAAGTGTTGGAGTCGGGGTAGCATAGGTCGCAGGAAGTGCTGGAGGCGACATCACAAGAAATTGACACGTCCATATGGTCCCATTCCACAGAGGTCATTCATTCAAAACTCGAATGCTTACAGATTCACGGCAATGTGACGTCAACGGGCGACGGGCAATGGGGTGAGAGATAGATAGCCATGGTCGCATCTGGGTGCGCCTAAAATAACATCAATGGACGTTGCCAAGATGCCAAGCATTTTGGGAGCCCTATAAATAGATACTCACTGCGGAGAATATGTGGGCGCACGCACCAATTGCTGCTCTTTCATTGGCGGGAACAAGTTGGGGTTGAAGCCTTAGAGAACAAATCAAGGTAGCAGATACTACTAAAGTGGAGAAGGAATCGAACCAGAGAATCTTGAAATATTCATGGAGGGGCCGACAAACATCGACGGCGTGATTTTGGCTTTCCCAGCTTATCGTCGCCAGTCGTTAAATATCACTATCAGGATTCATTGCAGCTAAATGTAGAGCTCCTTACATGTACGCAGATGGCTAAGAATGAAGACGGAGCCTGATGCAAGACCGTTGGACCTGCAAAGTCCACGGATGCTTCCACAATCACCCACGAATGCGAATGGGCGAATGAGAAAAGAAACTGTCAATTTGGCAAATGTCGTTTGCCGAGCATAGTGGCGCTACTTACCAGGCACCATGTCCCACAACAAGATCAATCCCCTGGGGTTCCGGTCGTGGTTAGTGGTTACACCACCAGAAAATGGGAAACTTCTATTCGTAGTCGGGCACGGCCGATGTCCACGGAGGAAACTGGCACACCTCCCATGCCGGGGGGCCGTCGTAGGCCTCGTCGAGGGCAGCGCCGGCCGCGAGGTGCTGAGTTAGTCATTGCGAGTCATGCGGAGGATAGGTTGACGATTACTAGCGGGCCGACAACGGATAATCTCGACGATACATGAGGAAGTCAGAAACAGTGACCATCGTAGCATATGCACGCTCTTCGCCGATGCCGAGGAGGCGAGGTAAACCCGCAATGCGTGAAAGAATTCAGACCTCGAACGACATGCGTTTCTAGTGGGCCTCGATCCATTGGTGACGGCGTGGGCGTTGCCCGGCCTTGCTAATCGAAGGCGAGAATGACGAACGCTTTGTCGTCCGACAGGCCGATTCGTTGTGTGACATCCGACCCGAGAGGATCATAGGAGACGAAAGTGCTACCTAGGCGTCATCGAGGCTCGATAATACACGGATTAATTCACTGGTGGGAGAGAAGGCTTCCATTAAATAAGAAGAATGAGTGCGTTGAAAGGGTAGAGACATTCGCCATAACGGCGGAGTTTCCTTGTTTCGAACGCGATTATACTGAACGAGAAGATTGACCATATGCGCAGTCCTTGCTGCGCGTAATATTGGTAAGAGATTGTTCGTGAATACAGCACAGAATCGAACGCTCGACGAAACGTGGCTTGGCTTATTAGATGCTCACGGTCAAAGTGCGAACCTCTGGGGCTAATCCAGCTACAACAACATTGTGGGTTTCAGATAGAGATGCTAGAGGGTAAATACGCTGATTAACTCACTAAAAATGTTTGAAACATCAGATTTGCGATAGTGAAGTAGGAACGCCCGAAGGAAAGAGAGTCGTAAGCCGAGGAGGATTGAACGCCGGAGCAGATACATTGCGAAAGACGACGCATATAGGTACATTTCTTGCTTGCAAGTGCTCGAATCAAAGACGCTGAAGTGTGTCGCTCCTAAAACGCGTCGTGACGTGTCCTAGTCTTGCGAAACGAGCTCGTGGTTCCTATGTTGGCCGGTCTGAGCGTCGCTTGACTCCCAGCTATTGCCAGCTAATGTCGGGCTCTCTGCAAACATATATCACATGGCTATAGAACACCCACACAAAACAAAAACTTACTCAAAAATATCTCCTCGAATCTACTATCGTTCTTCCTCCTCTTCCTGCCTTTTCGCCTCTTCGACGAGCTCCGACACATAGTTCCAAACGAACACAATGCCGCCTCCGATCATCCCAACAGCGATTCGGAAGTAGTGCATATAAAATCCGAACATCGCGACTCCCTTGAAGACATATATCACGACTTGGACGACCGGCACCAGGATTTTGAAGGCTAAATACCCCGTTGCAAGGGCAGCGATGACGAATCTCGCAGTTTTGTTCAGGTAACTTGCCAGAAGGAGGGTTAGAAGGATCGAAACTTGGATTTTCAGCGAGAATCCGTGAATGAATGGTATCGCGAAAGTGGGAAACATGGCGGTTGACCGTTGGTTGAAAACGAGGTTTAGTCAAGCACGAGTTTGCGTAATTCCACGTGACTAAACAACCGCGACGCGTCTGCCGGGCCGGTAAGTGGACAATCCAAATGAACCGTCGCACGAGGAGAAACAATGATTCGAGATCTTGAATTGATACAGACTTGAAATACGTATAAACAGCACGTAATTAATGAGTACGCGTGTAGTGCACGAAATTGTTGAAGTCTAGGTGTATGATTGTACATGCAAAAAGAAATGCGAATGATGAGATTGATCGAAGTGCGATTTTGGTCCAATGAACGAGAAAAGGATTGAAAAATGAGGGTCCGGGATGGCACAGACTCGCCTCAGAAAAAAAACTTGAAGCCGAACCAAGAATAACGCAGACCTCGTGCTGAGGCTGTTTTGGGTGCGGAAATGTCCGCAGGGCAGACAGTCGAATTTTGAACAAAGATATTCTGCAACGAAGTTGCCTTCCTCTCCAATCACCGTCGCCCGTCCCCATCTCCCTCGTGAGAAATTCCAACCCGATTTCCGAGCATGATCCCAACCTGCCATCGAACAGCAGCGATCGACTCGTGGAACTCGCGAGGGTGCGACCGTGGCGACTCTGACTGGTGGCCAACGTCCAAACCTTCAGCAATTGAGTTCAACATCGAAGTTTTCTTCTCGATTGCAGTTTCCAGCCACCTAACGCCCAGGGCATGCTTTGGATCCGGAACCCACACGTTTCCCGAAAATCTGAACCACGACAAGCCGTCAGAGTCTCAAGATTCGCAAAAATAAACATCGGGAGGTCAGAAGGATAAATAAAACTCTGCGCGTGGAAACACTCACGGGGTAGCGTTATCTCGACGAGTGAAGGGCAGGCCTCACCCCACTCTGTGACGGTCGAAGCGTCTTGATCCAGCTGACAGGTCACATCGCCCATCTCCCAATAATCGATGCAATTTACTCGGAGCCGCAAGAGATGAGTAAAACGATGGAGATAACTTCGGATGGTCTGAAGGTAAGTCTAAGAGCCTCGATCGTTAGAAGATAAATATGCTAAATTTAACCGAAGAAAACTCACCTCAGTGGGACTCGAATCAACGAGAAGAACGTTCGAGACGCGCAACGTAAGAATTTCTGGTAATCGAAGGGACACCGAGTCGATTAAATCGAGATTCCATCCCCGTCTCCTGCAGCTCAACAGGGATAGCGTGTTCCTGCTCGAACGTTGCAGGGCAGCAAATACAAGGTCCGGCTCTGTGTCTATTGCTTCCCAGCTAATGATAGCCGCTCGGAGGGGACTAGAAGGACCGATGAAAGGGACACTTTGGACGTTCCCAGCGAAATACCGAAGGCGCGGAAGTTGCAGAGGTGGAAGGGTAAGGTCATCCTCCGATACCGCTGTGTTTTCGTAGGGTGAGACTTGAAGGTAATTTATTCTGGGGTGATGGTTCAAGAAATCAACGAGTGTGGCGGAGGGTGTAAGATAACATTCGAATTGGCACAACGAAGGAAATAAGGAGTGGTCAAGGAGAGTGACGAGGTGGGGATCGTGAATCAAGAGTTTCAGAGTGTGAAGATCGGGTAGCGAGAGGAGGGCGTGTCGAATCAGGGAATAATAGGAAGATAGAAACGAGTTAGAGGCCGAAGGGTAATGTCTATGTGGGGTGTTCTAGATCAGTCAATCGACCAGTCGAACAAGGAAGAAAAAGAGACGCACGTGTAAGAGATCGATATCGATCTAACCGTCGAAGCGGCGTTGCGATTTGAAGTCAGGGTTCGACAACAACCAATGACCAAACGCGGTGAACAGAGCGAGATATCGCGATACAAGGAGCGAAGTGTCAAAGAATGGAATAATCTTGATACTCTAGAAATGGCGAGTTTGGCGGCTACCGGGGACAATTCGACGAAGACCTCCAGGACTTCCAGGGGAAGACGAACGATAGGCGGTACATCCTCCGATTTCATGAGCCGTGTTTTCGCATGGGTGGACCTGTCCTCCGACAGTGAAGTCAAAGATGGCGCAGTTAAATATGACGACAATATTCGGCGTGGCTCCCCTTCGCTAGGCGAGTTCTCCCCGACCTGCAATGCGGTCGGCACGAGGTAATGCTGTGTATTGCCGCGGTATGTGCACTTTGTAGCCAACCGATCTCTTCACTCGAGAGAGGCAAACTCCGGTCTTCAATTGAAAGTGAACAAATGCAAAGCAGTGCCTATGCGTCCGTTCTTGCAGGTAAAGGACTAGCCGGAGAACAAGAAAAAGCCGTATCGCCAGATAAAGAGGTAGCAAAAGCATCCAGCTAGGCACAAGGCGAGGGAAGTAGAAAGGCCCGGCGTTCCCGCAAGACAATAAGAGCTGGCCATGAGCGTCACGTCGAGCCCCAGTCACAACACCGCGTTCTGACAGGGTTCCTACGGTCGTCAGTGGGGGAAGCCTCACCTCTTATTGTTCTCCTCTCTGACTAATCCGGAACGACCCAGGGCACTCACATTTCTCTCACAGATGAACGATTTCTTGATCGATGTGCGCTCCCAAGAGACCCAGAGGAGCGAATGGCGAGATGCCACCAACCAGTCGTCGACGTTAATAAGGAAAGGTGAAAGAGAGGAACCAGCTTCGATGGGGTGATGTGTGTAGCGTTGTTTGGGCTTGATAGCCGTCTTACAGCCGCTGGTGTCCTCGAGGCGATATAGAGAGACGAGTGTCGCTTTGAGCCCGATTCTCGACTGGGCTATGTCGCTTGTAAAATGAAAAGAGAAGCAGGCGCCCGATCATTGCCCTATGTCTCGATCAGTGGTTGTGGCTGTGTGGCGTTAAGCGCCCAAATTCTCCTGGATCGCATCACTCGTTCTCAATAAGCATGTTGGAAATGAATTGATTGGAGCAGCGCCAACCCTCTACAATTGTACCGACTACGAATCGTCGAGTAACACGAACAGACCAGGAGGGCAGAGAGAAGCAGACCTTGTCGTGAAGAAATCTAGGAAATTGAACATTTAAGAGACATTCTTAAAATGGTAGAACTACTGTGTTACCTGTGAAGGACGTCCTATGCTCGTGCAATTACTGAATTTAGCAAACCCTCAGTATGCTCCCATAGCTTCTTCCTTTGCTCTTCATCGCCGAAATAACTCTTCTTGCCTATATTTTCCCCATGCGAGTCCGTCCGGTACACGCCTGGCTCTGCGGCTGTCGAGTAGACGGCATGCCACATGTATTCGGCGCACTCACCAGGCGAAACAGTAAATGGGAGCAGCAGGGGAAGCAGGACAGCCGAGCCTATGCGGATGAGCGCTGAAGGAGATGACGATAAAATGGATGTCCGGACGCCTCCGGGAGACGCGTGGATGAGGGAAAGAGTGGGTGCCTTCTGCGAAAACGCCTATCGACCCGATTGTCAGTATAAAGGTAAAAACGAAGGCTCGCGACGTACCTCCAGCATCAAGTCATTATAGGTGGGAGCAACGGCAGCTACTCGTGATGTGCTGTACCCCTTCTCGACCGCGAGGTCCTCAACGTCTATAGGACCCCCGTAGCCAGCCCCGAGAACGCTCATAACAGCTCCTTCTTCTCCTGCCTCCTTCGCCTTCGTCAATGCAGGAAGAAGGTCGCGAAGGAACTTCCACCGTGCATAGTAGTGCACGGCTAGCTTCTTATCGATGCCTTCCGCAGTCTCGTCACGACCGGAGAGTGTCATGATTCCTGGAGACATAACGAGATAGTTGACCTTCGGGTATCGTGAGAGGAGGTCTTGTGTCGTGGCCTGCACGTTCTTCATCAAGGTGGCGTCGCATTGCACGAATTCTCGCGCAAACTTCCCGGAGTTGGGGAGAGGCATGCTCGATAGAATCTTCTCGGCGGCCGCGCGGTTTCGTCCAACGATGACGATGTCGCTGTGCCCGTTAGTGTGGCGCGCAAACGCCTCTGCCATTCCTTGTCCAATCCCAGATGTGCCGCCCACAAAGACACCGACAGGCGCAGGAGACAGGGAATGCTTGAATGCAGCGTTGGCCGCTCTAATCGCTGGTAGTGCTGGCATAGGAGAGGTGTTTCGAAAGGCGAGAACGATTGCGAGAACGATGGGGAAGATGGATAGAATGCAGTTCCAAGTGCTTCTAGTCATGAGAGCCGGGCGGTCGAGTATTTATTGAACACTTCGTTGGACAATGAGACCGAGATGTGCGATGCCGATGAGGTACACCGCTTATTTTAGTCGAGAGTGGTAGAGGCCTGCGTAACCGCCGAGAGGACGCGGCATTATTGAGCCGACAATCGGCAAGCGATAGTCTCGGGCCGGGTGACGAGGTCGGATCTCCGTTACCCCCACTGCACGAACTATGCCCACGGTGAAAAAATCAACATAAACGATTGCAAGAAGACACGTAGGTCCGGCAGCAACGGCATACTTGCAAAGGAAGAAAAAACGAGTCAGTCGAGCTGCAGCAGTTTTTTACTTACTTACTTACTTACTTGTGTGCTTCGAGTCCGCCTCACAGAGTTTCTTGAGCACTACGCAGGTAAAAAGTATGACCGCCTATTCCTCAAAGTCCTGGTATCTATCGTGTTAGCGTCTACTATTAGGTGAGAAAAGTTAGGGCATCTGACAACTTTGACTGATGATTGTACATCTACGAGGCGTACTAGGAGTGATCCTTCCCCTCTCCATTCTTGATGTCATTCCTATCGACCGCGGAAACATAGATCCCGATGACCCGCAGATGATGTTGGGAATACTAGCATCCCTCACTGCCCTCGTCAATACAACGCTCGCGGTGATGGTGACCACTGAGAGACACACCCGGAAGATTCTTGGAGCTGCTTACGGATCTCCTTACTCGAGAATAATCGCGATATGCGTCGAATCGTGCTTGTTGACTGTGGTATGCGACGGTGTGTTCGTCGTCTTAAACTTCACGGGCTCCCTCGCATCCTTACTTCCAGAGCAATTAATTGTTCACGTTTCCGTCAGCTGTTTTCTTTACTTCGCATTTCTTGTCATCTCAATTTACAAGGTTGACAGGTCATATCACCCATCCTAATCATATCGCGCACCGCGCAAGGAAAGGATGCCATTACTACCTTCCAATGCCATCACTACCATCCAATGCCAAACGATCCTCCAAGATGGCAACCTTGAAAGAGGGGCGAGATTGGAGACCCTGCAGTTTTGAGAGCAACCTACGAACAGCTACGGTGTGCTGGAGACTGGCCAGCCAGCACCTACGACCGACGATGATGACATGCTGAACAATCGGCGCCATGGCGGTGAACCGCGCATCTCGCCCACGGACGGCAATGAAGTGGACAAAGACTATGCGTGATGACAAGAGAGTGTTGGGTTGATGGACGCCTCCAAGGCCTTTCTTGAAAGTTTCAACTTCTAAATTTATTTTTCATGGGTTTCGGCGAGTGGTCTCTATGCTCTTTAGGAGTAATATTTTAGTACCGCACGTAGCCACTAATTTAGCTAGACATAGGTATTACCGCGATGCAAGGATACGTTCATCTTTGGGGTCCACTACTTACATTGAGAGACGTGGTGACCGTAACACTATCTCCCTGTCTCTCTGTCTTCCAAATGTATCCTCCGCTGCGACCTCGTCGCCCAAATACTAGTAGACTCCGGCGGTGAGTTGGCTGGGTCACCTCGATAGTTCCCACTACCGAATCAATAGGCTTGGTCGAGTTGTGCAAGTACTAGTGTGGACAGAACAGGACGTTCGTCACGAACACACCGGTATTTTTTTTGTGCTGGACCTTTCACCCAGGAGCGAAGGGCACCTTCTCCACTGGAGTCGTATTCCTCCGCGTCCGACCCACATCATGTCTTCAGGTAGGTACGACCTCCCCGCTCACTGAGGGTCCTCCCCGCCTGAAGCTATCGGAAGATTGAGTACGAGTCAGAAAATGTTACATATTGGAAGAGCTACCTCACTTCTTGTCGAACGCATCTTCTCCAGCTACCCCGCACACGATTTGCCAATTCTCCGAACCCAGCCCACGAGAATGAGGAATATCGATTGGCCTGACGGGGCACCTTTAAATTGACGATAAGTGGTGCGAGGCGGTGTGTTGGTAAACGAACCTTCTCCGAGTCAGCGAGGCCCTGTATTCATCTGGCCGAGTATAAGTTGGTGCGTCGCGAGACACCGAGACCTATACTGGTGTTCGAGGGTCTACTTAAGTTTCAGATGTCAAGCACGATGACATTGAGAGAGGTATAGCCAGGAGAAAGAGGACGTACTTCAAAGTCCGCGGGGACACCCTTCATAGACACCAATGAAGGGATTGAAGAATTTGTCTTCCTACGTCCTCCAGATACCTCCACTAATGTCTCCCTGACCGAACACGAGGCTGGTGGATGGCAAGGCTCTCCCCCTGCTCTGAATGTACGACTGTAGCGCGGACGGGTCACTCGCCGCAAAAGCGTCGTCTTCTTGCATCCTGGGGCCTTCGGGGCGTACCACTCGGCAGCAACAGGCGCGTTCGGGACATAACTTGGTAAAATTCCAACCTCAGAGGTTTGCTGGCTCGTGGAGACGAGAAAATCGAACCCTTGAATTCAGATGAGGGATGTAATGAGAGGGAGTACGTTATGGTTTTCGCTGAAAGTTTATTCCCTCTGTGTCAGATCTAATGAATAAACGAATGAAAGTTCATGACGTACCTTTCGAGAACCAAGTCGTTGAGTCTACAGCCCCCACTCGTGATGTACTGTCAGGCTTTTCCTCCGCCAGGTCTTGAATGTAGACGGCTCCGTAACCTGGGCCCTGCGTGGGGTCAGGATAGTTCCTCCTTCTCTCTGTGCTGTCGTTCTTTGTCCGATCTCAGCCTACAGGCAGCCAGCGGGGGTGAGTCTCGGTCAATTGAACTGTAGCTGTTGCGGGCAGTCGATAGCGCCGACGTCATGAGGCGGTTCCATAACGCTTGTGCAATTTTTGAACAGTCTTGCGTGGGAGAAATCAAGGAGAATTTAATATCTTGATACTCATCTGGCAAGTTGTTCCCAGGCTTGAACAGCATCATCGAAGAACATGTGTGCCTGGGAACAGCCTCTGTTGGGCCCATCGCGGAGAGTCGTATGTGTAGAGGTTGCAAATGTATTATAGTAAGCAGAATATTTTCTCATGGGGCACGCGCAAAGGTCGATATTTCACCTCTGTGCCACTCTCATTTAAGTATGGTTGTAAGAAATCGAGGATTGCAATATTGAACCGCGAACGCGATCGGGGAAGGCCGAACTAACGGAGTCCGTTTTCGACGTTGCGCCCGTAATTAATATTGAATCCTCGAGCGGTGCAGTTAATTTCAAAGATTTAGAATAGGCGGCGCATGTCTCGAAGGCTGTTTAATAGTCCCTGCTGGTATATCAGCGATTATACCTTCTCACAATAGCCTCTGTACCCGACTTTGACTTTCGTGCTGACAAGCTGAATGACGGATATCCTTCATTGTAGAGCATCAAATATGGGCCCGCTGGTTGGCTTCTCTTATTATCTACTCAGAATCGAACCTTACGTATTAGGCGCTCGTAGGTGGAGTCTGGCTTGGCGTCTGGGCTATGTCTGACATGTGACGCCAAAATTCAAAATTCAAGATGTTGTACTGAATGACATCCATCGCATATGACGCGGAGTGAAGAAATGCCATGCATGCTTTCAGATAGGCTCGCACCATCGAGCAATACTTGACTACGTATCTAACGATGTTCCACCGGCATGGTCAAGACCGTCAATATTTAAACGCCCATCATGCACGTCAAAATAACATGACATCTCATGCTGCGTAACGTTATTCTTCTAGAATAGAATGATATTTAGACAGACACGTCGGCTTCGAATCAAGAAACCCTCTCCCCCTTTCCCCCTCCAACTTCCGTCTCGCTAAAAAGGGGAAGCATGATATATGACGAACTCGGTGCTATTTTCTCCGGGGTCGCCTATCTGATTGTATTCACCCTCGCGGTTTACTCCCTCCGTCTGGTACGGAGAAGACCGATGCCACATGAAAACTTCTATGTCTGTTACGTGTTGTTCATGGCCTTCATCAGCACTTTTTCTTTTAGTCTCGGGGTCGTTTCTCTCACAATGAGAAAGACACAAACAGTTATTTATATAAAGGTGGCCCTTTGCAACCCTTTTGGGATGCCAGTTTTGTTGTTTCCACTTGCTTTATGGGGCGCAGACAGTTTCATGGTGAGTTCAGGTATTCCCGTAAGACACATAGCGGCGTTGTCTAAACGAACAGCAGATGTATCGGTGCATGATCATCTATGGCGGCGTTTCTCACCCATACAGAGTTTCCCTGCGGTGTCTCCTCTCGCTCCTCTGCGTGTTGCTATTCGGTGAGAAAACACTTCTTACATCAATCACGTCCCACATACTAATACAAAATGCCTACTAGGCGGCGGGTTGGCGTTTCCTCTCGCCATGTTCGGTGTTATTCCTACCAATGTTTCGACCGGTGGTGAAATCATTGAATGGGGAGGGAACGTGACCGACTCGGCCATGATCATGTTCTTCATCCTAGCGTGCCTTACAGCACTCGTCAACACCACGCTCGCAATGCTGGTTTCCCTACGGCTATACCTGCATCAGAAGCACACGCGCAAGATCCTTGGGAGCGAGTACGGTTCACCTTACTCGAGGATAATCACGATTTGCATTGAAGCCTGCGCGCTGATCGTGATCTGCGAGTGCTTGTTCATCGTTCTGTTTTTCGTGCCCGGGAGGTCGTCCACTATTCCAGAGCAGCTGATGGTTCACGTTTCGGTGAGTACTTCTCCCCGTTGAGTTCGTCTGTACGCGAATTCCAACCGAATTCCCTAGGTTATATCTCCCTTGCTGATCATTTCGCGCACTGCGCGAGGCAAGGACGCCATCAGCACCCTCCGACGCGAGCAGACCCTCCGAGAAGGCGCCCAAGAGAGACAATTAAGGTTAGAGACCTTGCGCTTCAGCTCTTCGGAGGGGTCACTGGTGGATCAAGTAACCAACGGTGTGGAGGTTGGCCGACAGGATGTCTGCATTTCGGTCAGCGGAGCTCCTGATCGAGAGGAGTGCTAGTAGCGCGACGCGTACGGATACCTTGACGTGGACGTTTCGAGGACCCTTCTTCGCCGGTATCTTCTTATACTCTCGAATTATCTCTTCTAGATACCCCGTTCGGACAATATCCCTCTTTCCTTATGCTGAGAAGGAAGTTATAGATTACGAGACACGGGCTTGGTGGTGAGCGGGGTCCAGGAGAGGAAAAGAGACCATGGATCACGAATACATCTGGTGAGGGAAAGATGGAACATTCTCCGAGTCAGCGAGGTTCTGCAGTTGTCCGGTCGAGTAAGTAATACAGTGCATCACGGGCAGTGAGCGAGACTGGCATTCCCGTGCGATCCTATTCGTGTCAATGGTAAATATGAGGAGGAAGCAGGAAGCGGACATACCTAGCTGAGGCCCGTAGTCATTTTCGCGCTGCACAACGGGAAAACGACCGACGAGCTTCTCTCCGAAGTACCTCCCAAGCGTCAGGCAGGCGAGGCCGCACTCCGTCTTCTCGATCGCTAAGCTGTCCCTCTGTCGATGACGAGTGGGTAGCCCACTTCGCAGGTGATGTGCCTTGGAGAAATGGTATCCGTAAATCGAGACCGATACTCATTCCATCCCTCATCGTATTAAAGGAGGAGGATCTAAAAACCAGTATGTTCCGACGCAAAGGCCTGAAAGAGGAGAAGTGCCTTGTAAGTCTTATCGAGAACGCCTATTCATGAAATGAAGGCGTGCAATGTACCTCGAGCACCAGCAATCAAGACCTCTTAGGTGGGGTATGGCAGCCAATCGCGGGGTTCTGTAATCCTCCTCCGTAGTGAGATCTTGGCCGTCGACAGATGCGCCGAATCAAGCACGACAAAGCCTTCCCCCTTCCGCCATTCCTTGATCCTAGTTATGTCAGGGGAGAAGATAGTGACTAGTGAAGACGTTGGAGAAATATTGAATAGGTCAAGAGCACCAGAGGTTTATCGCGCTGGCATACTTGGAAAGGGTGGAACGAAAACAGACGAAAAACGAGGAAAGGCTCCGGTCCTCGGCACTCGGCAATCGGCACACCGGCACCGGGACTTGCCAGAATTGTTCTCAGGCTGCAGCGGTCCAGTCGACATTAAGTCAAACTCAATTCTTCGACCCACTTGACTTTCTACCGCCAGAAATTATCCTCTTTCTAGTAACTCACCAAAGTGCCCTAGCTGGTGGTGTATGTATGACCCCAAATCTGAATCCCCTCCCGAGGGCGCTTCATTGACGCTGTCATTCGACGGCCTCGTTTTTATAGGCTTTGAGTATACTTTTCCGGGCCATCGCTACACCTCTCATTTCGTCGCGCCACGAGGGAACGAGGTTTCGAGATCCTCACTCTTCTGTCGGTTATTCTGCCCGCAGTCATGGAGGGTGGGCGCTTGTCGACCGATATCTAGGACGCCGACCATCGCTTCATCTGACAACGGTCCCCCCGAGCAGCAGAAGCACAAGGTCTCCAACTTTGGATCTCTTTCGAGGTCTTCCTCTCGCAGGTCCTGTTGTCCCTGCAGGATACTGATAGCATCCTCGCCTCTCGCGCTACGTGCCATAATCAAGAGAGGTGATATGACCTAGTCGAGATCAGCATAAACGACGAGGAAGCGGTCGAAGTAAACCGACCGACAAATGAACTATCAAGCGCTGTGGAAGTAGTCCCACGTGCGAGGCTTGAAGGAGAAGGATGATGAAGGCATAGTCGCAGACAAGGATAAGGGCGCATGATTCAATAAATATTGTTAATATCCTTGAGTACGGCGAACCGAAACTACGCCAGGTGTTCTTCTGACGGAAGATTAGACCCAGGGTTACGAGTATTGTGAGTGTTGTGTTGATGAATCCTGTCAGGCATGCCGGGATAAAGTACACTCTCATCGCCAGAACGATCCATGATGACTCGTCTATGTCGGCAAAGGAAATTGGAACTGAAATGACCTCGAAAAGGGCGAGGGGGACTACCAATCCTACACCTGGCGGAATTTTGATTATGAGCGAATAATTCTCAGCTCAGAGATTATCTATCTTACAAAATAGCAATATCGAGAAGAGGAAGAGAAGACCGTGCAGGGCAATTCTGTACCCACAGGAAATGCCTTCGTATATGATCGTGCATCGATAAATCTACAGGTAGTTCGAGAAATTCAGATATGGGAGTTATGAGTCTACCCGAAGCTCACTAGTAATCCGTCTGCGCCCCATAAAGCAAGCGGAAAGAAGAGAAATTCCATGCCATCGGGGAGATAGAAGTCCACCCCAACCACAGAGAAGATCAAGAAAATCAAGGAAAAGGCGCTGACGAGGGCCATGAACGAAATGTAGGAGACTGTGAATCGCTTTAATCTGCAGGATTTCTTCCACACCAGCTGAAGACAATGAAGCGTGAGCAGGAGGACCATTCCACATGCGACCCCCGCCATAGCGTCTGCTACGTCTTCAGTCTGGAAGAAAGCCGTGGATGAAGCCATTATAGTGTCTGTTGGACATCAACGTAATCGCTTAAATACCAGTCTGCTCGGCCGACACAAGCTTAACACGATCCAAATTGTGTACTCCTGATTACGTTGGGCTGAGTCGCATAACTTGTCTCTCAGAAATGATGGGCCCGACAGTGTCTGATGGGCCCTAAAGATATGACCTTTCGAGAGAGGTTGAATAGTAGAGAAATTACGAGAGAGCTGTATCATGAAACTGGATCTTATTCCTGGGAGAGAATCTTGGTGTTGATGAGACGCCACGGGCGCTTATTATGTAAGGGATCGGCGCGGTGTAGATAAGGAGGGGAGATTTCTTTTGTTGATAAGCGGGCCCACTCTTGACTTTTCATAAATCTAGGACATCCACAAGTTAGCCTGTCAGCTTGGGAGAAAGTCGATCCGAATGGCTTTTCACAGAGGCTTGCCTTCACACTCCTAGTAGGTAGACCCGAAGTTATACAGTAGCTTCTGGGGGCCAGGAACCTCTTTTCAGGGTATGACTCCCCGTGTTTGTGTTGCAGCGGAATCCGGAAGAAGTTTATGCCGCTTTAAGACTACCAAGGGTGATAAGCGGGGTGGGCTTGTCTGTAGACCGGGGCTGGCTGGATCCAGTAAATGAAATTGACATCGGCATTGCACAGATGAAAAGAAGTTTTTCGTGCTTGGGTGCCACACCCCCAGATCTTATCCATATCCCGTTCTTGAGTAGGTGGGTGTCCGACTGTCAAAGGCCCCACATCATAAGGTCAGTGCCCGTCAGTGCCCATCAAGCCCATCACTTTTGAAATGTGTGCCTTTTAGCTTTTGTCCGCCGATTAACCTTACATTTAAACCACTAAGTCACCGTCAAACCGATACCACCATGCCCTTCGGATTAGTCCCTCCACAATGCGGTCAACTCGGCTCTATTCTGTCCGGGGTCGCGTATTCATTCGTCTTCATGCTCACACTCCATTGTCTCCGTCAAGTGCGAAGAAAACCTATTCCACTCAGGAATCTCACTATTTGCTATATGCTATTTATGGCCCTCGTCAGCACGACCTCATATCTTCTTGGGATCGCTGCAATCGCTCTGCGAGATGACCCAAGGAATTCTTCGAAGGCTATTTACTACCCTTTTAGGTTGGAAATCTTGCTATTTCCACTTGCGTTGTGGGGCGCAGATGGTTTCATGGTGAGTTCCTGGTCCTCCCTGATTGTATTTCCCGGACAAAGCTAAGCAAACCGTAGATGTATCGGTGCATAATTATATACCGCGGTGTTTACCCAGCGTATAAAACTGCCCTCCTCTGTCTTCTCTTGCTCCTCTCGGTGTTGCTGTTCGGTAAGAGAACTCTTTTCATTTGCTATCGCTACCTGCTTACTACGAGACGTATACCAGGTATAGGAGTGGTGCTTTCCCTGGCCATTTTCGACATCCTTCCTACCTATATGACAATCGGCGATGCCTTCATAGAATGGGGAGGGAACGTGACCGACTCGACGATGATCATGTTCTTTATCCTGGCGTCCTTGACGGCATTCGTCAACATAACCCTTTCAATGCTAGTGACTGTGCGACTATACCTTCATCAGAGACACACCCGGAAGATCCTTGGAAGTGACTACGGTTCGCCATACTCGAGAATAATTGCGATATGCGTCGAAGCCTGTGCGCTGATAGTCGTCTGCGACTGTGTGTTCATCCTTCTATTTTTCGTAAACTCGTCGGTTTCCGTGGCTGCAGAGTACCTGATGGTTCACGTATCTGTTAGTTTCGCCTTGAATTCGCTTGCCTGTTTATCTCAATCGAATTTCATAGGTCATATCACCCCTCCTGATCATTTCGCGCAGTGCACGAGGAAAGGACGCGGTTAGCACCCTCCGACGTGAGCGTACCCGTCGAGAAGGCATCCTCGATAAACGACCAAGGATGGATATCTTGTGCTCCCGCTGTTCGAGACCGCCATGGACCGAACAGACAACCAGCGGTGTACTGGAGAATAGCCAACAAGGACCCACGACCGGCAACGACGGGTTGAATAACCGACCACATGGTGACATGTCGATAGGAGATGGCAGCGAGGTGTAGAAGGGCGAGGAATGCTAGAAGGACGAGGAGTAACGGAAACGACATGCAGAGGATGTTTCTTGGGAGTTCAGACATTTCATTTATGTTTTTCTTGACTATCCACAAGTGGCTTCCCTTTAGCGCGATTCTAATAAATGTAACATTAAGGACCGCCAGTGGGTTAAATACACCTAGACATCATCGAGAAGCTTATTCTATTTTGAACACCATCTATTATCATAATCTGGAAGCCGCGAGAGCTTCATTCAGCATCGAAATCGCGCTACGCCTTAATTGTCGTTTGGCGCTTGTCCATCACGCACGTCGGCATCTTCCGAAACGAGCGCTTGCGTGCCGGTCTACGGTTTATTCAAGATCTAGAAGACTACAGACGGACGTTGTAGTATTCCGACACCCTTCCTCCCAAATCTAACAGACTAAGAGTCATTTCAGGAGACTCGACCCAGTCGAGTCTCGAAATGGCATTCGAAAGACCTACCTTACCCCTTCCCAGATTTAAGTACCCTGGCTAAAACAGGGTCATTTGCCACACCAAACATAGCTACAAGTGAGATGGCGTTCGCGGCGTCGATTTGGACCACTGGAACAAGGAATTTGATATCTCGTTTGGCAGAACCGTCGTGTATGAACTGCTCTTTCCGCTTGTTAGCTTGTCTAAATCCTCCCCTTCAGATATGAGATTTACTGGGCCCGTTCTGGACTCTTCTACCGCGCTGGGGATGGTGAGTACATCAATGCATGTGAGTTCTCTGTCCAAGTCAAAAATATGGGAGATACGCCGATGATTGCACCTTGTTGCAATCCCAGTGGGCTTACAGCGGAAACGTCAGTTTCAGGTCTTCTGAGGGCAAGACCATTATCTTCGCCCGTCCTTAAATTCACCAAGCAGTCCAGGATTTAGGAGAGAGACTTCGTACAACAAGGACAATTTAGTGTGATGGTACATGACATATGTGTTACAGAGTTCAGTTCGAGATACCTACACGATTGTTCGTTCTGTCTGGGCAATGCGAATTTCTTCAAGCATGGCGGCTGCCTCCGAGTCGGCCATGAGTTATGCCGTTGTAACGACGGGGTTCGCCAGGAACTGGGAACATGGCGCCGGGCGGGTAGCTCAACGAAGTGCAAAGAACGGCTACCTCGAGCGAATCCAACTCGACAGGGGTTCCATCGATCTATAACAAGAGTAACCAGTGAGGTCAGGACCTTGAAAACTCGAAATGACTATACACTCACCTTCTGCACGCGCCACTGGAGAGCTTGGGTAAGATACGGCTCAACAACACTTGGTTCCAAAGAATTGAGGCCAGAGAACTGGGCGATGGCGTTATCGAGGTGGACGAAGCCCTCCTCGACGAGGTCTCCTTGTCCACGGCAGTTGGCACAGCGTCCCGCAGAACTATTGACGAAGGCGTGGTGCGCGCCCACAAAGTTATCGCTACAGAGCCAGTCCTCCGGGTCCTCAGGGACTTGACCGAGGAAGAGGAGAACAGAGAAGCTGCATCCGAGCTCGTACTTCTTGAACTCGATGCGGGCGGTCCAGTCCCAGAAGTCACGTTCGGGAGGAGCATTATGTCCACGATGAGTTGTTGGTTGGGCGTGTCCGTGTCCGTTCCCGGGTTGGACGAGGAAGGAGGTGACTGCAGATGCGGCCGTGGCGGCTGGTGCAGCCCGTTCGGCAGTGTCGCGAGTGGCGGGCTTCTTCTCACTTCCGCGTCCGCAGGGACAGCCGCTAGGGCAGAGCGGCGAGGGAAGCCGCCGAAGATTGAGGACCCGTAGAGGCGATTGACGATGTTGCCGATGGCAGTCCTCACAGCGTCGGGGTTGCCCATATCGAGTCCGTTGAACTCGGGGTACGTGTATCCGAGTTTGGCGGTGTCTTCAGTACCGGCGGATGCCCAGAAAGTGGTTTGAGCGTTCCAGAATGGAGTGAGCGCTGAAGAATGAAGAGCGGGGTAAGGGAGGGTACCAAGACCAGAAATCTTAAGTCACTTACGTGTGTTCTCGTCGACTGGGTCTTCGGGAGGCATTGTGAAGCTTCCATCCTGCGAATCGCCCTGGCTGACCCAAACGCCTGGGTTGAGCGCTGACCAGAGGGAAAGCATCCTGTCGACGTTGCAGTGGTGTAAGAAGAAGATAGGGTCGAATGCTAGGAAGGACAACATTTAGCTGCGGTGTTCACGTCATTATTATTATCAGACCCACCAGCAACGCTCGGGTCAGCCATCTGACCTCTGCCTCCAATATCGACGTGAATACCGTCATGGATGGCCTCTAAGGAGTTACTCGAGCTCCCTCCGTCTCCAACGGTGTGGTTGCTGAACGCCGTCCAGTCATGGACACGCGTCAGCATGCTGTAAGTACTCGAGGTGATGTCGTTCTGTGCTGCGCGAAGAACGCTATTTTTAGACTAAGTTAGATTATTTCCGGGCGCCCACAAATGAAGAAGGATAAAAAACGGAACTCACAGGCGAAGACGCGCTACGTTGTCCGTGGCGTTCGGTCTGGTGCTGGTTGGCTGCCTCAGGGTGGTCGCCCAACCATTGTACGGCGCTGGGAAAGACGGATCAATGGGATGGAATTTGTAGTTATAGAGTGGGTTGTCGACAGTGATCTTATTTCCGTTAGGGCCAGTGATGGAGACCTGCTTCAACACAATAACCTCGTCGGGAGGAATCGCATTGGCCGCCCAATCCCAGTAAGGCTGGCGAAGATCGGCAGCAGCCTGCTTCCACGCAGCTTGATCGACTGTATAAGTGGAGGCGATCGCCTCTGCGTTCTTCTGGACGATTTGCTGTTCGAGAAGAACGGTGTTGAGCAGCATCGTAACTATACAACATCAGATACTTACCTCGTAGAGCATAACATAGGGCCTGTGCCAGGTGGGGAAGAGAACGGAGCCATGAGTGCAGTAGCCGCCCCACTGAGTGTTGGGGTCCCAGGCTTGGTCACCAGTAGCACCATCCCATGGGATGTAGGGGAGACCGTGAATACCACCGAGCTGGAAGAACGACTGGATGTTAGCCTGGTTGTTCGAAGACATGGCCTCTGTCGATGTGATGTCAGTGCTGAGCAACGACAGTTAGAACGAAGAACGTACGAAGGGCTTGAATGTACAGCGAGAAGAACTTGTCATTCTTCACGAAGTCATTGATCTCGAGACGATTGGGAGCGCCACCTGTAGCGCCAGTGACAACAAAGCGAGACATATTGCTGAGAGGTGTATTGAGACGATGTGCGGTTGGTTCTGAGGTGGGCAGTGGGGGGACCCGGTGAGGGATTTGGCAGTACCAGACGAGTCTTTTATGCGAGCCAGGGTGACGAAAGCGGGGTAATGATTACGATACATTTCGAGATCGGAGGAGACAAATGCCGAGGTATCGTCGTATCCTGAGCATATCGGAGAGGCATTTGCCGACAGTGTAGGTCATTAGCTGCAGGGACGTCACGGGCGGTGTTGTATTGCACGCAAATTACGCGCAAAATGAAACTTCGAGGGTTCGAGTAACGCAGACAGTGAAAGACGGCATGGAAGTAACTGTGCAGTTTGGTCTTCGGTGATAGGAATCTGGACAGTAGCAATGAATTCTCGAGCCACATGGGGCCGTTCTGAGAGAATCACAAAGGAAATAAGACCTGCATTGTAGTCGCCATCAGGGTTGGAGACATCGTCTTTGAAAGCGTCCTTGGGGAGCGTAAAAATGCGGCATCTCTCCGTGATAACTTGGAGGTTGAATATTTGAATACCGAAGCTCCAGAGCGGCGATGGTAGTGGCTAACACAATCAAAACTCCCCCACCCCGTCGACCTCGGGAAGACGGTCATTCTGGATTATGCGGTGGAGCGGTGGGCGACGGGTATGGACTAACAGAAGAATGCGCCGAGGTCGGAGGAGATGCCCATTGAGAAAGCCAGATATACTTAGCTAGCCGTCGCATAATCGCAACCAGAGGCCCGAGCTGCTCTGAAATGAACTGAGCCGCGTCCAGGACATCGAAGTACGCCGAGTAATGTCGCTTTTGCATGCGAAGAGAATGAGAGAACCCCAGAACCAAGGGCCTCCACTGTAACGAAGTGATCAGATAAGTTTGAGTAGCTTTATGTGGGTGGTAAGGGTGCGTAAACAAACCCTGGGTCAGGAAGAGACAAGCCTCATGAAATAGACCATCCAGGACCATGCGTGACTGCGAGTCCTTCGTCTTGCCGCCTGGCATCGCGTTAAAGGCAGCCCATTCATGATTGCATCCCTGTTCTACCATCTCGGAAGACCTGGTACATCATTTCTTGAGTTTAAAACGAAGTTCTAGATGGTAGTTGGCTCCTGAGAAGGTCAGGTGGTCGCGTCATAAACTAGTGTGAAAGTTGAAACGTTGTCTCTCGGCCCAGGTAAATATTTATTGGCCGCCAAGAAAGTCAATATATACAACTATCCAGCATGGCTTGAGCAGACAGTGCGGTCATAAAAGACACCCGCCATCCCCATTTCTTCTTCCGTTATCTTATCTATGGAGATCTCGCTCCGACTTGAGTTTTGTTGTGACACTTGGGACTTTGAGATGCTTGTCAGTTCTCCCTCCAACAGCTTTCCAACACACGGGCCTCGTCAGACGGGGGTTCGCATATCTATCACTCATATTCCCAAGTTCACTCGAACGATGGGACGTCGGTGCACCCCTATGCGATATCTCCACATTATCCATAGCAGACCTCCTCAATGCTCTTGAGGTCCTGCGTACTATCCGGGCGACCTGGCCTCTCCCCGCCCTCTTGTACACACTCTATAATGAGAACGACATCACCTCGATCATGAAATACCGGGGGTGGAAGACAATGTCCCTCGACCACCAGCGGTCCCTCGTATTTGGGTATGAGAACCAAACGAACGCCGTACGCGCTTCGTTATCGATTTTCGGCCGCCTGCCAGCGGGGAGTTGCAAGACCCCGCCCACATGCGGCGTGATATTCAAGGAGCTGTTCCTTGAGATAGCTACCTCGAGGACGAGGAACGCACTCTGGACGTGGAATGGCAAGAAATCTGTGACGAGGAAGCTGGATAGGGTGTGCAAGACTTGCCGGCGGACGGCCAAGGAGCATCGCACAGAGGATAGGAAGGCATTGTGGGACTCCTTGCCGAGGATGTATGATTTCATTTGCTCATGGGATAAATTTCGACAGCGGGAGGAGCAGGTTCTATCGAATATTGGTGCATTTATCGAAGCTGCTAACAGCATTTCGACATATCCTTCCAAGGACTCGCCAGCAGGGGACCTGTGGATGTATGGGGATGGAAAGGATTGAACATTCCACAACTAGTGACCTGACCGTCATAATTCTCTTCTCTGATGTATGTATACTGTCCTATTCCTGCAGATGTATTAACTAAGGGTCGTTTGTTGGAGAACATCTATATTCCGCTTGTTGTATCTAGCGTCTCACTGAACTCATCGAGAGCGTCCGAGAAACCCTCAGTCAACGAGTTGGTTAAGTAACGTACGTCCACAGCACGCGAGGACATTTCCGCTAGCGAAGTTAGTTATTATACCTCCGTGAGCGCTCATTCCTTGAAGAGACGGTGCTTGCTTCACGATAGAACAGTAGGATGAGTCTGGCATACGAGACTGGTTAATGCTTCGGTCCGTCGTTGACATAATTTTCTAGGATTGTTGAAGGAAGCCTGGGAGATGATTCAACTTTCACGTCATTCGTGGTCTCTTCGGTGCTCTCGCAAGCCCCTTCACAAGGGCAGAATCCATGTCGACAAGAATTGGAACCCAAATGGTGTTCTGCTCAAAGGCCGAACTATCTCGGCGCCAAGTGCCGAATATTGCGGCCATAATTGACCGTCGACGGAAAAGAAGTGAAGAGGATGCCGCTCTCGGCAATCAATCTGATGCGAACTTCTGCATTTGATTGCCGAATAAGGAATGCGGCGCACGTCGGGACGGAGGCGTGAGGAGCTGGTAGAAACTAGGTGTATTCCTCGATGTGGTGTGATTCAAATTTGAACCATTGGACCATCGATGGCTAGGTCATGATGCTTGAGTGGTGGCTACTGACGTCGGTCTTTGGGTGGGAGCGTGATCATCTTCACGAAGGGCAGCATGGACGGAGCAAGTGGGTTGCTTCAAGGAGCCTAGTGACTAAAATCACGGTTAGCTGGTGTACTATGGCAAATATTCGAAGAGACGCGTCGACAAGTTCGCCATTGTGTCGTTATCGAGCTTCAAGCCTCCGGAGGGAGAATATTGTTCAATTAGCCCCTGAACTCGGTGTCGGATGCGAGTTACTCAAGAGAAGTAAGAAAAGGCGATATCTATTTTTACATGTCCTCGTGCAGTGGGCGAGGACCACACATGCTGTGGGTCAATCTACCCCGGTTGTATTAGGTCGCTTATTTAGAGAACTCGACACCGAATGAATGTCTCTCCGAGGATACCTGAGTCAAGCTGCTCGAATATTGCCAGAACGTGACATACACCGGGTGTAAATTGACGTTGATCCTTGACCGCTCACCATTGAGCCTCTAGCAGTAAGCATGTAAGCATGGTTACTCAGAAGCCAATTTTTTTTTTTCAAGAGCCAAGGCTACTGACGTCTCGAACTAAGTACATTGAACACCATTATCGCAGGGAAAGATTTTAGCGATGCAGCACCGGTGCAACAAATCCCAAGGAAAAATAGGCGCTTCTTTCTCTACACTATCAGCCTGCAGCACGGCCCGGGAATCTTTCCCAGTGATCCCGTTACCTGGCTTACCTGGAGGCTTACCTGCCACTGGGTGTTATTGCCAATGACGAGATTTGTCACATTCTCACGGTAAAATGCTTACATGAGCAGGGACGGGTTTGTGTTCCCCGCTTGCGGGATTCGTCCCTTGTCGCTGCCCCCTCGTCGTCGTCGTCGCCGCCGACGAGCTCCCCTCCTTCTTCAGCCATCCCTTCCTTCTACCCCGCAATGGCGACGAGCTCGCACTGGAATTCGCGTCACTCGCACCCCAACCCCAGCCATCCCTCGGCGAGTGGTGCACCAGGACCTACGAGCAGCGCCAGCGGCATCAGCAGCAACAGCAGCGGCTCGAGGGAGGAGGCCCAGTACATCGAGTACGGCAGCAGTGACGCCCTTCACGGCCTGCGGAGCCCACCACCACAAACCCCGAATCCGCTCGAGGATGCCCGTCTCCTCTCCCAGCCATCGTCACCAGTGCCCAACGACGTTCACGGTGTCGGCCAGCGTCAGCTGCGCAGTGTACCCGGCTCATCAAGCTTTCCTTCTTCACCTCTCAACCCGACTCCGCCGTCGACGTTTTCCGCAGGCTCTAACCCCTTCGCCCGGCCAACTGGCTCGCGACCAGCGTCGAGAGGGAGCTCCAAGCAACCCCAGTTAGATGACAACCTCATGGCGGGATTAGGACTGGGGAACAACAGCAGCGGCCTCCCACACAGCATTGGCCCACGGGGGTCGATGATCCTCTACCGACTTGCCGACGATGGCAAGGAGGCCCGGGAGTCGCTGCTCATGCCGCCGAAGCTCTTCAGGGACAAGCGGGACTCAATAGCATCGTCATCAGGGGACAGCATGATCTCGATTTCGTCCGACTCCAAGTACCCCTCTGGCATGCCCTCAGTGCGTGGACTTGTGCCGTATGCGTACGATCCTATCCTGGACGAGAACGAAGCACCAGACGATGAGGATTTACTTCATGACCCAAATCGCAAGGGAGGGATGAGGGGCGATAAGGGTGCATTCCCGTGGAGGGGTATCATGAACGTCGGCGTCATCATTGTGCTCCTCCTGGCGCTGCTATGTCTCTTCATTTTCTACCCGGTCTTATCATTCTATCGCGATGAAGCCAAAAACCGGGCAATAGATGGCAATATCAGGATTAACGCTACAGGTACGTCGTCTGCGTCGTTTGCTCCAGTGCATCCACTTATCTGCGCCCGCTCTGCCTTATCCATGTTTTTTGCGTGCATCGATGATCAGGCCAGGCACCAGTTCTGTACGCCTGCTTCTTAATCTCTACTCGTCTCTCGCTCAAGAAGTCGTTTTTCTCTCAGATTCCAAATGCCAGAAGTTATCGACCCAGAAACACCCCCGTCGGCGATGACAAGAACAGGGTTCGACGGCCAGGAGTATGAACTTGTCTTTTCGGACGAGTTCAACACGGATGGGCGGACATTCTACCCAGGCAAGTCTTCACACTCCACCTTCATTACCTTCTCCAGGTCATTACGACCGCATACATACGCGTTTCCCCGAACCTTTCCCTTCACTTTCTTCCCTCGATTGCGGCTATACCCCGTGTCTCACGTTTCGCCTCGCAACCTTCACGGGGGCGCCGCCACCAGCACACGAAACATCACACCCGTTTCTTTCGATTGGGCAAAGCCCCTTTTGTCCTGGCATGGGTTTGGCGGCACGACCGTGTCACCCTTCCCACCTATCACTCTTCTACCACGCTTCTCGTGTCTTCGGGCAACAAGGCTCCTCGCGGGACACCCCAGTTCTCGAGCGAGAGTAGCTGTGGGTTCCTACTCGTGGCGAAAATGCATCATGCGGCTCGCACATCTCTTGTTCTGTAGCATCAGCAGCCTCGGCGACCGAGCTTGTATTGCCGGTGGTTATTTTTAGACTCGAGAAATCTTTCGGGCTAGTTCATACCATCAACGTCCCTTTATGCTTTTGCTACTAGCCCTTGATTCCCTTTGCCGTTCTTCTGATCCTCGCGTGTTCTTGATTTATTGACTAATTTCGAACTTCTTTTTGTGAACAGGTGACGATCCGTTTTGGGAGGCGGTGGATTTGTGGTACGGTGCTACGGGCGACTTGGAGTGGTATGACCCCTCGCAGGTCACGACGAGGGATGGAGCGTTGGTTATCACGATGGACTCAACCTCGACGGCACAGGCTGGGTTGACACCAGGTGCGTGGTTGCTGCATTTCTATTCCTGCCCAACGCCCCTGTTCATGGACCGTCGGCGTTTTCGCTTTTCGTCTTTATTTTTGGCTTGAGCGTTGGTTGGCTGACACGCTGCTTCTAGGCTCGACAGCACCGTTCACAGCGGCCGAGAATCACAACATGGAATATCGATCCGGAATGCTGCAAACATGGAATAAGTTTTGCTTTACGACAGGGTACATTGAAGTCGCTGCTTCTTTCCCTGGTCCAGACCAGTCGACGACGGGTTATGTGAGTTGCTAATTTTGACTTGACTTTTTGGTTCTACGCCTTTCCTTTTGGGTTTTTCGGGTTGGGCATATGCAGCACGTGGCGTGATACGACTCGGACGCGGGGTGTTGAGGCCGCAGAAAGTGCGGAGACGGGAGTTGGATGCGAAGCAGTGTGATGATGTGGGTCGACTTCTCGATGTCCCGGTGTGCTCGGGTCGGGCAAGGTATCTTGATACCCCGAACCGGTTGTTCGCTCGTGTGGTCGACTCTGGTGGCGACGGCGGATGCACAGAAGCTATGGGCCGCAGAGGGGTTAGGGATTAACGATGGACATGGGGCAGGCCTCCTCGATGGCCCCGCTCGCGATTTTGCTCGCCTTTCGACTTCTTTCATTTTTCGATTATCCCCTTAAGTTCCTGATCGCTGATCGTCCTAATTTAGTGGCCTGGTGCCTGGACAATGGGCAACCTTGCTCGACCTGGGTATCCAGCGACGACGGACGGGATGTGGCCATACACGTACATTGTCTTCTCTCTTGTGAATGTCATGTTGTCTGATGAGATATTACTAGCTATGACTCATGCGACGTCGGCACATTCCCCAACCAGACGAATAAGGACGGCCTTGGGCCAGCTGCTGCGTTGCACTCTGATGCCTCGAGGTCAAGGTACAATTTCGAGCTGAGCTGGCTGAGTGGGCAGAGGTTATCGTGCGTCCTTTCTCATCCTCCACATGGGCTAGGTGCTGACTTCATGGTATTGCTCTTAGTGCGTGCTCTTGTCCGGGCTCAGACCACCCAGGTCCTGACGTCACTCGTGGCCGCGGAGCTCCCGAACTCGATATCTTCGAGGCGGAGAAGGACAAGGACATTCCCCTTGTGCATATCGTGTCGCAGTCTGCGCAGTTTGCTCCGTTCAGTCACGACTATACGTACAACAACAATACGGGGGATTGGATCAACTATGACTCGACAAGGACGAGGGCGAACACCTACAGGGGTAGCGCAGTGCAGCAGAGTGTCTCTGGGTTGACTAGGGTGCCAGCGGATATGTTCCAGGGCTCAGGAGCGAATTTTAAGACTTTTGGTGCGTGTTACTTCTCCATTGTGGGATAGACCATATGTACTGATGCGCCTCTGTGCTATAGGTTTCGAATACTGGTCGGACCCCAACGATCGACAGGCGGGTTATGTTAACTGGCAAGTCGATGGCGCGCGTAGTCATCGCGTATCCGCCACTGCTGTCGGGCCTGATCAGGGTTCCGATGGAAGTGGTGTCGGGCAGAGGCTGATTCCAGAGGAGCCAATGGCTATCGTTTTGAACTTGGGCATTTCTTGTACGTGCTCCTTCGTACGCATTAGCATGGTCTTGACGCTTTCTCTTCAACATAGCCAATTGGCAAACGATTGACCTGAGCTCTATGATGTTCCCGGCCGAGCTGAAATTCGACTATGTGCGAGTGTACCAACGAAAAGGACAGACAAACGTCGGCTGCAATCCTAAGGATTATCCCACCACGGAGTACATTAATAACCATATGAAGGCGTATACCGGTACGTGTATTGGCGCGTCGCAGCTTCTCGATGCTGATAGCACATCTTTAGATATTAATATGACGACATGGGATTGGCCCAAGCCCAGAAATTCATTGGTAAGATCCCCCACCTCTGATATTTATTGACACCGCTAACTTTTAATCAGTACGAAGGCAGCTGTTAGTTGGCCCAATCCCGTCGATGCCACGATCCGACCGCCGTGTAGGCGTGCGGTCCTGTGGTCAATCGCATTCCTTGTCAAAATTGTCACGAAAACCAAGGTCAAAAAGTCGCAAAATCGAATATGTTCAAGCTAGAAGCCCATTGGAATACTGTGTTATTATACGGCTCTTACTGCCGTCGTCGTCATCACCTCATCGTGTCCTACGGTCGCCCTCCGACTTCCTCGCATTCCTTGCCGCTCTGGCGGCCAGGACCTGTCGCTCTCTTCACGCCCACCATACTGACCCACGAACGCAACATCGTCGAACTTCGCATGCTCTATCTACAACCACAAATCACTCGCTACCCTCATCTGTATGATATGGACTCGCCTTACCTTCCATCGAGTTTTAATCTCGTTTCCGAATCCTTCTCTACCCTCATCCCAGTTTAATATTTTACCCTCACTTCATCCTTGATGCATAGGACTTTCGCATACCTCGATCGCTAACTTCTGGGCACCCGGCTTTTATACCTTTACAGCTTTGCAATCTGTCACCATACTGCATATATTTTTTATCGCACGTCCCACTCGATATCGCCCATTTGGATACCGATACCTCTCAGCGTCCCTCCGACCCCACACTCCACACTCTTTTGCTTTAACCCCTTCCTTCTTAACCATTATCTTATCTACAGAATGGGCTGCGACTCTCTTTCGCCTGCTCCTCTCGGCACTCCTCGTCGCAGCCCATTCATTTTCGTGGACATTCGCCACATAGATTGAACCATATGATATCTGATCTCTTTTGGAACTTTTTCGTAGGATATGGATTCTCAGCAAGCATCTCATTATTTATTCGTAATTCCGGGCCTGGTAGGGTACGCGGATTCCTGGTTCTCGATCCTCTTGCTATTTCATGTTGTTATCATTAGCAGGCAATGAAATCAGGGATGGACGTGTTCTTTCCTCTTCCTTCTCACATTCATATTCATTTCTTCTTGATCGACGTCGACTCGGGTTCAGTGTGGTCGGAAGAACGATATCCGGAGGAACATAGCTGACTTGATGACGAAAGGACTGCCGTAGGTTTCTCGCGGTGCACTTGCTGCCCACTCATCCCGAGCATGCGTTTGACAGCAGATAAAAGGCAAAGCAGAATCTGTGCATGAAGCAGCTGCGCATGTTTCATGGACGCATGAGCACTCGTACAAATACAGTGAAGGTTATGTTACAATTCCTATTTAATATTGTCTAGTCATGAAGGATGCTGAGGTTTTGGGCGTTGTGGCGATATAGGAGGAGATATCATAGGGGTTCCGGCCTGGAGGTTTTGTGCATACGGAGCAGGGACATAATGCATCATGGGGGACGAGAACTGCAATGAACCTTGCGCTTGCGATACGCCCGCGGCCGCAGCTTGCATCATGGGCTGTCCAGCCATCGCGGACGCGTCTCCGCTGTTCTGGCTCTGAGGCGGCGACGGGCCCATGTAATAGAGAGCTTGTCCAGACGGTGCTGGCTGCATGGGTGCTGGTACTGGTGGAGGAGGCATGGCCATGGGCTGGTACGCCGTGTAGCCACCGTGCGGGTACTTCGCTGCACGGCGGCTTGTTTTAGACCGTTGGCCTCGCGGCGAGGACTCTGGCATCGGCATCGTGGCGTAGGGCATGTAGGGGTAGGTGTATGGGAGGTATGGCGGTACGGCGTAGGGGTATACGGTCGGGACGATGGGGCTCCCAACGCGGTGTGGGACGTCTGTCGTCGTCGCTGCTGATGTTGCGGTTCGCCGGCGTCGATGTCGGTGCTTCGTTCTTGAGGAGTGGTGGTGGTGGTTATGGTGATGATGATGTCTCCGCTCGGACGACCGCCCAGATCGTCGAGAGAGAGGGGATCCAAATCGCGAGAGGGTATTCCCAAAGCTTCGAGGCGACATCGTTTCTGCACCCTCACTGCTGAGAAGGTCGAGGCTGTTCCGCCGCGAGAGACCCATCATTGACCGATACCATGACGGTTTGATTTTCGGGTTCTTCAGGACTCTCATCTTCCCCTTTGCACGAGCTGTATCGCCTGGCCGGTAGTCTACCGTGATACGATTGCGCCCTATCCATGGAAGGTGGTATAGGCCCTTGAAGAATTTCTCGATGGGCCCGAGATCAGATGCAAAGGATGGGTCGTAGTAGGAGGTTAGCCCGGATGTCGAGGTACAATCGGCGCCCGAGGTTGTTATAGGCGACAGAAGCTGTTCTCGATGTCTCCCAACATGGTTCGGATGAGGTGCTGCATATCGAGGGGAAGGGTGAAGAATGGCTGAGCTCGGGCCTGGTTGCAGTGGAGGCGGCGGCATAGGTGGAGGTAAGGGATTGAAATGTTCGCTCTGGGACTGTGTATTCTGCCGTGTTGGCAGCTCCGCTGGGTACGACACTCGTGGTGCAGAGGGGGGCCGTGTAGGTTGTGATGAAGGGCCTTGGGTAACTGTAGGTGCTTGCGAATCGGTGTTGTACACCATGACCGTCGTTCTCTCGCGAGGATCAGTATGCGACTCCTCCTGTTCCTGATACTCCGGCTCTTCCTCTGGTGGCGGACCATCGTAGAACTCTGCATGCACCGACTCTCCTGGCACTCCCTCCGCTGATGGGGGTGTAACAACGACTTCAGGATATCGAGGCTGTGGGTTAGTGCGCATCTGGAACACCGCTGGAGTCGCTTCTGGGGGTAGAGAGCCGTTGGCGACCGCCATGCTCAGGCGATGGGCGAACTGAGGGTTCGAAGGCCCGATGGAAGGATTTGAGAGGTAGCGCGGTAGCGTATTTCCGTGACTCACGGCGGTCAGAGTCGTTCCATCGGTCCCGAACGTGCCCCGACGCCGAAGTCCTCCCTTCTCTCCACGCCCAAGGACGATCTTAGGGATCTTCTTCAGACCCTTGAAGAACCCTCCGACGAACGTCTTTTTGTGCTGGATGTTCAGCGGGGCGGTGGATGCGAGCATAGGAGTGGAAGGACCCAACGTCGAGGGTCCTGCGAGGATGGGTCGCCCATTACCCATATCATCGCTCTGATATCCAAACCGAAGAGCTCCAGGAACCATGGGATCGTCGCCGATATCATCCGTTCCATCTTCATCATCTACGTGCTGCACATATTGTGTCGGAGGGCGTCTACTGATATGGCGCTCGGGTAGAGGGCGGGGCCCATGAAAAGGTGTTCCCTGAGAGGCGGGTCGCGATTGAGGTGGAAGGTCCTCAACTCCTGGAGGCGGCGGCGGCGGGTGTCTCTGGGTCTGCTGGACCCATGACTTGGTACTGGCCGTCGCCTGGCTCTGATGCGAGCCTCTTGTCGCTGTCCGACGAATCTCGTTCTCATCGTCCGGATCGGCATAGTACGGTTGGTGGTGGGGGGCGTAATTCGGGTACTGGGGCTCGTAGTAATCCGTCATCGAGGAGAAGCGGTGGTAAGGGGGATATAAGTGCTGCGGCGTGCGTCCGAATGCCAAATGGTCGTTAAGTTACAGTTAGGGCGTTGGACCAGCCAGACGGGTGAAGAACGAAATGGAGGGTAGGACTCAACGCAGCGGGCGGGTGGTGATGGTAATCTGCAGCGTAATGCTTCATCCTCGCCGTAGACTGTTATCCACAGGTGTGCGAGGCTGTGACGAGAACGCACGATTATGACACGGAATGAGAGACACGAGGCCAACGCGAGGCGACTGACCGTCACTGAACGCATTCTTTCGGACACCCTGAGAGTGACATAAGGTGTGATTACGGCTCTTGCATGTACAAGATATGATACATGGTTTAAGACGGCGCCTCGCAAACGAGTTTATGCTGACTCCAATCCACCATCTGCGTGTAGGGGGTGATCAGCAGCGATATACACACCCCAACACGAACGCACCTGATGGTCTTTACAACAATAGAGCACCTCTTCACAGCGCTGGCATTTCATGAAGGGGCAAGCACCCTTCTCTCCCTCCTCTTCTGCAACGTTGCAAGGCCACAGGTTGCAGCGCACCGTCTTCTTTGGGAAAGCGTCGTCCCGAACAATGCCACTGTCGCTCATGAGCGAACGACAGGCCGAGAACTCGAACGAATTGCAATCCTTGTCATTGCAGCCTCGCGATCCACATTCGGTCGGGAAGGTCGAAAGCAGGGCCTGGGGTAGATAGAACGAAGGGTCGGTGAAGAGTGCTCGGTCCTTGAATTGCGTCCCGTTGGATTTGAAAATGATAAACCGCGGAACATATCCGACTTCAGAGTAGGTCCACTTGGTAGAAGCACGGATTCGAACGCCGGCAGGACATCTCGTCCATCTCGTTGTCTGGGCCATTGCGTTAATCATGGTGAAGACAAAGGACAAAAAAGGGAAAACAGTAGTCTTGTGTGACAGATGTATTGATTTTCCGAGCACACAAGAACGAAAATAGCAGGAAGAAAAGAAGAAACCGGAGACTACTTACATCGCCGTTCCTGCTCTTTTGTCCATTCGTCTTTGCTCAACTCCACCCAGTACGCCGTCGCCCTGTCGAGCTGCTCGCCAGACCAGTTCACGACAATGACCGGAATGTCCCCGCCACCGTAATCGTGCATGTTCCGAATGACGAGAAGTTCGAAGAGCTACACCATACACAAACTCTGTGTGAGCCCGACATTGAAAGCCAGAGCAAAAATAAGCTTACGATCGCAGTCACGGAGATCATCTTCCAAAACTTCTTCGGGTCCTGGTTTCCCGGTGTCTTGCGCCCTTCTAACCATTCCCAAAAGCCCTTCGACGCGTACCATTGGATCCGATAATCTGCCAGCGCCATAGGGAGGAGCCTCGAGGTATCAACAGAGCGGAAGAAAAGGCTGGCTGGGTCGAAAGGTTTGCCCTTCTTCCACACGATAAGGCGACCTTTCAGTCTGTCGTTCGTGATTTTGACTCTGACGGCGTCAGGACCTTGAGCAACGCTCCGAAACCAGCGTTCATGAGGAGATCCGTGGACGCGAGGACTCGAGTCTGACTGTATGTCGGCAAAGATCGTATCGCGGATCTGTTCGCCGAAACTTTCGGGCGATTCTTCGTGTATGAGTTCAGAAAGCGCGATTCGAGGAATACGAGTGCGCTCCCATTTGTTGTCGGCCATGGCGTGGTAAGCTGGTGGTGGTTGGGAATCAAGATGGATTGCAGGGCCAGACGCGTCCCGCGATGCAACGGTTGCAGTAATTACTGCCTGACATAAGTAAAGCCGCGAGACTCTGCCAAGGCCAGCAGTGACAGAATCAGTCATACTCTAACAAGCCAAGGGATCGACTCACCATGTTCAACATATTTTTTTCTTTTCTCGTAGATCATTTCACCTTCAGTGAGTGATCGCTCATCTAAAGCACATCTCAGCTTGCGATGTCCTTTTAAACGGGACCTCTATGTATCGTCTATAGAATGAAGTGCAAGGAATGGTCGCAACGCCTCGCCTCTCAAATAACCTCAGTATGCCTATCCCAATCCGCCATCTATGACGCGATATTAGCAAATGTAGACGCACAACCGTATACGGAGAACGAACCTGATGCCCTTTACAGTCATGCAACACCTCCTTGCAGCGTTGGCACGTCATGAACTAGTGTACACAACGATGGAGTTGACGTTCTTCGTAGGCACCTCGGCTGATTGTTTCTGATCCCAAATATATACTCACGAAGATAAATCATAGGTTTTTGAGCTATTTGTCATGAGGAATATGTACGACTATGGCAGAGCAGACTTCCGATCATCCTTCTGAAGTGGAGGAGGATGGAGAGACGGGGCCTTCTAAATTCATGAAGTGCTGTATTGCTGCAAAGATCACCAAGTTCGTCCTATATTGTTCATTCCAGCTGTGTTGGCTTACTGACACTAACGTAAAGGGTTGACTAGGGTCAGCACAAGATTGTTTGCGAAAGTCATTCGTAGACTACATTTCTTGAATCGACGCGGAGGAATTCAAACTATTCAATATACCTGAGAGTCTTGGTGGGATAGGTCAGTGCGATAGAACAACGCGTGGAGTATCTAGAGTTGCTTTCGCTGGGCGGCCGTCGAAGATGCGTTAGGACCGGTGCCCCGACTCGAAGGGGAATTCATTATGGGAACGCCCGAATCTACGATTAGCGCCCAGAACCAGAACGGATACCGCGTTCGACTCGTGGTTGCAACTTATTGTAAGAACAAAAACTGAGGCGCTACCTTCGGGCGGTCTTCCGACAGTTATAGGAAGGTCAGAAGGAAATACAAAAGTAGAGGAGCGAATACAAACGAAAATAGAAATGACGGCGAGTGATTATAGGAGGCGCAATGTAGACGCACTCAAGGCAGGAAACCGATCTCTTTCCAGTACGCCACCCATTTCTCGACGTCTTCCTTCCCGAGGCTTGATACTTCGTCGGACTGAAGAGAAGGCGATGCTTGGTAGCCCTTCTCAGACACAACCTTTGCAAGGAGACCACCGCTCTCCGTGTGGAATCTCGAAACACCGAGCGCAATGCGGTAGAAATGGGTCAACCGGAGTGCAGCTCGTTGGTTGACCGTGGAACGGCCATGGTCGTCGGCGTCGCGGGCTGACGCCTCTAGTCGGGCAAACCACTCGACGTAGGGTACAAGAGGGACGTTTAGGAGCTTCGAGACAGGTTTGATAAGGTCGTTCCACTGAGTGGGCTTGGGGTGGATGAGATGGACGGTGTCAGAGGGGGTGCGCCGCATGTCCACGATGGCGGAGGCCGCGAGGTCGACTGGGATCCATGAAACGACCTGAATGACAACCAATGGTCAGCATCCACAAGGGATTAGTTAAGAAAGGAGACGTACATCATCGACTTCGGGTAGGCAACCAACATAAACCGCAGACTGGACGATACCAGGAAACCACTGTGAGGGATCCCAGCTGCCGTTGACGCCGCCGGTGAGGAGACCGACGCGGATGACGTTGGTCTGCAGGCCGCACTTCTCGCCAGCGGTCTGGAAGAGGCGCTCTGCAACCCACTTCGACTCGATATACCCAGTCTGAATCGACACCTTCGGGTCGAGAACGGGAGCCTCGGGGGCGTATTCGGGATCGGAGTCTTTAAAAACTATGTACATCGTTATTATTGCTAACAATAGGATATATATATGTTGAAATCTTACCTTGATACGTGCCAATCGAGCTGACGTAGGAGAGTGAAGGCTTAGAGGCGAGCCTCGAACGTTGGGCGAAGTCAATTAACTTGCGTGTACCTTTGATGAGGCTCTCGTTGTCAGCCAGAGAAGAGATGAAATCGACTCTCCATGCTGAGGAAGATTTCGGTCAATAACCACTCCATAGTTGCAGGAGAAACGATAGACGTACCATTGTGGATAACGTGGGTGACAGAAGACAGCAACTCGTCTTCACGCTCAGCGCTCAGACCGAAGTGATCTTCGGCAAGATCTCCTTCCAACAGAACGAGTTTGCCTGATTCGAGGGGAGAGGCATCGAGACCTTGACGAACGAACACGGCTTCCTGGCGGTCGGAGAGAGACGTTGAGTTTTGGCTGACCCGGTTGAGAGCATACACGAGCTTGACGGATGGGTTCTCGAGGAGTTTCTCCAACACATTCGCTCCCAAAGTGCCCGTCGTGCCAGTGATGAGGACAACCTCCTCCGATGGTGCCGATGAGGTGGACGATGACACCGACGTGCTGGCCTCCAGGCCGGCGCTGTACTTCGCGAGCATCTCCGTCATCAAGTCCGCCTTGTTCCGACTCTGCGCCGGCTTCGAGGTGGTTTGCTCCTGCACCACCTCGACGTTGGCCTGCGATAGGCGAACAAGGTCGTTGAGGGCGATGTCAGCGAGAAGCTGGATTTGAGTGACTTCAACGAAAGGTCGAAGAAGGAAGGAGAGGCGAGACGCGGAGAGCGAGTCGATGCCGTAGGCTGTGAGTGGGACGTCGGGCGAGAAGTCGGCTGCGGGGACAGCGAGGACGTTCTTGATGACCTCTGTCATGCGCTCGGAGTCGTCGACGTCGTCAGAGACTTCCAGAACTTGATCTGCGAGGAGATGCATTCCAAGACGCGGCATGCCTTGAGTTCGCTCCAGGGCCTCCCAATTGAGATCAGGCACGTAGCGAACGATACGTTGGCCGTGCTGGAAGCGCACCATGGCATCATCGAACCACCGAATCATATCTAGGAAAGGGAAGAAGGTCAACGGCGACGGGGGTTATCAAAGCTTTTGTGGCTTACCCTCCGCAGAAACCGACCAGGGGATGAGCGCGCTGAGGCGAGTTTCGTTCGACTTGCCAGTGCCCGCAAGCATCAAGGTAGAGTCTAAAATGCCCGGGCAAATGAAGGAGAAGCCGTTCGAACTCTCGGCTGTATGATGCTCGAGCGCGGTATTTCCACTGCAGAACACAATTAGTAATTCACCTTTACAGGTGAAGTAGGCAGACCTACGCTCCATAGTTTGTCTGACCTCCAAATCCAATGAGACCCGAAACTGAAGTGAATGAAACGAGGAAGTCGAGGTCCTCGACGTTGACAGACTTCTTGAGAGTTTCCAGAACGCCGATCTTCGCATGGAAGACGCGAGAGAATTGTTCTTCGTCGAGGTGACGGAATAGGCCGTCCAGGAGGACAGCAGTGAGGATAATGCATCCGCCAACAGGACCAAGGCCACCCATGAGGGTCCCCATGCCAGTTCCGTCAGTTGCATCGAGTGCCACCAGAGACAAGCGAAGTTCGGGTTGGGCATTCAAGTAGTCGACCATACGACGCACGACGACGTTAGTGTTGCTTTCAAGGCTCTTTTCTCCAGAACGCGACGTGAGGACGATGTGTCGAGCACCTCGCTGTAGAGATCATGTCCATGAGCAGAAGGCTTCGGTATCGTCCTGGGTAGAGACTTACCTGATACATATACAACGCCAGGTGGACGCCAATAGTCCCAATCCCTCCGAGAATAACGTACGCTTTCTCTTCTTCAAACGAAGCATGAATGGATGGCCGGTCCTGGCGAAGGTCGCCGTTGACAGCGGTGGCGAGGAGAGGTGGCAGGGGCACTAGGGATGGAAGAATCTCTTTCACACCCTGCAAGCCGAAGCGTATGGCATCACCCACTGCACATGGATCTCGGGCGAGAATGGCAGCGAGCCCTTTCATATCGTCGCTCCATGAGAAGACTCTACCCTGCCTCGGGTGCACCAGCGTGTCAATGACTTGAAGATACGAACGATCAGAATATCCGGATATAATGGCGTCGTATGCCTCGACAGGAAGTTTGCCGAGGTCGTAGAGGCTGGCGTTTTGAGGGACGTGATCGACTTGGGCGCCCATTTGTAGGAGAAGAGCAGCGGCGCTCGAACCAATGGTGGTATCGCTATGGGTTAACAAGATGCGAAGCTTGGAGAGACGAGCAGGGCGACTTAGAGTACCCTGTCCGAGTGCAATAACGGCTGCGACGAAACCAGAGATAGCAGCGGAGGCGACCGAGAGATGCTTGAGATAATCATCGGAAACAGGGACGACGCTGGCGGCGTCCAACTGCACGTACTTCCCTGCCGGGCTGCGGACAAGAGCAGCGACGAGAGTGTTGGGTTGGATATCCGTGGCGTTCGCGTCAACAACGGATGCAACGATTCCAGAGACGTTGGCTTGGTCTGAGGAAGAAAGAACGCGGACGAGAATATGGTCGACTGCCAGCCGTCTCAGACGAGTGTTGGACTTGTTGTCGTAGCGCGTTTGAAGAGCGTCGACTGGGGCTAGACGAGGCACCAGAAGGCGATCTTCGGACACAATAATGTCGCGTTCCGAACGCAGCTCGGTGGGCAGGTGCTCGAGGAAGTCCTGACGCATGTCTTCATCGTACGAAGACGGGAATATAACAAGGCAGATGGTCCACAAAACATACTCCCGGCGAAGGGCTCGCACCAAACCTTGGGCAGCACCGCCATCTCGCCCTTCAGTTGCCGTAATCCACACGTCGAGTTGCTGCATGTCGTTGAGTCCGGAGAGTTCCCATTGCAAGTCCATCTCGTTGCCATAGCTATATGCAAACGCGAACGACCCGATAGGGTCGAAGAGGGCTAACGAAAGCAATGATTGAGGAGACCAGCTAGGCTTCTGGCACTCTACGGAAAAGTGGAAGGGATCAGAGACTTCGGAGCTGTGGCTGCGCAAAACGTTGAGGTGATGGTCCTTCAACGACTCTAGGTAGGACCCCAGAGAAAACGTCTTCTCCTTGGAAGGTACGCCGAGGTAGGCATCGTACCACATGGTACCCAGAGACCCCATGTCCCAGGCATCGAAATTGCGCTCTGTCATGATGCAGGTACCTCCCGGAACGAGGAAGGTCGATGCAACTTTAGCAATGGCTGCAGGATTGGCTTCGTGAGAGGCAACGTTGAAGAATAGGACGATGTCAAAGAGGTGATCCTGGAGGCTCTCGGACCTCACGCCGTTGAACGAAACGCGTGTGTTGCGAACGATGCCGGAGGGAATGTTGGGTAAGGACTGAGCTGCATGTTTGTTGTCGACGAAGAGCTCGAAGTACAAGGACGGGAATTGCTGTACAACAGTTTCGACACCCTTGCGGAAGAGCTCCGATTCTACTAAAGGAAACACGTTAGTCGGAACGATTCAAACGAGTAAATAAAGATGACGCACCGTTATCCACAATGAGGGCTTTGACGACGCGAGTGCCTGACTTGGTGACTTCGCTCAAGGCTGCATGCAACGAATGCATTGCGCACTTGATAGCTTCGTCAAATTGCGGACCTTCGGACGGCGGAATTATCTATTACACCATTAGTCAAGACCTAATAAAAATCAAAGCAAAATGGATGTACCTCGGTAGCCCTGAATGTCTCAAAGTACGGATCAGATTCTTGATGAACGCTCTTGAAGGGAGGCGTGTCGACGTTCAGGTTCGGGCTATGACTACAGATAAGGATGCATTACGAAACTCGAAGGAGAGAACACGAACGTTTGAAGCGTTCCAGCGCGCTGGAGCATCTTTGCGCGAATAGAGATCTTGTCAAGACTTCCGAAGAGATCAGAACGATCTTCACCCTTGTACGCGGGTCCGATGACGGAGCGTTTCGCGTGGAAGACTGGTTGGTAAGCCACTTCCAGAGGACGAGTTGGATCCGCAACAGGCGTGATATGATGCTTGGCGACATACAGGCCTATGAAGGAGCACAGACGAACGCCATCGTCGTTCACGAGGGTGATATCATAGTGAATGGCGTCTATTCATACGTCGAATGAGTTCCATTTTCCACGAATCATGAAGTTTCATACCTGGAAGCCACTTCTTCAACTCCACATGGGCGTAAAGGTGTGCCGGGAAATAGCCGGGCTTCAGAGCCTGATGGATAATGATGGCATCGATATGAGCTGGGAGGTGGTAAACGTTCGGGTCGTAGTCGCCGTGGAATGGCTTGTACGCGGATACTTGGATGCAGGAGTCGAGGATCGCGGGATGCAGCAAGTACTTGCCATCGCTATAACCCTAATCAACGCAATCTAGACCAGGTTCTTGAGGTGCTTTACCTAGCAAGGACAGAGTCCATCCCTTTGATGGATGCGAGGGCTTCATTTTTGTTGAAGAAAATGTTTGTTACGCGCTGGAAACGCGGTCCATACGCCGAGAAGTACGAGAGCGAGGGGTAGAAGCCTATGAAACAAGTTGTTGAGTTCAAGGGTTTCAATTATGGATAAAATTGAAGCTTACCGGAGCCGATGTGCTCAGGACATCTCGCTCGAATAGCTATAATGTCCACAGGCGGGGCGACGCTGGGGATTTCGAAGGACAAATACCCATCGGCGTGCAGGCGTTTGCTCTAAAGAGGTTGTGAACAAATAAATCGATAATTACATAATCAGGAACAGACCGTCTTCGGAGTGTGGTCCTTGCGACCTTTGGAGACGGAAACTGACTTGACAGTCCAGTGGGCGCCATCGAGGTCGACATTGACCTTGGTAGGCTTCTCCGAGGACAAAGACAAAATCGAACGCATGTTGACGTTCATGAGCGTCGATGCACCGAACTCGATTGCCTGAAGAAAAAGAAAACATCAGATGTGAAGAGCCAACAGCAGTGCAAACGAACGTACCATTTCCAAGAATCCAGCGGCAGGCATGATCGGCTCGCCTCGAATAATGTGCTCCGCGAGCACAGGGTGCGACTCCTTGTTGATACGAAGGTGTGTGTAATTCAATGGCCCGCGGGGCACCTCCATCTGCTTGAATGTACCGGGAGTGTCGAGGTACAGAGGGTACTTCTTCTTGGAGAACGGATACGCGGGCAGTTGGAGCTTAAACTCGGAGCACTTGCGACCGTTGAGAGCCGTGAAGTCGGCGAAATTGTGCCCGGCGGACGTAAGCTTGCCCAAGACGTTGAGGACGTCGACATACTCCGTTGGCGGGGCCCCGAGCTTGGGACGTTGCGCTGAATGAAGTACGGTCGAACCTTCAGACGCCATCGAGATGACATAGGAAGATAGCACGGGATGTGGGGCAACCTCGACGAAGGATGCGTTGGGCAGGGCCTGGCGGATCGCAGTCATGGCCTCCGTGAAACGAACTGGTGAGACAGTGTTGTCCCAGTAATACTCGGCTTTAAAGGGACCTTCGAAGAGCTTGCCGGCACAGGTGGAATAAACTGGCGTCGTAGGGCGATGCGGGCCTGGATAACGCTCGAAAAGATCCTCGAGGGCAGCCGTATACTCCTCCTTCGCCACGTTCATCATCGACGAATGGAATGGCACGCGGGTACGAATCTTGCGTGCAAACTTCTTGCGAGTCTGGGCCATGCTGACAATCCTGTCGATGGCGGCCTCCTCTCCAGCGATGGCGACAGCGGACGGTGCGTTATAGCATGCAAGCTCGACGATGCCTTCCTTGTTCTCTTCCTGATACTCCTTCAACAACTCGTCCAATTCCTCCGGGCTGCACGAAATCGCAGCCATGGTGCCTCCGAGCTCCTCGACGGGGGTGAAAGAGCGGCCGCGGATGACAGCGAGCTCGACGGCCATCGCCTTTGGCGCGGCACCAGAGGTGTATAGGACAGCAGTCTCGCCAGCCGAGTGGCCGACGATCGCGTCGGCCTTGACGCCCAAGCTCGTCAACGAATCGAAGAGCGCGATCTGGAAGATGGCTACGGAAGGCAGGACGAGGGCGATGGGCCAGATATCGGGTAAAGGAGGGCTAGTAGATGCGCCAAAGAGGCCGTAGTCGTGGATGATCGACTTGCCGGTTGCCTTGATGAAGACATCGTCCATCTCGAGTATGCTGTCGCGGAAGACGGGGAAAGCTTCGAAGAGCTCGCGGCCCACTACGCAAATAATATGAAGTCGGTAAATGAATTGGTATAACGCACGTAAAATCAACTTACTTTGGACATGCTGAGGCCCCTGTCCCGAAAACACGTATACGAGCCCGTTCGGGGTACGAGGGCAATGCTGAGGCGTCCAGATGTCCTCCAACTTCTCCTGGCCAGGATGACCAATCGTGTACGACCTCCAAGTGGCCTGCTTTGACCTCCGTCCAAGGACAGTCGACAACCCCGGCAGGTCGTCGAAGTACTTCGAGAGATCTTGCTGAATTGACTGCGCCAAGGCCGTTGCAGTTCTCGATGAGAGACCTCCAGTCATGAAGAGGACCGGCCGCTTCCCTTCAGCATCCTTGACTTTGGGTGCTTCTTCGACGCGAGGCGGACCTTCGAGAACGACGTGGCCGTTTGAACCGCCGATGCCCGAGCCAGCGATGGAGACGAGCGGCTTGTCGTTCGCGCGGCATGGAAGCGGCGTTGCCTCCAACGGAACGCGGAGACGGTACTCGTCCCACTTGATACCCGGGTTCAGCTTGTTGATGTTGACTTGTGGTGGGATCGTCTGCTTGTCGAAGATGGAGACGACCTTCGACAGCGACGCAAGGAAGGCCGTGATCTCAGTGTGACTGCAAGAAATGACCATTAGTCAGCATGAACGGCCAGCAAGAAAGGTAGGTATTAGTAGGAGGTACGTACCCGATATTGCCCTTGACGCTGCCGACCACAAGCTCATCATCTCTATGAAAGTGCTCGCCCACCCAATTGGCCTCAGTGGGGTCTCCTTTCGCCGTGCCTATTAAAAAACACGAGTAAGCGGTAGTCAGGTCGACTCACCGACGGAAGAAAAAGAGGCACGGTCGCACCTGTAGCATGTAACTCCACGTAGTCCACTTCGCGAGGGCTCCTCCCGGCACGTTCGAATGCTTGGAACATAGCGTCTCGTTGGGAGTCCGCTACCGGAGCACCTGGCGCCGCGGCCGCACCGGTCGAATTGATTGCAGTGCCCAAAATCTAGAAGTATTATTTTGACATGAGAGGTCTTTTATGCAGAGGATATGAAGACACAACATACCGTTGCGTAAATGTTGTCGTTATCTCTGAGCGCGGCATCGAGGGGCTTGATTACAACGACCGCACAGCCCTCGGCGCGAGCAAACCTGCGCCAAAAATAACCAAATCAGAAGGGAGAAATGGGGAAAGAGATGCAAAAACACATACCCGTCCGCGCTGCTATCAAAAGGCTTGCATTTTCCGTCTTTTGCAAGCAACGACCCTTGACTATATGTGACCCAGTCAATGAAGCTTGAAAATAAATTCTTGTCAGCGTAAGATACAGTCGAAAATGATAATGATACGTACCGATAGTTCAGTTGGCAACCTCCAACGACAGCGGCTTCACAATCTCCGGTTGCGATAGCCTGAACCGCGAGGTGCAAAGCCGTCAGAGTTGAGCTGCAGGCCGTGTCGATGGGGAAAGAGGGTCCAAGTAAATCGAGGTGGTTGGAGATGCGGTTAGCGACCATCGAAGGATAGCCAGCAAAGGACCCTCGCGTGTCGAACTCGTCCTGATGAAGAAAAGTGATATGTCAATACGCGTCGCAAAGGACGCTGATTTCGAAAACACCCACCGGCTCCGAAACGTTTGTGAGCTCTATGGAAGTTCCTGCTGTGAAGCATCCGACGATTTTCGTTCTATAGTCTATCCCCGAGTCGAGAAGGGCAAGGAAAGTATTCTCGAGAAGTTTGCGAGTCGCGGGAGCCATCGTCTGCGCGTCCTTGGATGAAATGCCGAACTCGACGTTGTCGAAAGTGTCAATATTTTTTAAGAAAGACCCTCGGTCGACGTGAATCCTGCCGACACCGGTACCCTTCCAGCTAATGGGACAAGTTGAATTAGCTTGGAAGCGTTTTTCAAGGAATATTGAGACGTACGCTTCGATGTTGAATCTGTCCGATGGCATTGGCTCATAGGATTCACCAGACGACAACAGGAACTCGAAAAAGGACTTGTGGTCAAGGTTCTCCGAAGCATAGCTGCCACTAGGGAGCTCGACTGAAATACCAACCTGAAGGACATAGCATTGTTAGCGATGCTTCCTTTAGTGATATAGGCGACGAGGGACCTACAATTGCAATCGGAGGTGACATAGTGGTGGCGCAGAGTGTGGAGAAGGGAGGTATTTCGTTACTTGCGACTGCGATGGGGACCACTTACCCCACCCCGTCTACTTATACGCCGAAGGTCATTATCGTGTGGGCCCCAGTTATAGATGGTGAATTATCGCTTTCTTGAAACTAGATCTGAAAATTGTCTCAAGCAAGGGGATAGAGATTCACCAGGCCAAAGCATGAAAGATCGCGGAAGAAGGAAGTAGGGTTATACGGGCCAATCACACGTTAGATGCGGAGTTTCAATTTTCTCCGCCAGTCCGGCGCTGCCCGACCATATGCCGAACGCAATGCCGCTTCCCAACTTCCGAATCTTATAATGATAATGACATGTGCAGAGGGGCAATTCTGGCGAAACTGCAAGATCTTTCCATGTTCCTCTGGTCTCCGCGAAATCACTCCTTCTATCTACCCTTATCGCAGAGACAAATGTGTATCTTCTTTTACTCGCCTCCCCAGTCCGTATGATGGTGCGTTTTTGGTCAATTCTATTTTCTCATTGACCACCAACCCCTGCAATCTCCGCCTTGTTTTCGTGTGAGACTTCAGTATTATTGTGCTGGCACATTTACTGGAACCATCTCCGTGAAGGTCGAAGTGCTGGGGCTAGCTGCAATCTTCGGTACTGGGGTCGCTGCTGCCTTCTGCTTGGTTTCTGCACGAATCACGGACACTTGGCCATTGTGTTCTGCCCTCAGCTAGGTCTAATTGCGATTTCGCGACCGCGCACATGAGGGTTTCCCAACGATATCCAATCACGATCAAGGTCTGAACACTTGTTAAATTTTACTCTGGGCCAAATTGAGGGTTTGATGCTCGGACCCACAACCCTTCGTTCTTGAGATGAATGGTCTGAAAAGGTATCTTGCATGACATAGATGATCTCAACACCAACCTAATGATCTTTTTGAAGGGCATATAAGTCTGAAATATCCTGCTTCGGCACCTGGATCCCTCCGTTGCATTTCCGTTTGCATACCATGGCTACAAAGACCATGAGAGCCATCGTTACCACCGGGGATGGAAAATTCGAATTGACATCAATTCCGACGCCTTTCCCGGGCCCAAACGAGATTCTGGTCAAGGTCGAAGCCTGCGCACAAAATCATACCGACTGTAAGTGCTTCTCCCGAGGAGTCTTTGCATCATGGGAGCCTTGAACTCACATTCCATACTTTCACCAGGGAAGTCCATCATCCTCCACAAGCAACCTGGAAACATTGTAGGCTCTGATTTCGCTGGGACCGTCGTCGCGCTGGGTTCTGCGGTTCCGGAAAGTCTGAGAAGGCCCGGCGAGCGCGTCGCAGGTGCCGTGCGAGGCAGTAAGACACGGAACCCTTCCTCCTCGAAGGCGTGCGCTGTTGACGAAACCTTATATTACCTCTCGCAGACATCAATCCGAACGGCGCATTCGCCGAGTACCTCGTCACCGACCCAGCGCTCGTCTTCACGCTCCCAGAGGATGTGCCCCTTGAGGTCGGCGCGCAGCTAGGAGTTGCATGCTACGCAGCATGTCAAGCGCTCTACCAAACCCTCCATCTTCCAACACCGCTCGCGCCCGCATTGACACCAACGGACATTCTCGTCTGGTCTGGGTCGTCCACAGCGGGCCAGTACGCCGTGCAGTTTGCGAAACTCTCGGGGCTGCGCGTCTTCTCGACCTCGTCTCCTGGCAATTTTGATCTCGTGCGCGCGCTCGGTGCCATGGAGGTCTTCGACTACGCCGACTCTACGACTCCCAAGCGCATCTTCACCGCGACGCGCGGCTCGCTACGTCACGCCGTTGACTGCATCAGCGATGGGATGACACCCGTGCAGGTGAGTGCCTGCCTCAGCAAGGAAGGCGGGACCATTGTCACCCTCCTGCCTTACGAGAGCCGCAAGAAGGGTGTCAAGACCGAACTCGTACTTGTCTATTCGATGTGGGGTCAGGTAAACTTTAGACGCCAACTCGGTTCGAGTTTTTGGCCTGAACTGATCCCCGGGTTGTCAGGATATCCAACTACCCATGAAGATTAAGGGCAACTCGGAGCACTACGAGAACGCAATCAAGTACAATGCCATGATCAGTGCGATGCTTGCCAGGAAGATGCTCAAGTTCAGCGCGGTCAAAGTCTTCCCGAAAGGTTTGGCAAGCGTCGAAGAAGGTTTTGCGTACATGATGGCGGGAAAGGTGCTCACACCCTTATCGTTCTGATTTTCCATCACTGTGCTGACCGTACATTCTAGATCCGCGCAGAGAAAATCGTTTATAGGATTTCTGATACTCCGAATATTTCATGAATCAACTTTTATCGCTTGCGAACGTCCGTACATATTTGATCTCGACCATTTCTATGACTTGACAAATGTATTCAAGACAGTGCATAGTTTATCGGTCGTCATTTCCTCGACCGAATGGAGCACGACCCAAATTTAGCTTTGGTGAAGTACCCTGTCGGCACTCGAGCGCTTATTACTCGGTAATTATCTCACGATTCTACATACCTATTTTTTGCTAGGAAAAATCATTTCTTAGAAGATTTCCGCTTACTCAGTCCCTTTAAATTGACCCGACTGTCTTATATCAGACAACGCGTGTCACTGCTCATCGTGAAGCTGTTGCAGCTTGGGTGGTTGGGGAAAAATCTATTCTGAGGTCTTGAAACGAATTTGTCGATGAGGAGCCCGAGCAAGAGCCTTTCATTACGAGATCCCATGGGATCTAAAACTTGATGCGCATCCGGGTAAGGGAGGTGTTTGAGAGGTACTTGGGACCACTCTTAGATTGCGATGATCATTTATCAAGTTGTTTGAGGACAAGAAAGCGCGAAGGCTTCCATGAGGCACCCGAGTTTAAATTCCTTATTGATGCCGTTAAAAGTCCCACCGGGAAAGAAGATCTTCGAGCGGCCTGCTACAGTTGCGATGGAATAATATTGTAGGCGCTCGAGCAGTGCGGGTGACAAACTGGGCTTGGAGGACGCTTCGAACTGCCCCGACTAGAGCGAGATGACCGACCTCAGGATTAATTATGCTAACATCAAAGATAAGGGATGTCACTTGTAAGTTTCCAAGCATCAGTCTTACTGGCAGTTGTATTTTTGGCTTGATGGACCCACGTTCACAATCAAATCCCGAATTAGGAAGGGTAAAAATCCTGAACGCCAATCACACTGCACTTTGTGGCGCAGTCTACTTAACATAGACGAGTATATTTCTGAGGTGTAACCAGGTATGATCCATTTCTGAACACCGGGAATCAAGACGACTCAAGCACAGCTGTGAGCTATACCGTGCAAATCTCCACGTAAATCCATCGTTAATTATGCCAACTTTTTATGCTACACCGAGTCCTTCGGGAGATATCTGTCATGGCTCCCGACAGCGTTGATACGACGCCCTTCCAGGAGTGCTCACGAAACCCGGCAGGGGCAGCTATGAATAGTGAAGGAGAGTGGGGAATCTCTCGCACAAATGCTTGGCAAGTGCACCGCCGACTGGGGGTACAAAAGGCCCAAACACGCAAGAAACCATACGCTTCCTCTTTCCATACGTCTGCTTGTGCTTCTCTTCCTCGGGGTGATCGGTATGGTCGTAATCACGGTCTGTGCTTTTGGTTATCGCAACGACCATTTGACGTCTCCGCGCATGTGTCTGTCACTGACCATGCCGCAGACAGGGTTGGGCGTCTCGGGGACTGAGAAGAGTATAACGGACAGCGAGCGGTCCTTGCTCGTCAATATGAGCATACTATTCGAGAGTGGGTTCTCCCCGAACCGGCCGAACTTGGTGTTCGGGAAGGCGCAGCGCGCTATTAATTTACATTGAATGCAGGCTCGACTGCTAGTTGATGGTGGCGAAACTGTTGGGGGACTCGAGATTTCATTATCTGTTAATTAAAGATATATCCAGTGTGCAGGGGAAAAGATATTGCAAGCTGTTGTATCTCCTTTGGATATGTCTGCGGACGTCACCGAGGCCGAAAAGGCTGAGCCGGGGATTTCGCAACTTGATCGACGAAAGACTGACAAAGACTCAAATTCGTATCACTTTCCCTCGGCTCTAATTGGCATTCGACGTCCTCACAAGACTATTTACGATGGTTAAAATCGAATATTATCACTATTCTCGGAATAGCAACAGTCTTTCGATGAAGAGTTGAGCATGCAACTTATTGTCCGGCGTCTGCTCTTTACTATAAATGGACATGGGGACCGACAAGGCCCAACAACCAAGTTGGAGAATGGAGGGTTTCGACAACGTTTTTTTGTCCTCGACGTAAATAATAACAAGCGGCTTCAAGAACAAGAATTTTGAGGGACAATGAACATGGAAGAGATAATGAACACGGAAAAGATAAAAGGAAATAGTCGCGCCCTCGTGGACGCTATATTCAACTTCACCGCTAGGCCTCCGTTCGCACACAATTCTCTTCTCGCTTCAAGTCGCGTTTAACACAAGACCCGAATTACTATGACCGCCAACGACTCCAAACCAACGATCGTCGTCATCGACATCGCCAAGGGCGACGTTCCTGGCTGCACCGGCACCGGCACGCTCACGTTAGAAGAAACCGGCAAGCCAGGTCAGCGAACGAGACGTCTCATCTCAGCCTACAACGTCAGGGTCAAGGGCGTCGACGGCCCAGGACGCCTGGATATCGACGGGGATGGCAATGTACGCTTTATGGCTGGCGCCGCGCAGCGCGAGGACGGGGTGTTTCCGCCGTTCATGCATCCCGGCGAAGTTCCCTGGTGGTTCGTCAGTGGGAGCAAGGATCGGAGCAATCGACCCAGTCTAGTTCTGATAATCGTCCGCAGCGGGCTCGAGGACGTCAGGGAAGGAGTGGGATGTCCTATAGCAACAACGTCGGGAACGTTGGTAGCTTCAACTCTTGGACGCCTGGCGCTATGCCTGGTATGAGCACGCACATGGGTCCCTCCTGGGCGTTCGGCCCTGGCTGGAATCCGATGGCAGGGATGCATGAGGTGAACATCGCCATGGGCGCTGGTCCTTCACGTTCGAAACACGGGTCAGGCTCTATCGTCATGGTCAACTCGAACAGTGGGAACGTGAACAGCATCATCGGGAGTAACAACGCCTTCTCCACTGCGAATGTCATGTACGGACCGCCTGGCAAGAACCCGAAGAAGTCGAATCGCGAGAGCTTCATTAACAACAAGGGCAACGTCAACAGCTTCAACAGCGGTCCAGCTAGAGAAGCGCCGTTCGAAGCGAAGAAAGGAAAGCAAGAGGAGGGAAAGGACAAGGGCTTCAACGCGAATGCGAGCGTTGAGAGCTTCGACTCCGACGCGTCGTGGTCGACTTGCGACTCTAATTCGTCTGAATCCACCGTTCGAACTCCGAGCCTGGACACCCCCAAGCAAAAGTATGCGTCCACGTTCTGCACCAACGGCACCAACGGAAACGTCGGGAATGTCAACAGCTTCAACCAGTGGGGCGAGGAAAGTGTCAGCGTCCACCGCGTGGCGACATCGTCTGCAGAGCCAGTGAAGCAAAGCAAAGTCGAAATACGTCCTCAGAGCGTGACGATTCGAGTGCAAGAGGACGTGAGGGATACCCCGGTTGAGGAATCGGAGGCCCGATTGATCGAAGACTCCGAGATTGTTTCGCTCGAAGAGGTGGGGTGCTGGAGTTGGTTCCCTTGGTGGTCTCAAAGGCAAGCAAAGAAGCGCGTGGCGGATAAGCGGGCTGGGAAGGGGCACCAGGAGTGTGAAGATGATACACCTCCATCGTACGAGGAGGTTCAGGCGGCGAGAAAGCGATGCAATGAAAGAATCTAGGACGCACCTGTCGAATCGGACTTACTGGAGACATTGACGTCGTTGAATAGACCCTGTGTAATCGTACACCCGTGTTGAGCCTAGTCCAAATGATATTCCTCGACCACCATGGGGGTGGATATCCGGATTTGAGATAGTGTGGCGTTGTTCGTCGGTGTCGGCGCCTTCGGCGCTCCTAAAGAATCCAGAAAATAAAGCTCGAGTACCCATTTAGGGCACAAAACACTCACCTTGGCTCACGTATCAACCTAGGGCTGTGTGTCCTTGTAAGTCGATGCTGCGCAGAAGTGGCACCCACACGCAATTATAGTTACCCACAGAAGGGCGGCGGCGCCGGCCAGGATATAAAGAGGACCAGATTCCAAGTGCCGCCCATACTCATCTTCCCCAGAACTCTGATGACGGCGTTTCAGACAGCTCGTACCCCGCCTCGTCCGCGTCAGGCTTTAGGCTCTGGCCATAGCGACCCTGATAATCCATAAGGCGTGCGTGATGTCAGACCCGACGCCATAGACGCAGACAACGGAAGAGAAGAAGCGTCTCGGGCGCAAGACGACGCCACATTATCCTCGCCGGCTCTTTCTTGCCACTTACAAACGCCTCCTCTGCAGAGCGTTTCGTATAAGATCTCGTCGGGTGCTTTAGGCAGTGAGATAGTGCCTTGGGTAGCCTTGAATCAGTCTGTTCCATCTGCGAGAGGCGTTCCGGAACCGGGCCAGGACCAAACGGCGACAAGCGCAGATGTCCTCTCTTGCCCTGACTATGTCGAACAGACTGCCGTAATGGACGCCGAGTCTGTCGAGCGAATTTCCGTTCCTTGTGAACATATGAACAAGCGCAGCGAAGAGCACCGGACAGACCTCGCCGCGCGGCCGTTCCAGGAATCAGAACCAGGACCTGCGGATCGCCGAAGGCAGGATGCTGTCGATGGTCCTCCAACAGCTAGCACCCACAGGCATGACCCGAAATGTGGAAACAATATGGAAGACAGGAGGCCAGGAAACCAAGGGAGAGGCGTTGGACAGAGCAAGAACGGCGACAGTAGCGGTCGATATCCACCTTACATGTACAGACCATCTTGCACCACCGCCCTTGGTGCAACCGGTATGATTCACTACTGGAACTGCGAGACCGGCAATCTCGTCTCTGCTGTGATGAAACACCTCAGCGGTTCGGAGCAGGTGGAGTTCTGGAGACTGGAGAACAAGGACACAGGCCCCCATGAGCCGGTGCACGACGACGGTCGCGTTATGACGAGGTGGATGACGCCTGAGGAGAATCGTCAGTTCTGTGCAGAGATAGCACGTATTCCTGGGTGTGCGTGGATGGCTGTAGATCAGACACGGAGCGCCTGGAGAGAAGCCGGATACGCTCAAGAGGAGGCGTTTAACTATGGTGTAGAGCCTGTTCCTCGAAATGTCTGTTATCCATCGTACGTTCCTGGGTGGCACCAGCAATATTGGCCGAGGTGGTACCGCTGAAGGAAGACCCGTAGTGTTAGCAGGTTGGAAGCCGTCGTGTCGAGAATATTTGACTGAGGTTGTGTGCGATAGGTATGTAGACTTATTGAGAAGTAATAAGAGATAGCCTAGATCGAAATAAATGAAGCTTGCCAATAAACGAGGTACGGGGCATCGACGACTCGACGCTAGTGGACGCGTTTGAAAGGGGGAAGCAACAAATGTTGCGTGGGATTGTTGCCGACACTTGCCGAGAAGAAATGACTAAGCATTCTCGCACGGATATTTGGCCCGCCGGGCAAGCCTACTTTGTGCTCCGTTCGAGTTTTGACAAAACAATTGCAGAACAACCTTCTAAGAAAGATCAAGAAGGTGGACGACGATAAAAGAATCTGTCTGCGAATTAATGCAAAAGTGTCATAAGGGAAACAAGAGCTTTGAGAAATGTTCCAATATGTCGCTTTGATGTCGCTGATGGCATGAAGTTTGTGGGTCCATGTACAATAGCGCATCGACGCGGAATACAACACGGAGACAAGGTCTTTACTGATCGGACTCTATAACAGTTAGAGGCGCCATAACAAGGATGTCGTTATGAGTCCGTATACTTATAGTAAAGGCGCTATTTCTCCCCTGGATCTGGAAACTCAGTGTAACGCCCCCAACACCCCCTACCACTCGGTACACCAGCAAAATTTAGCATGGATGACCAGCGCCGCCTAGTTCATATGGTCTACATTCCAGCCATCTTTCGAGTTATGGACGGCCCACCCCACTCCGGCCCTTGCGCTTTACACGCGCCACCACCGCCATCTACCCTCGACGGCGACTCAACGTCGAAGGAGGATTCTGAGGGTAACTCGAATCACGATCTACCCGCCGCCTCGGATCGGCCATATCCATAAAGCCAATCAGCAGAAGACGAGTTCGACGGCCCAGGCCCCAGAGAAGGACATCGATTCATCGTATTCATGGTTCCGGTGCCACTGTTTTTAGAATCAGTGGCTTGGCGGAGGAGTAATGCGAGACAAGGAGGAACCTCCTACACGAGAAAGGCAAAGAAGAGGGGAGAAGGAAACATTCGGACGAGGAAGCACCCGAGGGTCACGAAAGGGAAAGGAAGGAAAAGAGGAAAGTAATGGAATATAAGACCTATCTTTCATTCTTCCAAGAGAAATAGTAGCAGCTCGAATCCTCGAAGGCTTTGACTTGTGTAGTTCATTCTAGAAATTGCGGTTTCAAGTTGGGTGACGTGTTCTGTGCTCTCGCTTTCCATCTATCGCGTAGATGAGACTTTCCATAGTATTGTTGTTTGTGCATTCAGTTATTTTTTGTTCTTACATAACAAGTTGCGATAAGTTCCCCCTTCCTCTGGTTGTGATCCCCGAATTTTAACAATTTTACATAAACCACTTGGGTGTTCCTGAAGGAGCAGATACATATATAGAAGTCGACAGAAGTCCTTCTTTCTCACTTATGCCGACGGATTTACCGATCGTTGGCGGGTGCCGAGATGCCGGAGCTCGCTTGGCGGCGGATCAGCCACGGATCACACTCTCTCCAAATCGGTCAAGTTTCCTCAATTTGGAGTCACAGCCCCCTTGACACGACTCGACGCGTGTTCGCGCTTGGGCGCTAGCGCCGTGCGCTTCCCCCGCGTCGCTCAGCGGCCGTCCCCTCCCCTCGGACGTGCCCTGGGGTCTTGACACATGTAAATAGTGTATATTTTTATCAATGAAACATGACAAATACATTGAGAGTAGTAGAAGAGACCCAAGGAGTGCACAAACACCCCCGGTTCATGTCCTGGGGCAAAATAAGTGCTCCTTGGGTGGCATAAGTTCAATAAGTAACTTATTTTGAGGGATTTACGGGGTGAGCTGGCCCGATTTACGCTGGATTTACAAGATTTACAGCGAGCCGGCTCAATTTACGTGGCCCGATTTACAGGCTGATGAGCCAGCGCTTAGCCGTCGCCTAGCGCCTGCCCTTTGTTTTATTGCTCGGCTGCTTGCAACTCTGATGGCGGCACTCTAATTCTCTGATTTCCCACCCTTCAAGCTAAATTTCGAGGCGCGCAAGCGCGCACAGATATCTCCTCGAGACATTTGGTATTTATTTTTTGTACAGCATCTTCATGCTTCTGTTCTACTAATTTTCACTGTCCTGGACTCCGTCAAATACATCGTCGCACCCTTCCCATCACTCCCCGACTCTGCTCGGCCCTCCATGCAGGGCTGATTTGACGGCCGCGATGCCTTTTCGCCCTTCCCTCGAACCCACCTTCGGCGCTCCGGGCGTCTGGTGCCCTGCCGACCACGATTTACCGGCACTGTAAATCCAACGTAAATCAAGTCAAATAACCATACTTATTTCCGTCGCCCTAGCCTTTTCGCGTTCATGCCAGAGCTAGTCTGGACAGATCCTGTCGACAAGTCATATACCTGCTTGTTATTGTCTCCGACGTACGTCAAGGACGAATCCATGATGAGATACGGAATGTTCGAGTATGTCACGGTGGGCCGACGACGCGTCCAACTCACCTTCCAAATACGGCTTGCACTGGGAAAATCCACCTTACCCACCAACGCCGATGAAGAGGTCGTAGGGCCGCCTCCGATTTCGCCAATTCCACGCCATCGGCCTCCATTTCAGACGTGGCCAGTCTGCGGCCGCCCACGACAACCCTGAAGCCTGTACTAAAGACGCGAATCGAAGGATCTCAGAGGAGAGAGCACCCCTGATCACGGAACCCACCATCATCGACCCCACATCCCGTCGTATACCATGACAGATTTACCAGGCACACCAGACGCAACGCACCCACTCAGCGCGCAGGAACTAGAAGCGGGGCTCATCTACGCCGTGCTCACCTACCGGGGCGAGCTCGCCTCCTGGAACTGGGCCTTCTTCGTCCCGAACCCCAGTGTCGCGCCGATCGGCACCTCCGGGACCATGTTCCACGTCGTCGAGACCGATTCAGCGGGCGTGTGGCGCTTCGAGGTCGAGTCGCGCGACGTCATCTCCTCGCCGCTTGTGGTCGCCATCCTGCGGCTCGCGGACGTCGGCTTCTTGGGCGACTATGACGACGTGGTAGGCAAGGACAGCTTGCTCCCCATGTTCCGCACCGTGGCGATTCCCGCGCAGGCATCGACGGAGTTCAGTAGCAGGACGTGGTTCCTCGAAGCGATTTGCGTCTTGCATGACTGTGGAGTGGTTCAGTGCGATGATGTGTGGCTGCTCGAGAGGGAGATTAGGAGATGTGCGTTCACGGCGATGGATAAGTACTTGGAAAACAAGGGTGCGTGATTGAACATTTTGGAAACGTTCGAGCCTCTTCTGACCACCAAAATCGCCAGGCTGGACCGCGTATAAAACCGAACATTGCTCGTGATGTAACGCCGGTGGGCCGCACTCCCGCCGGGTGCACCACATCCTCCATGACCTCGATGACGATAATCTGTGCCTCTTTTGTCAGTATCTTCCCCATAATCTCTAATCCTGATCTTCTGAACTTTCCTCTTGCCTCAGATACAGCCACACGACCGCCGATACTTATGAGACTGACGATGACCGTCATCGCCTTGTCTCCCCTTCTCAGTGGTCCTTTTGGACAAACATTGACCATCCCCACGTATTCTTGGTAACCTATACGCATAGAAAGCACCAGCCGACCGCCGTCTCGCAGTTCGCTTTCTTGGTAACTTATCTCATGCATACACGCTGCCTGGCTCTTGGATCTGTTTTGGTGTTGGTTTCTTTGGTTTCAGTTTTCGTGCTCCGTTGTTACTCTCGTTACTCTATTTCACCTGGTACATAACAAGGCTCAGTGGTAATAGTGCAATGAAATTCTCTTCTCAATGCACAAATGGGACCAGGACCCCTCTTCTTACTTTCGCTCTGCCCCCCTTGTAGAACAGATCCGGCACGTCAGTTAAACTTTTGGGAAGATTATGACGTCGTTCCTTCCTATGACTACTTATGACCCTTCATAGGTTCCTGACATCGTGTCATGAAGGCACAATTTAGTGGTCTGGACTCTGAACTAGACGATGTTTCTGCGGCACAATTGTACGAAATGCTTCTGTTTTTCTGGGTCCATATCAGAACCATGGGATAAAATCCAGAATAGTATTCGAGTAGGAGACCTCCAGGAAGTTTCCATGTTGTCTCGCCAAAAGTTGCCAGTGAAAACGATTCAGAGAGCGCAGCAGATTATCGGGAGCGGATGTCTATTCTTAGCTGACGGTTAGTTGCTCTATTTTTAGCCCAGTAATGGACTACTGTTCCGTAAGTATCGACTCTTCGAGTTGAGAAGAAAAACAATATTTCGCTTGATTGTACGAGGAAATCACTGGAGGAAAGCTTTGCATATTCCAAACGTTTCGCCATTTCAAGCTGTTTTCCAATCTGTCAAACGGAACTTGTCTTCTTCGCGTGTCTCGTAGATCTCGCGCATACTGGGGAATTCCAGTCGACGACAGGCCATTATATTGAACCCGCAATGTCAATTGGCGCTCATGGGGAGTCGACTGTGCTACGGAAATCTGGAACAAGGGGGTGATCAAAATCACCTTAGTCTGTTCAAAATTTGGCATAACAATCTGACGACTGCGTGTTCGTTGTTTAAATCAAGGTTTCCTTTTTCCTGAGGCTTACAGTCAGACTTCCGACTGATGTAAGTAACCAATCTTGAACGTTGAACTCCCGGAGCGGGCGCCTTCGCGCCGCGGGCCGTCAGGTCGGCCGAGCCATCGTGGGAGTATTCCTTCACTCGGCACCGTCGGCGGTGACTTCAAACCAGAAAATTTCCATCGTCTCATTGGCTTTCATCACTACGGCCTCCAAGGATCCTGAACACCTGAATATTCTGAAAATTGACTCTACCACTCTCGTCTTGCTTTTCTGCATCAAAAGGGAGATTGGTAGAGGCTTCCTCGCGCCATGACGATCTTGCCTGACGTCTCTATGCATTTCGCTGGGCAGCTTAATACGGAGGAGGTGGAACTGCGGATTCTATCGCGCGGTTCAGGTCACTAGAATACCTAGGTGTTCGGACCTTGAGGCCTGAGGTCTTGTTGCTGGGGATATCAGGGGATATCCCATCACCTCACTTCGCAGTTGCCCGGATATCCTCCTGGAATCGTACGCGGTATTGGAGCCGTTGGAATTCGCCTTTCCCGAGCGCGGTAGCCGAAGGTCATCAACGTTCTAGGTGCTTCTATACTGAATGTTTTCGCCCGTACGGCCTGACTCAGTGGTTGACATGAAGGAGGGTCCCCGTCGGCGAAGCTAGCGAGAGCAAGTGACTCAAGTCCGTCTTCGTGCGTATGCCCGGTGCCCCAGTTATGTTCTTGTGCCAGAAGGGGACTCATCCACCAAAGCAGGTAATCCCAGTCGTCGAGCCTGTGTTCCTGCGATCCAAGTGCTTTTCTCTCGGAGTTGCTTTCATGTGAGACTCTGACGTTCGATTCGCGAAATTTGGAACTCTGAGTAGCTGGTGTCGGTGGCATTACTGGAGGCTTAGTACAAGAGGAGAAAACTCTCGATGGAGGAAGACCGTTTGCACGGCCTTGAAGTTGAAGTCGAGTGCGCAGTCCTTTTCATATCCAACCTTGGCGTCATTCATTATCCGCTTAATCACCTGTTTCTCGATAGATCATTCTGCTAAATGATAAAAAAATTCATGCGCCTACTGGTTGCAGAATAATCTTCCATTTATATTGCGCTGTGCGCACTCTCCCATCCGTTCGTGTTCAAATGTGTGAAACCTTTGCACCAACAAGCAAAGGCTCTCTATAGAAGAACAGAGCAAGCAGAACTTGCATCTTCTATCCGTTCCAGGTTTTTGGATGCACCAGGGACGATAGAATTGTTCTGATTGTGGCACCTTCCTTTGTCCTCCGTAGGGGCTTCCCTCTGTTGAGGATATGGTGAAACGAAAGGTGATCGGATAAAAAAGAATATCTTCTACCAGGTTGGAGCAGGGCGGTGTCTCTATCGCGAGAGCCGAATAGGTGACGGCCCTTCTGGGGTTCCGTTATCATCATAGCCACTCTCGAGACGCAGTTCTCAGTTCCAATCGGCCCTTTTGGGTAGTAGCCTGCTCGATAGGCATCCACGTTTAGCGCAAGGTTCTGTCTTGAGAGTCGCCCAACTTCTTGGGTTCAAGGCAGGCGAGGGAGATAAGGACCTGTCGGTGCTACAACGGTGGAGAAAGAAGCTCGGATTGAAACTTACTTGTGACACCCTAGACTCTAGTTTCGAATTCATCATCGGTGATGAAAGTCTGCTAGCAGGCCACATACATCATGTGGCCAGCAGCTTCGACAGCCCGCTTCCAGGCCCCTGATAGGCCGTTTATGTGGCGCCTATTTCCCCCGCGCGCTTCTGAAGAATTTGCCATTTTAGGCAACTAAACTACGTCTATTTACCACCGAACCGAAGACGAGAAAGACGGGAGATTACCTTGTAGAAAGTGACGCATTGCGCATGCTAGGATAGGAAGGGGTGGAGCGCTAGGTTCCACGGTATGTTTAGGTCCAGCGCATTTTTGCGGCTGAAAGAGACCTCGATCTTGGCTCCAACTTAGAAGTATGATGTGCTCGCTACATTCATTTGGGTAAAATAATTTGCCTCGATGGGATTGGAGGAGATGATCCGCAGAAGAAGGGCTTGGATGTATATTTATATATAAAGATAGAGAGAAATCGTTCTGATCGAAATCCTTAGTTAAGGACGAATCCTTGTCGCTAAGTGAGTCCTCAAAGCGAGACGAAGTGGGAGCCATCAACAGGAGAGAAGTGGGTGGTCCAGTGTGTATCAGAAGCAAGCCGGTTGTTATAGACTCCGTCAGTCAGGAGGACGATAAACTTTGCCTCTGCGCCACAAATCAGATCTCCATACCGTTAATAGGCTGCAAGGTGGTGAGTGGGACTTCGCTCCCCGAAGGAGTACTCGACATGACATTCAGGAGTATCTACGGCGGTAAGGATCAAACGTTTGAGGGACGTGTATAGCTGCCGTGCGCGGACAGAATCGCTGCGTGTGAATCTTTGCGCTGAGCATGTCAGAGTGGGAATTCGTTCATAGTTCTTTGATTCGTAGTACGGATTGCATTCACGTGGGCACGGCGGTCATCCGGAAAATTGCAGTACTCTGCCAGCGGTCCTCTACTTAATCTTCTATACCTGAAATAATAGTCTGGTGCTGACAGTCCAACCGCTCGTTAACATGAAACTCACTGGGCTTCGCTTAATCTGAGGGCTTTTAGAAAGGTGATAGGATTAAGTGGGCTTAATCTGATTAATCCATATTAATGCCTCAACTAGCAGACTATTAGAAAGCATGATATATACTGGATTAAACTAAATTGAACGGATTGAACGGATTGAATGGATTAAAAATGCTGAACGTGTCACCGATGGAACGGCTCATTGTGCATTGTCAGAAGGTGCTAACCTGCAAGCGTTGTCTTCCACCTGAGATACCTTAACGCTGAGACAAGAAACAGTGGCAAAGGGGAGGCCGCGGAAGTCGCCCTTGCAATGACAGAGGTAGCATGAGTGGCGGTTGGAGCAGATTGGTGAGATAAGAGGATGAATTAGGAGGAGCGGTCGAAGGATGGGGATGTGTGCCAAGGGAAATGGCGAGACAGCGAACTCGCCTTTTCCCTTCTCTGCATCATCGGCCCTCTCACATCGTCTCACCATCTTTTCGCCTCGTTCTCGCCCTTCTATCTCGTCTTCCTCTCACCATTTCTCATTCCACCATCATGGTGACGTAGGCAACGAGCACATTGAGCCGTGGTTGGACATGCCGGCGAGGTTGGCACTGGCGAGCTGTGCCTGGTCGTGGTGGGCGTCGACCATGGTAGGCGTTGGCCATGGTAGCGATGCCGGCGTCGCACTGGCCGCTGAATTTTGGGCGGCAACGGCATTTCGCAGTTGGTGGGGGTTGAGCCTAAACGAGGCGGAAGCAGGTTCTTCGAACTGCATAGATAGCAGACTGGTGGGTTGAGGTGGTAGGCGCAGGATACGAGCATGGAACCTGAGGGATAGAAGTCAGTCTGCAAGGATAATAGGCACAAGATAAGAGGCATACCGTGTGGGTCTTGTGCTCCATGGGTCTCCCCTCGCTTCTCCACCATAAACCCATCATTTATGGCCAGGAAAGGGCTAACATACCCGCTAAGAGGTGAGGGGGAAAGCAGGACAGCA